GGAAAGCTTGAAACGAGACGCAGATGATCAGCGTGTTCCCCGGGCTGTCCGGGCTGACTAGTCTCCAAAATCCAGTGGAAACCATGGCCTACTCGTGTTCTGACGATTTGAAAATTCAAATTTTCTTGCCATTGAAGCCCAATCGAGACTTTCGGCGGCCATATTGTTAAGTGGCGTGAAATCGCACAAAAAAACAGCCGTGTTGGTACAAGTGGGTCGCTGGTCCCTGTATCCATGCAGTTTCTATGTACAACTGTCTGTGCATGAGAAAAGGGTCGTTAAAAGCAGGTGGTCGCTAAAACCAGGTTTTACTGTAAGATGCCAGTACAAGTGTGCACTTGTATTTCCCCTCTACTTCTCCATGAAGGCCAGGCTCAAAAGGGTACAGATATACTGAGTTAAAACATTGCAGTGCGACTGCAACTACCCAACAGCATGGCCCTAGCAGCAACACAATTCAAGCTGTAACCATCCCCTCCTGGCATGAACCATCAACATTGCCAGTACAAACACTATACATGTCTGAAGACTTCTGCAGATGAGGTGGTGTTGCCACAAATGGCCAAAAAACCCTGCCCACAACCCCGCCAGGGATAATGTGCAGTGACAGTAGATACTTCCAAACAGAAAGTGCAGAACTGTGGCTGCAAAATTCCAGACCGCAACAAATGAAACAGCCCCAGCATGCATCAATGCATCCATTGCTACCTCCCCCCTCCTCTCTCTCTCTCTCTCTCTCTCTCTCTCTCTCTCTCTCTCTCTCTCTCTCTCTCTCTCTCTCTCTCTCTCTCTCTCTCTCTCTCTCTCTCTCTCTCTCTCTCTCTGTCTCTCTCCCTCTCCCTGTCTCCCTCCCTTCTGAAGCCTTTCAGCCAGTTTCAGGATAGTGCCTCTCACAACCTACCTGCAGCAAAACATTCCTTTTGGCACCTTACTGGCACACAGGTTGTGAGCACCATAGTGACCACATTCAGACACTGTACACCCAAGTGGCATGTACTCTTGGGCTCTTTTTGACCAAAATGGACAATTCAAGGTACATTTGGCACATACGTTTGTATATCAGGAGCACAGGACCTGGTAATTTGAGTACAGTCAACTTCGCCAATAACGACTGCGGATATAACGACAATTCGCGAATAATGACAGAATGTCCATGCCCAGAGCAAAGTTCCATCCAACTGTAATACATATAATGAGACTGTGGGTATAACGACACTTCGCGAATAAGGACACTTTTTTGATGCCCCGCCGAATGTCGTTATAAACGAAGTTGACTGTATAGGTACTCAAATTAGTGCATCCAAAAATGCAGTGTTCTAGACTGGCAAACATGGCAGTTAAAAAAGTATTAAAAAAGTAACTGTTGCAACCCCCTGTAAACACAACTCCCCCCATTTTTTTGGAGAGTATAACAGGTGAAACTAAAACAAAACCAGTACACAAGCCACAATGTCTTCTGACTGGCTCGCTCAATGGGCAATAATATTTCACGGTTCGCGTGAGACGCGGCTGGAAGCCCAGTTTTTCGCATCCGTCGTGGGAACGCCACCACCCTCTAGGATCAAAGGCGCAGATGCAGCGCCTAAACGGTGGGAGGTGAGTAGATCACACACCCCCAAGTGGTCAAAGACCGAAATCCCGCAATGGGCAATGGAAATTAAAAAAAAGTAATGCACAGTCCTTCATGTTTGACAAGGACACCTTTGGATAAGAATAAATTAGAAGACCCGACTGACACAGCATTGTTGGTGACTATTCCAAAGGGTGACAAGGCTGACAACTAGAAACTAAGATCGTCAGAATGATGTCCTCCACTGCATCGATTCCACCAAATCCGCCTCAACCTTTCTCTCGGGACGCTGTCTTCTACGTTTTAACACCATCTTCCACCGTTAGGTGACAATTTGAAGTTTCGAACGCAGACCTGATTCGGCTATGGCAACTTGACCGCTGCCAAGTTGCAGTTAACTGGGGAGAGACAGAGAGAGGCTTGAACACACATGATAACAATACTTACGACTTCTATTGGTACTGCCAAAAGCTAGACAAACCAGTACAAATGGCCAACCATAATTGCACTTCAAGCATGGGTAACTCAGTGACGATACCCGAGCTCATGGCATGACAGGATCCACGAAGAGCTCGAAACCGCATGGTTAAAGTTTGCCGTCGAAAAAATTCACAGTTCAGTCGAGACTCGGCTGGAAGCCGAGTTTTCCGCATCCGCAGGAACGCCACCACCTTCCAGGATCAAGGCGCAGATGCAGCTCCAAAAACGGTGGGAGGTGAGTAGATAAGACCCACCACAACGTGGTCAAAGACCGAAAATCCCATTCACTGCATCCCTGTTTCCTTCGTGCCAGGCCACGAGTTCCTAATTAACTGTGAGTCGCAGCACGGCTGGTAAAAACCCTTCCGCTTCCAAGCAGGACTTGAACCTAGTACCCTCTGTTTCTCAATCATGGTCCTAGACCATCCCACTATGCCTGCCTGTAAAGCGAAAATAAATCTACACATGGCGCCGGTGACTTTCGGAACATCCCTCTTCTCGAAAGTTGGGTGTTCGCTTCAGAGGCTTTGTCAGTTAGACTCTTTAACGAGACAAGAAAGTAACACGCCAGGTGAAAAAGGCAAGAAACTCTTTTGTTGCAGATGCGAAGAATAGGACTCTGTGTTGCAGAGGTTTTGTTTTTTTTTGCTGCAGAGGTGCAACATTTTGAGTTGTATCACACGTACAACAAGAAACACAACAATACGGGTGTCCTGGTGCTGCAAGGAGGCCGGCAAGGAGTGGTACGCTGTGCCGCTCCTTGCAGCTGTGCGGATAAGGCGCTGGCTTGTAACTTATAAGTCATGATGTTGCTTTAGCACCACTGTCCTTGCACTGTCACAGTAGTACGGGAACAGATTCAAACAACTGGTAGACAACTCTTGAACCACTGTGTCAAATACTCCATTGGACGACTAGGAAGTTTCTGTAGACATCTCGCAATATTATTTGGCATCCATTGGGAACATGGGGCCACTGTATCAGAACTGAGTTCACAGCATACAAAAACACATAGATCAAGGTTCTGGATTGTTTCTACGAGCTGTAGGAGCAACGGAGGTATCCTTTTCTTCATCCTATCGGGACTCATCTCGACCCCATTGTCTGCCAACAGTACATGTCCCAGTTCTAAATGCAAGGAGCAAGACTTTGAAGCACATTACTTGCATGGGTTAAGACACGAACAACACAAGCACAATAGATGTATGAGAGTACAAACGGCACGCTTTCTTCTACTAGTATTGCCCGAATGCCAGATTTATTCGGATTACAAAGGGACTGGATTCAAGTGCTGTAGGGAGGTTCACTGCAGCAGCCGAGAAAACGAAACGTGTGCTGCACCCCTTTCACAGGAGGGCGGCCAATAGTGAACGACGCCAAGCCGACAATCGGACCAAGGGTTCAAGATCTACCATTGGAACCCCTGCACGAGCAGCAGCCCAGGCAGTGGTATTAGCTTGAACGCAGTCATAGCCCAGCGCTTGAGCTTCCACGGGACATACTTCCCGTGCGTCTCCACACAGATGGCCATAAGACTTAAGAGCAATCCAGTGAACTGGGTGTAAGCGACCACAAGACCCTCACAAACGATCCACACCATATCCAACTGGGATGGCACAATATCCCAGAACTTCAGGACCACAGATGCTGACCCGTGGGGCCATACTGGTCTGGTTTGTCTTGGCAGCCAGGGAGGATATCAGGTTGTCAGTCCTACGCACAACAGGACGACTACAAACTTTACCAGAGGAGACTATACAACACAAATACGTTCTAGTTCATATACAAGGTACATGCTGTGTGACTCAGTTCCGATACAGTGATCCTGTCCAAAATGGCCGCCAAATAACATTGGAAGTCATGCATTCCTTTATCAGTTAGCTTGCTTCGACCTAAGTCCAAAAAGCAGCTGACATGTAAAAAAGAGAGAAGAAGACGCTTTGGATGTAAAGCTCAGTGACAACGAAAACCTCTTTTCACAACCACTCTTAACTTCAACCAGCAGAAAAGGTTTGCGCAAAAAAATCATTCACGCCAATCAGGGAGTAGTAAAATACAGGGAGGTGACACGAGCATGTACGGCCAGTTTGACGATTGCCTCAGCACCGTTTTCACCCGGCGGGTGAGATTGGGGTACTATGGGTACCGAAGTGTGTAGACACGCGCACGGATCAGGATTCTCTCAATCAGGGAGTAGTAAAATACCTACCGCCAAAGAGACTCCTACTGCAGCCCGTAGAAACTCAGCGCTGAGAATTTCCGACAATTGTCTGCCTTCACAAAGTTTGGTAGTCGACCAAACTACCACCATGTCAGGATAGAAGTCCAGCAATAGTGGTATCACTTTGGGAGATATCCCTGCGTGCCGTAGATTTTTCCTGTGTCGATACAAGCTGTTTACGACGACGTAGCCCGCATTTCAATCCTTGACAAACTTAGGAACATTTCATTCCGAAAAGTGAACTCCCGAATCTCTAGCATACCATAATATGAAATGCTCATCAACACAAAGAAGGTAGAGAAGTACTGGTTGATCACAACTGAGGAGAAATTAGTGCCGATCGTGTGGTGTCCTAGAGATTTTTTCGACTTCGAAATCGGTGCACTCGCTTTTCATCTCCAATCGTACACGTATTGTTCTCAAGGAAATCACCTTCGTTCTATTGCTCCATGCCGTCGATCGGGACGAATTTCGGAAGGGTGGTACCTTTCCATATGACGATGACACAGATGTATCACAAGAGCAAAACAAATGCTGTTCCATGAGATGGATAGACCTTTTCACGGAATTAGTTCTTCGACAAATACTCAAGATTGATTCAGCAGATCATCTTTTTTGCGAAAGAAAAAAAACAAGCGCGAGGCACCCATCAAAAATCACGATTAGTGGCATGTCACCTCCCTGTATTTTACTACTCCCTGACGCCAATTCATCCAAGCTGCTCTGACCATAGTAGCTCTTACTGGTAGCATTTGCTCTGCATACGCGCGCACACACATACACGCACACTCCGACAGCAGGCATTTGCCGCATGCACAGTGGAAACCTGAGCCAGCGTCAGGAGAAGCTAGGGCGGGAGGTAACAAGCAACCTGCCTCCAAGCACAGCAATCCTGGGCGGCAGCACACCCACAGTTGACAGGATCAGGAAGGGAAGGGGGAGAGCTGATGGATCGAAAACTATCCATAGCGACACCACGCCAGTGCCTGAATGGACCATGCTGGTCTCCAAACATAACACATGTCGGCGTACATCCGTCGCTCATCCGTCGATGTCTCCAAACCGGCAGCATACTCGATATACTTGGATGATACCTACGATGTTGCAATCGATGCTGATGGTCTTGGTGACCCCGTCGTCCCACTATCCTTGCCTAGAGATGCAAACGATGACGCGCGCATACTCATGACACCAGGAAAAGAGGCAGAGCAGATCAGGAGCCTTCGGAGACCAAGTTTCCTCTCCTTACAGGAGAGTAGTGAGCACATGTACAACGTGGACATGGACTCGAAACCCGGGGGAGGGGAGGGTGGGTGCCAAACACATGAAAGGAGATGATGAGGCGGGATGGAACATCACGTGAAGATTATCATTACATCAATGGAGCTGCTGTCGAGATGTACAGGCTCACTCATTCGTGAGAGCGCATGAGCACACCTACACACACACCACACACAATCTCGCCCGCTCTCATCTCCTCTCAATTACTTCACGTGCACTGCCCTATGGCAGTGAGTCCAGGGAGACGTGTTTGCCTGTACACTACGCTATCATCGCTTGGCTGACAAGCACATCCAGTAGTCTTCAGGTTCCTTCCTTCACATTGCTATGGAAAAACAACTTTATATCCAAAGTTCTCGCCTTCTTTCCGGCAGGCTTAGCCACCAGTTGCACCAAAACTTTCAATTGAGCAAGAGAACAAAGCTTAAGGGCTGGCATCACAACTTGAGCAAGTGCTCTTGTTCCACCTCTTTGGCAGGGGCAATAATTGATTTCCAGTAGCTATGGAATAGCCCAGGGACAACACCTTGCATGGCAGTAGTTCATAAAGCACACAGCTGCTGGGAAGGAAATGGCCTGTATGCACTCCACGGATCTTGGATATCGGAGTCAGCGACAGTGTTCATTTACGTCAGAAGTACCCATTCTCAATTTGTACTGTACACCTTTAGGCCAAAGCATTCTGTTTGAACGAACACACCTTTCGCCTCAGGATGTTGTAAAGTCCCTGGGAATCCTTTGCACAATTACCTCTTGAAAGCTGCAACTCTGTGTGACTGTTCTACCAGGAGGCAGAAAATGTTACGTAACTCAATGCACTGCTTCTACGTTCTGTTTCTGAACTCTGCTGATCAGACCTAATAAGGCTGAAGTGGCTGGTCTCCAGGAGATGGGTGACTATTTTTTCACAACATCGGCGATAGGTACATGCAACACACACTACAGTGTGTGTTGTGTCTCTTCACAGTAAACAGCACCAGAGCAGCAGTAACATGCCACTGTACATGTACTTACGTGGAGAGGCTGTGTTGGTGCAGCGCCGCCTCGGTCATCCTGCATGATGTTCTGAATGCGCGACACAGCCGCTGCGATGTTCTGCCACTGGGCTTGAGGCTGCGATGGCAACAGGAGGAGCACAACATCGGCAGACACAATTATTTGAGTTGAACTGCAACACTGACACGTGTCCTTCTGCCAAAGCAGAGCACCGCCGGCATGGAAGCAAGCACAAAGCAACGGACCAGTCCATACAACGGCCACAGAGAGGGCACTGATGTATTCGAGTGCCCGGCGCTAGAAATTCAACAATGTTCCAACTAATGCTCAAGGTCAACAAATAGGTGTCATTATTGCTACATGTAAGCAGCCAAAGCAGAGAGAAGACTAGGAGACTAGGACACGGTCATACTATTGTCAGCTACCTGCTGCCATCAGGTTGAGGTACATGTCAGATATCCCATTTGGCCATGCGACCCATGCAGACACTGTGCAGTGTGCACCTTACGCGGCCACCGGTCCTGTCCCCTGGCCGGTCACACACACACACACACACACACACACACACACACACACACACACACACACACACACACACACACACACACACACACACACACACACACACACACACACACACACACACACACACACACACACACACACACACACACACACACACACACACACACACACACACACACACACACACACACACACACACACACACACACACACACACACACACACACACACACACACACACACACACACACACACACACACACACACACACACACACACACACACACACACACACACACACACACACACACACACACACACACACACACACACACACACACACACACACACACACACACACACACACACACACACACACACACACACACACACACACACACACACGGTCCATGTCCCTCGCATGATCACACATGGGGGAAGACACGTGTCATAGGGAGACAGAGTCCGGTGAGAACCTTGGCAACACATACATTGACTACAACTTGGGTTGATGTGCTTGATGAAGCAGAGCACAGCGGCACTGTCCAAACGGTTGGCAGTAGTGGAGACGGAGACCCTAGTATCAGACGAAGGAGCTATTGCAGAAGTGGCATGCCGTCACCGAAACACACATCAACTATACCCCAAACCAGGCGTAGTGTGTGAAAGGCAGACCACCGTATGATACTGCACGGGGTATGTCACTTTATAACGATACTGTCAGCATGTTCATGCCTAGCAGGAACTGACAGACTGACAGCCATGCCTGCTGTATGGAAAGCAATGAATCACCCCCAGGTGAAGTCTGGTCGTCATCACCTACCTCTCCTTCTCCCTGTGGTGGCCCTTGTGGAGCTGGTTCATCACCAGGCCTACCATGAAGCAAACTCGGCGGTGGATGTTGCCTGTCACGGGCCATCTACGAACACACACAGAATTAAACACACACACACACACACCAATAGTACAGAAAACAAGCCGGTTTGTTTACAAATAACCTAAGCGTGTACATGCATACACCTTTTCCAAAGTTGGTTACCGGGTACACCATTATGCATACTGCCAGTTCATCCAAGCAACGAAGGGAAAGTACTACTAAGTATTAACCAACAATTTATCAGCGTCTTCTATACTATAATAGTCCACTTTAAAATAATACTTCAGCAAGCAAACAGTAAGCAAAAACAGGTTTGCCGAGAAAATTGAATGACGAAAAAAGAAATCCGAAGATTAAAATACATAGAAAGGATTGTTCGGGTATGGCAAATTGTGTGAAAGAGCTAGAGAATCGGCCAGGTTCTAGGCCTTTTTTCCTGTGGTTTAGAATCCACTGAATAATTTCCATTTTCCAAGCTGCCATAGAGCAAACCTTGGTGAGCTGAAACGAAACATGACAGTACGGAGCAGCAGATACACGTAGTGTGGAACCACTACAAATCCACCCATCATACATGTACATTCAGTCATTAAAAGTAAAGTAAATTATCGTATCCGTTCCCGAAGGGAACTCAGTCATTAGCCTAGCAGAAAAGCAAGCCACACGTCCCAGGGTAACACATGATCAAAAGGCATAATTCCATACCATGGGTGGGGGCTCATCAGGCCGTGGCCCGTCACCTGAATGCATTGGTTCATCGCCGAGACCCTGCAGGAGCAGTCAAATAGGTCAGGGAAACGACACAAGAGCACAGCATGAAACAGAATTAGAAATTTCAGTACAACTTTCAACTTCACCAGATTTTAACTTAAGTCTCCTTCACCTCGCTTTTCACAATCTCGGACTCGTTGGAAAGCTCTTGGCGAGAGCAATGCCAGAATACCAGGTTCCATCAATTAGCCGCCACCAATCAGGCGTGGGAACACAGCAAAGTCGTCTCCAAGCCCGATATGCAAGCAACGTCGCCTCATCAACGCGATTCCACTCTCCTCTATCGCAGAACGCTCAATTTTTTGCGAGGGGATTCAAACTTCAACCGACTACATCATTATCATGTGCTCAGTCACCCAAAGAGCACGCGAGCAACGCTATGTTAGATATAGCAACTTGTGCTAGAATAACAATATTCAGTACTTCCTCCGTACACAAAAACTTCGTGACTTTTTTTTTAAGGCTGCGCACAGCTCTGGAATTGTTCCGTTTGACTTGGAATATACCAAGAAGAGGCTGTTGCAAGAAGAGGTGAGGAACGATGGAGGTCCACCCGGTTGCTTGGTTCACTGTACGGAGTCACAGAAGACCTCAAGCGCCGGCGCCAGCAAGCCGCAGCTGCCTTCAACACACTTGTCAACCTGTGGATGCGGAGACAAGTTATCTCTGAAGCAACCCGCCTGAGGTTGTTTGATACATTTGTGCTATCTATTTTGACCTACAACTGTGGCGTGTGGGTGCTTTCATCCCGGGATGCTACAGCAATGGATGCGTTCCACAGAAAGCAGCTCCGCCGTCTATTAGGGATATCTTACCCGGAAATTATCACCAACACAGACCTATATACCCGCTGCAATGCCGAGCCAATATCCGTACTAAGCAGAAGAGCACGGTGGAAACTGTTTGGTCATATTCTACGCCTCCCTGAAGCAACTCCAGCGCAGGTGAGCATGACAGCGTATTTCCAGGGACAGAATCGGGGCTGGCTCGGACGCCCGCGCATCACCCTACCAGTGGTGATAGACAACGAATTAGCCAAGGCAACGTCCATGCGTCTCCGGAGTCTGAAGGACCTGGAGACACTGCGTTTGGTGGCTCGGAACAGGCAATCATTCAACGATATAATCGCACAGGTCACATTGTAGAGTGCAGATCACCTAGTGCTTTCAACAATAATAACGTACTTCCACATTATGGGAATTTGGTATAACCCCACACCCGTCATTGTTGAATATTCTATAATAGCGTGGATTTCCCCAACAATATATTTTCATTTTTTGTTATCCTCTCCCATGCCGTTGTACATAAGCGGCTTGCCGCGGATATGTCAATACTACTACTACTTGGAATAAGGGAGCATCTCATAAGTTCGCATTTTTTTCTCTAAACGTAACGCATTTCGAAACGGGGGTAGGGGGGTAGCGCCCTTTTCGAATAGAAAAATGACAGTTCGCACATTTTCTGGATGTGTACAATACTGTGCTCACGGTGCACATGGTGCATGTGCTAGACCGCCTCATGAGCTCAGCAGGGTGTGTTCATGGTGTTTAGCTACCTACTAGTATGTTCGCAGATCAGCTAACCCTGCACTGCATGCAATCAATCATGCAGGCTAATCAGAGGTGTCAAATGTCACACCAGCATCATCAAACCGTGTACCTGGCCAGCTTTCACAGTACAGTCGTTGTGGAAACTCTGTTTATGTGCGTGTACATGTCATTTGTACTCAGTAGATGCTGTACTACTGTATGCCACCAAGACTCGGCAAGAGTTACTCTTGCCGAGTCTTGATGACACTCACATCCACACTAGCAAAACATTCATGTACATGCGCATACCATGGCATGCATGGATATGTACCGTAGTAGATCTACATGTACACTGAAAATGTGCGATAAGACTTTCAAATAGTGGGGGGAGGCAGGGGGGTAAAGTCTATTCGAAATGCGTTACGTTTACAAAAAAAGTGCGAACTTATGAGATGCTCCCTAACACTCGTGGCATTGTCTAACCTGTTTACAAGCTACATACAAAGAAAAAAAGCAACTCAGACGAATGTGATTGAGTTTATTCAGAGTCTTCGTCGCTCCTGTCATTGTCACCTGACGACGCTGGCGCCGCATTGCCAACAGTCGCTGCTGCCGCTCGCATTTCGTTCAGATTCTTTTCAGCTGCAGTGATGATCCGACGCAGAACTTTGGCTACGTCCTCTTCATCTCCAGAGCTGTGTACGAATCGGTGTCGACAATATTCAGTCGTTCCAACCCGCGACCTCCATTATGCCGTGAACCGAGTCGCTCAAGCACATCCACACGCTTCGCATTTTCTCGGCAGGATAATCCTCCCAGAATTCTACAACGGCTTTGAGGAGGTCCCTGCGATTCCCCTTGACGACGACGGAGACATCTGACTGGAGAGATTAAGAAAGCCAGGTCGTCGACATTCCGATCCGGAGTCAGCGCTGGTTGCACGACGACTGAAATGTTTCATCTTGCCGTGCGAGCGGAACCGATTTATGTTCTCACGTTGCATATTGGGCCGCGCACAGCAAGTACGAGCCTGGCTAGTTTCATGGCAGCGAGTGCTGCAGCGAGTGTTCCAGCCGCGAGCTCCACTTCGTCACTGTGTCAGTTTCGAACAAGTAAGTGTTAGTTTTTTCATTTGACTCGCGAGTTCCTGTCGGCAACGTCCTCACACGCATGGCTTCCGTGGAGAATCTGTTCGGGGTCAACCAAACCTACCTCAACATGAATGTGGGTTGTCGATGACAGCCTTTGGTGCGGTTCGTTGAGCAGGTTCTTGCTCAAAAACACCGTTGAAAAAAAGTCACGAAGTTTTTTGTATACGGAGGAAGTAAGTCTAAAGCATAGGCCACTGGTATAGCCTGTTATAGAGCTATTGCACCGCATAGCTCAGCAACAGCCCCCCCCCCCCCCCCCCACACACACACACATGTACACGGGAGCACACATACACAGTCACAGCTGGTAAAGGCATGCGGTCTTCACTCACCAGTTCACCTGATGGTGGGCCTTGTCCATGGAACATCTCATCCATCATGTTATTGCGATTGCGCAGAAAGCCTTCCACGGCCTTGCTGCTCGGTCCATGTTGCCGAAAAATGTTGCCTTGTTGCTGAAAGTACTCATCGCGCCTGGGGGCCGAAATAGCAAAGCATGTGACCAATCATGAAATAAGTGCAGGCCATGATGGATATGGTATTACTGCCTGAAGCACGTGATCAAAACGAGTACTACTAGTAAATACCCATGGGAGCCTGCACACGTGTAGGGAATCTACGGACCTACCTCTGACCCTCATGTCTCCGCTGCTGATCAGCAAATTTAGCACGTTCCGCACGGCGGTGCTCCTCAAACCGCTCCAATTCCTTTTGCCTTTGTTGCAGCTCTACGACAGCAAACGACCACAAGAGGATGCCATGAGTTAAAAATGAATAACACATATGTTGCAATGTAGAGATGTGAGACAGGATACCAACCAGGAAAATGGAAAAGCAGTCTGAACCATACAAAACACCTACCTGCACACAAACACATGCACACACGCACGCACGCACGCGCACACACACACACACACACACACACACACACATGCAGACATCTACATCTATATCACTGACTCACCAAGACGCATAGTTTCAGCTTGCTCATCTAGCATCGTCTGCTCCAGCTCGGTGTGCAGCTGTTGTCTTGCCTCGCGGATCTGCCTCTCGAGTAATTCGCGCTGCGCCTTTTCTGCTTCAGCAAGAGCTTTCCACTGCGAGGCGATCTTGTATTCAAAAGTACCAGGCCGAGCAAAGCGGGGCTCAACAGAACGTTCTCTACACAAACAGCAAAGATGAAAGAGAACATCACAAGTTTGACTGTACCTGGATAGGATGGGTGACATTGCATACATTAGATTACATCCCACATCACCTTACACTTCACTATTCTGAGTATATTAAGTTACACTACATATAGCCTAACACTTCACTATTTCCAGTGGCTTAGGACCTGGCAGGGCCCGCAAGTCCGTCAGTGGTACAGTACTTGTACACAAAAAGATCGGTCTGTTGGTAGTAGCCTGGTACAACAAAAACGGTGTTCCGTTGTCTGCAATATAAAATTGTCGTAAATTGTGGCCAAACGTTGCCACATAATAGTACAGGTGGAATCCTGATAATTCGAACCCCAAAATCCCAGGGAAAAACTTCTAATTATCCGGACATTCTAATTATCCAAACATGCACCCACAACACATTATGTATGTCAAAATGATCACATTTTCACGCAGTTGCGCTTTACACCTTAGACACAGGTTTCGCAGACACTGAACTGGACAGTACAGCCTGCTCGTGCACACTAAACCAACTTTGAATTATGTGCAGCCAATTTCGAATTATGCTCTGCCAACTTCGAATTATCAGTTTATGTGGGAATGGTATTGACGGAAATCGGTCCTGGAGGACATAATCGAATTATCAGGATCCCACCTGTACAAGGAGTGTTGCATTTCTCAACATAATTGCCGTACTGGTGTATAAGCCGTACCCCCCCCCCCCCCCCCTCCCTGGAGGTCAACAACTTACAAGTCACTTTCAAATTTGTTTTGGCTAGTACAGAGGTGGAAAACCCTGCCCAAGTGGCGTACCTATTGAAAACTAAAAATCGCCTCCACCAAGTGAGGTTGGCCGACTAAGGAGATCTTGAGTGTAATCCGATTGGAAATAAACACGATTATCATTAGCACAGTCAACACCCCAGGGGGTAAATGAAAGTAGACGTCTTTCACAGCTCATCAACTGCAAGAAAAGGAAGAAAGGGGTTAGGAGAATAACACACAATCTTGCTGGGCATTGCCTTACTCTTCAAACTGGGGGTTAGATGAGGCACCTTTGTCAGTCAATCCATCCCTGTCGTCATTGTTCTCAAAGGCTTTCACGCTGACTGGCTGTGGCGACCTGTGAAGAAAAGGCACGTGGGTGAGGTAGTACATGTACACTCTGAGAATACGCACACATACAATAGTCCAAAGCATGACTGCAATGTGCCCAAACGAACAAGCAATGGATCAATACGCCTGGGCAGAAAACCAACAATGGCACAGGGAGGAAATTCAGATGAGGTCCGCCGGACAAGAGGCTCCCTTTCCGAAGGTTTCGTGGTGCAATCGCAATCACAAAAGCGCCGTATTCAAAACCAAACCAGCGCACTACACAGTGGTGAATGATTGTATACATACCAAGCACCACCAGGGGTACAAGGGAGATACAGTAGAGAGGTTCTGCTTTACGTGAAACGCAGAGAAATCACGTAGGCCCGGGAACTCTCTTCGTGTTCCCGTAACGTAAAGAAAACCTGTTCTGCTCTACGTTTGCGTGGAGAAATCACGTGGAATGTGTACTGGGACTTTCCCCTTCAATATTTGGCAGTTTTATGCCTGCACTTCATCGATGCCCAGCAGATCTTTACGCATTTTCTCTGCGTGTGCCACAACGTAGAGAACCTCATCTCCGCGTAGAAAACTGGACCCAAAACACGCAAAACCGTAGACTCTAACCCAGACACCTGCTCTCTACGTGATTTCTCTACGTTTCACGTACACTCGAACGTCTCTTATCCGGGCACCTTGGGACCGGGCACTGCCCGTATCTCAGATTTGCCCGTGTCTCAGGATAACTCACCTACCATGTATGATATCATTTTTTGAAGAAGTTTATTTGGCACGTATTGCACATGTTGAGGATACAAAAGGAACCCATTGATAAAAATGTGAGGATTACATAGGTTGGCAGTGAAACATAAGCACTTCCACACACGGAAAAAAGTTCAAAAACCCCAAATTCGACTCATTTGTGCTATAGGCCCTCAAGCTGAAGGTGCCCGGTAGAGAGACGTGCCCGTATCTGAGGCGTCCGGATAAGAGGCGTTTGAGTGTATAGCAGAACCTCCCTACTGCATTACAGCAAACCCCTTCAGTGGAGAGCAAGACTCATGCAAATGCGTCATAGCTGTGGACGCTAAATCAGAATTTAGAGAAGCGTTTGTCTATTTGAGTCTCAAGCAAACCATGAACTCTTTTTTTTGCGATGCGATCTGCGGCACCGCAGCGCGATGCGAACTCGTAAAATACCATCCACAGAACAAGTGAGCGACGCAACGACGTCTTGATGATGGGCCTCAAAGATCAATGCGAGGACGTACGTCGCCATGGCTTTCTCGTAGCTGGATACAACTAGCACAAATCGACAAGCAGCTCTCCAACCTTCCGTACAGCTTGCTGCGAAGAACGTCCAAATCGCACGTCGCATCGCATCGCGAAAGTTGAGCCACGCTCAACTTCTGCTTCGGCTATGGGAGCTCCGTGATGGGTGTGATTTGGGGATTTCCCTGGTTTTGAAGCCGTTACATCGCGCATCGCATTGCAAAAAAAGCTTCCGTGAATCCCGCTTCACGGCCCAATGGGCTAGGCTATGGAACACATGGCTATCACAACGGGCGCATCCCACTCGCGTTCTCTCCTCGCGATTCGAAGCGTTGTTGTCACATATCCCATGCACATTTTAGCTAGAGATCTACATGTACATTTTAGCTAGAGGTCTACATAATGCATATGTTTAGTCCTTACTACAGTTGAGCTCGGTGAAATCCGACCCAAAGTGCAAATCTGGCGCCCTCTACCAGTTCTGATTACATCACTGTATTTGTACATGTGTACGTCCAGCCACATTCGTGCCACTTCCGGGGCGTCAAGGGCCGGGAAAATTGAGGGCGTCAAATGTGCACTCTGGGCTGGATTTCGCCAAGCGCAACTGTACTACTAGTGTGCTATGACATAATATGTCTACCTAAATACTTACTTCGTTAGAAGAAAGCAGCCATCCGTGCATGCCTTCAAGCAGTTTTGAGCAGAGTTGCGCCGCGCAAAGTCCACAAGACCTTTTCCAAGAGAGCGTCCCTTTTCATCGCACCAGACAATGGCGTTTTCCACGGTTCCAAACTGAGCAAACGCCTTCTCCAGCAGCTCATTAGTAACCACTGCATGCAGTCCCTCAATGGCTAGGGAGCAGTTTGGTGCAGCAAATCGGATGCGAACCAATCGCCCATTCATTACGGCACCATCCAGCTCTTCCTTGGCTTTTTCTGCATTGGCACGAGTGTCCTGCACGGGAAGCAACCAACAGAACCATGCATTTATAAATGCACAATTGAAGAAGGAAAGGGCTTCGTGCAGATTTGTGCTGAGGGTTCCTGTCACCACAATCCCCCCCCCCCCCTCCCACACACACATGAACAGACACATGAACCCACACACGCTCACATGAACACAAGCAGAGACCCATTTACACACTCTCTCTCTCTCTCATACACACACACACACACACACACACGCGCGCGCACGCCCACACAAGCACACGTGCACGCACGCACACACACGCACGCACACGCACGCACGCACGCACACACACGCCCACACAAGCACACGTGCACGCACACACACACACACACGCGCGCGCACGCGCGCTTGCATGAACTCAAGCAAGGACCAAGTGAACATACCAGACGCACAAATCCAAAATTGCGAGTGGCTTGCAGGAAAACTTCCGACACCTCTCCATACTTCAGGAACATTTTTCTGAACTCAGCCTCTGTCATGCCGTGGGCCAAATTCCCGACAAATAGACGGCACTTGTTCGTGAATTTGCGCTTCTCATTGCTTGGGCGTTTAGTTACATCTGGTTCAGGCGCACTCTGGGCCTTTTCCTCAGGCTTTACACCACTTGCAGCAACAACGGATGACACTGATGATGACGAGGTTGTGTTCCTTGCATCGCTTTTACCTGCAGGTGAAACTACGACAGTACTTGTTTGACTGCTGGAACCTGCAGAGGCTGTTGTTGCTGCGGGTTTAGAAGCAATAATCTCCACGTCATTCTTCGTTGACTGGTGATCATCACGATGAACATTTCTTGCTGCTGCACTGGTGTTGCCAACTTGATCTGGGTTTCTCGTGATATCCCTGGTCTCTCTGGGACGATTTCTATCGGCTGCTGGCGTATTCCTGAAGTCTCTTTCTTGCCCTCGCTGCCCATCGCGTCCTGGCGGGCTCTTGTAATAACCACCACCTCTGTTTGGACCACCACCTCTGTTCGGACCACCACCACCTCTGTGTGGACCTCCGGTCGGACTCCTTCTGGCATGCATATCGTCAATGGCAAGCAAAGTGGTCAAGATAAGAACAGAACTACAAACACAGAACTACTCCTCCAGCTTCAAGAAAATTCGAAATGAAATCCACGCAAACAGCTGCTTCATTTATCAATTATCACACTCTCAAAAAGAACAAATGACCGTGAAGAAACAGAGGTGATCGCGAAGGCAGACACACTCGTAGTGCTGTTTCTTTTCTGTTTTGCAAACTAACTTCTGAAGTAAGTAACTCTGGCCTTGCAACGCTTGCAGCTTGGGGGATCGACATAAAAACAGCTTTCATAATAATGAATGTAAAATTGTTGCAAAAGAAATTTTGCAAAAATGATTTTGCAAAAGGGTTTTATGATTTCAAAAACTTGAAAATGGAAAGTTCTTGATACAATCTCGATCAAGAGTAACTGTTGTTCATAATAATTTGCAAATGTAGAGGCCGATTTATTATTCCTCAGCAGAATGTCTTCTTCATTGGCCTCAGCAGCAAGCACCGGCGAATTAGATTTGAAGACATTCTCCGTACCTTGCGCCGACTTCTCTGAATTCAAGGTTTGTAGTTTCAGCATTTATCCACATGAACACTGCAATCATATACAGTACATGTGTATTATGTTTTGGGTGCATGATTCTAAACTTAGCGCATAGTAAGCATTGTACGTCAAAGATCTACGCATGCACTCATATCATAAAGAGTATGTTGGATGGTCTTCGTGATGTGGTTGGTTCTGGATTTGTACGGAACGTACTCGGGCTGTGTTTACACGACAACGTTGGGGGTGAAAACGCAACAAAATCCTTTCAGATGCATGGTTCATTTACACGGTACGCGGAGCAAAACGTAAAAGTTGCACACCAAAACGGAAGAAAACCAAAATGCTGGCCAAGGTGGAAGAATTTGAAAACGGAAATGTTCTGCCGGATAAATTTGTGTGTGTAAACAGTCGAAACGGTCTGCTGGCCTTGTTTTCCGTCACGTTTGTCCCGTTTTCGGCCGTTCACACGGATCCGACAATCAAAAAGATTGTTTTTACAATTTTTGTCATGTTACGAGTGCTGTCGTGTGGCCTGTTTTCAACTATTCTTTGAGTGTGATTGGTGCTTCCACGACAACACTTGGCACATGACAAACTTTGGCGGATCCTTTGCTCCCGTGTAGACGCGCGAAAACTATACAAACCGAGACCACCTCGAATCAGCTTTGATCGTGTAAACGCACGAAACCGAAAAAGAAATGCGGGACTGAAAACGGAAAACTCGCCGTGCGTTGTCGTGTAAACGCAGCCTCAGTCTACGGGCCATACTGTCAAGAGCTCAGTAGGTTCCTGGATGAGGTCGTTCATTTGCTTTGAACTGACACTTTGCACCCAGCCGAGTCTCACGCGAACCGTGAATTTTTTTGCACGAAACCAATGACATGCTATATCGCTAGGGCTTTTTCGGGAGAATAGCACCATGCAAGTGCAACTGCGGGGGGGGGGGGGGGGTGGATATAGCTAGCCAAGTACCGTACACACACAGAAAACTCTCTCGACGCATTACACTGTTCTCCACTACGTCAGTCTCCCTTGACATTGCGGCGGCGATTGCTTACATGAAAATGGTCTGCTGTAAATCAGCACATCCGTTGAGAAGGCAGTCTTGCCTGTTCATATGGTGAATTAAAGTAAAGAAACAACAACAACAACAACATCCTTGTGGTTGACAGCATTTCTTTGATTTCGCTGGCTGATATCAACAGGCTGAAATTTATCACCAGACCCTAATACTACAATCATGGTACCATGGTTGCGACCATGTTTGCATGTCAAACAAGAACTATGTGTGGGAAACCCCCAACAATCGGTAAAAATGGACTCGGATGGAGAGCCAAGGATAAATTTATGGAAAAGAAAAAGGACCAAGGAACTACAAGTTACGCTATACTCCTATGTTATCATAAAACCTAGAACCTTCCAAGTTGGAAGGCTGTTGGAGTGCGCATCCAAGATGTGCTACAGCTGTTATCCAGTTAGTTGTAGAACGTCAGTACCGTCGGTCAGTGTCGTGCAATGTTATCGCATGAGCTGATTGTTTAGTAGCTGGTGGTGTTAGTGGACATTATAGCGTAACTTGTAGTTCCTGATCCTTTTTCTTTTCCACGAATCGGTAAAAACTATAGTTTTTTTTGGAGATGGGCCAAATTTCTCACCTGCCGAGATGTGTTGATTTACATACAGCCTACAAACTACGGCAGCAGTTGCATTGTTTTTTCAACATTTGCATGAATTGTCCTCCTGTGCTCGTTCTCCACAGGAAGCAATTAAAATCTTGAGGGATGTGGATGACAGAATTGTTTATCGACTGAACACCAGCATTCCCACAGCCTCGTTTGCAAAGGGTGTCGATACACAAGCGCGATGCAAGGAGCTTCATGATACCGTAAGTTGTTGTTAAATGTTGCATGTGCCGTAAAGTACCATTGTAACGTAAAACTGCTGCAATGTAGCTCTACCAAGCTCTCCCACCTCTGCAAATAGGGTAATTGAATGTGGTAGAGTAGCTCAGTTTGTAACTTTTGGACAATAAGAACAAGCATTTTTGTACTAGTAGAATCTTTTGTATAGCTTCAATCTATTGACTATCTCCAATGCCGAATGTACATTGTGTAGATAAGACGGTACCAATTTCGCTTAAGTAATTGTATGGTCAAATGCATACTACTTTAGTGTACTTAACAGACTGCACATTATGTGGCTTGTACCTAGTATCTACCAAAGAATCCTGAAGAAGAGGCAAGGACAGCATGATTTCTTCCATTGATCATAGATTCTACATACAGTCAACGTTGCGTATAACGACACTCGGCGGGGCATCAGAAAAGTGTCCTTATTCGCGAAGTGTCCTTGCACCCTAAGTCTCATTATGTGTATTACAGTTAGATGGGACTTTGCTCTGGGCATGAGAATTCTGTCGTCATTCGCGAATTGTCGTTATATCCGCAGTCGTTATTAGCCAAGTTGACTGTATACATGCTCTATTGGCACTGGGCTGAGTGGTGGCATTTCTTGGCTTTGGGTCCTTTCACTTTCTTAGATTCGAGAAGTATCTGAGGCCCGTGGTGTGGCAATTCAGAGATGCATTTCGGAAACCAAGAATCACATAGCTGAGCTTCAAGTGCAACGGAAACAAATGCCAGACAGCCAGCGATTTACCCATCTACTGCGACAGAATCAGACAAAAGTAAGTACTTGAAGTACTAATATTAGTTGCCTTTTTGCCCAGTCTCACACATGAATTTGTGATAATATCATAACTAATATCACAACTTCATTATCATAAAAAGATCCTCAAAAACAGGTTGTCCATATTTCTGCGCTTAATCCCCCCTTTCGAATATTTACTCAAGGGGTTCGTTGTTTTTTTGATTGGTTGACTTGATGCCACTCGTATCACTTTGTGTTGGTTATCACGGTTTGTAGTCCTGTCTACCACAGGACTTTGAAGATTGAAAGATTGAGATAATAATTCTCCCTCTCGAATAATTCCTGTGGCAAGTCGTGAAGTTGAAATAGTAGGGAGGTTTAGTCCCACGTAACGGATACGGGAACGTGGGTGATACACGTAAAATTCCTGCAACGGACCCACGCTCGCATTGTTGTGTTTAGTCACACGGAACAAACAAAAGCATGAAGCGAAAGGCCCAAACTTGGTCACAGATGAAGCTTAGAAGCTCATTGAATATTTTGAATTCGTGCTTCGGAAACTTCTTCAGCTGAGCACCCTCACAGCTTGCACAATGCGCTCCATTCTGATTTTCGGTCGTGAATCAGAAAACGTCTGTACGTGGGTCACTGAGTATCACGTGGTACACACACGTAAAGTACACACGGATTACGTGGGACTAAACCTCCCTAAAAAATGTGGTATTTCCGAAATGCGGTGTACGTGTACCCGGTGGTGTACCTGATACTGAAGTGTTGCTGTACGTGACGTATCCAGTGGTTCTACTTCTGTACATGATGCAGTAATACCAGTAATACTGGTGTGACTTTGTTAACATTCTTGCACAGTATTGCATGTACACCTTTCTGAGTCTTTGTCTCTTCTTGCAATCCGTGGTGTTGTGTGTCGGTGCTGCTGCAGCTAAGAATGATGGAGTCTGAGCTTACTGTAGAGGAAATAGTGCATGCACGTACAATGAAGGTGAGAACTTACATGTATTGGAGTCACCTTGCTCTCGTCATAGCAGCATTCATTGACAGCTCAGGGCATTTGAACATCCATGTACATGTCCAGCAGTAGCTGAAAAAGAAATCAATCAGCCAACTGGTGAGGAGTATTTGCTTAGTGTATATCCGTAGAGTTACTCAATGCTGCAGACAGCTATCCATGCACCTACAAGTACATGTAGATACACTCAGGCCTGGCCTGGGCTGGAGATGTACACGCCGGTATACGTAACATTGGTTTGAAATCTCCTTCATGGAAGGGTAACGGGACGTCCATGATAATTTGTACTGTCCTATCCCAAATGAAAGTCACATATGATATTGTGTGCATGAATGCCTGATCGTTTCAAACATTGAAGCGCCATAAACATATCTCTGTAAGTTTCATGTTATCATTGTCGTCCAGCGGTGTGATGGTCGTGAAAATGTAAAGAGTTTCGTCGAAATCTCTCTATCTATCTATCTATCTGTCTCTATCTATCTATCTTCCTCTCCCTCTCCCTCCTTGAGTCTCTTCAAACAAGGGAGCACTCCGTTAGGCGATGAAAACATTCCTTTGTGTTTGTTCTTGCTCCAATATGAGAGTGGGCTAGGAAAGTCCGATCTCTTGATTCTCACTTCTTTTGCTGAGTGGATGTTGCAAAGTGGATAGTGGATGGTGCAAAGTGGATAGTGGATGGCTGCAGTGGAGTCTTCGCACTTTGAGAAATGTTTTGCAAAGTGTGGAACAAGCCCATGGCCATGTTGTCATTGTAGTGCTGGCTGACCATTTTGTGAATTCTCTACTAATCCTTTCTGTAACTCTCGTACGTTCGCCATGCGCTGTATGCTTAAACTGCAGGCATTCAAGGAGAGATGTCGACCAATACCATAAGGACTGCTGTCGTTGTCCCTTGTCTCCGTCTCTAGAGTGTGTCCCCTCCCCTCCCCCTTCCGTGCTATGTGACTGACAATGTATGCTGTTGTATATTTTGCTATTCTCTCCCCCCTCCCCTCACCACCTCCAACCAGATGTTGGTCGCCAATGGTCACAAGACTAAGCTAAGCTTTAGCTTTGCTCTTGTTTCTTTTGGCCTTTGTGTACTTTAGACTTGTATTGTGTGTGTTTTTATATCTGTTTTAGCAATTTGTTCAGCCTTTTTTTGCTGAAACCTTCTAGGCCAATAATTTCTTTGGCAGTATTATTTGACTGACTTTCCAGAGTGCTCCAACGTGTGTTTGATTGACTGCTCAGGCGGTGCATGCAGCACGACGTACACACACATGTGCGCACACATAACGTTACGCACAGAATCCGCCTGATTACAGGAACACCAGAGGTACGACAGTCCATACCTTTGACTATGTATTGCCGTAATTTGATGCATGTGAGAATGAACTCGGATGGTGAGTCCATAATAATCTTACATAAGAGGAAGAACAATTACATAATCATTGGTGGACTATTTCTTTTAACTCGTGCCAAATTGTCCTTCCTCGTATCCTATCTCGTAGATTTATTTTGACAGTTCAAGTCTGTTGTATGTAGGGAGCCCCACCTGTAGATCTCCCTCATTCTACCCCGGCTATCCGAATACTACATGCCGTTCTTCAATTATCCGAATGCTCAAAAGGGGTGCTTTTCTTACATGCACCGTGCATTTTTTGGCATGTGGATATGAGCTAATGTGTTTGGGTGTCAGGTCATGTTCTCATACATGAATATGCACAGGATTACAGTAAATATTACTCTAATTTCAGAAATTTTCGGTGGTCAATAGACAGACCCGATTGTGGGGTGTTCAACTGTGTTCTCACAGACCCGAAAGCAAAGCCACGTGATCAGAGTGGCATCAGTATCCTGGATGCATGGTTCCATGGAGAACCACAAGGCCATTACCAACCACAGTGACACACAGTCCAACCTAGAAGCGACTTGTGCTTGCTTTCATACCAAACAAAGACGTCAAAGGGAGCAACAATAATTACTCTAGTACAGTACCACGGACAGAGAAACTTGGAATACTGGGGAGCGTTCGGGACACAAGGAAACAGTGGTAGATGATCAAAGACGAATGTGGACCAAGAACACAATGCAATAGAAAACAGCAGGGCACAGCTCAGCAGAGCACCTAGGCTAGAGGGTAGGTAGGTAGCAGGTAAATGCAGCACTAAATGAGGACCAACCGAGTACACGAACATGGCATGTGGAAAGCAAGTATCAATACTGTACAATCATACTAATACACTCTCCATAACAACGACCTATATAGCTATCTCTACAGCTAAAGCGCATAAAAAACACATGGATGACCTAAACATGTTACGATATTGTGCAGGAGACATGCAGTAGTTTTCTTCAGTACGATGTATGTTAATTTTGTCATGTGAGCAGTTGGTACACAGTCATGTAGATAAGGAACAGGTTGGAAGCAAGGCAAAAATCGAGCATCAAGCACCTAGTGAAGTGATAGGCAAGGCAATAATCGGCAACACATTTCGATAATTAAATGGGGGTAGATTTCATTAATTTTCATGAACACATCATGTGTGATGCATGCACGCCTCTTTGCAAAAAGGCACCACGGGACATGCAGGTCTGTGCCTAGATGACAGGAGCGTGGGCAGGCAAGGATGGCCTATTCCTCGGCAGCGAGGTCGCCGTCGCTGTCGTGCACTGGTGCCCGCGTCCTGGGAGCAGCAGCAGCAGCTGCTCCACCGCTAGCAGCAGCAGCGCCGTGATCTTCGTATTGGGATAGATCAACAGTTACCACCTGCGTGACTGGACAATCACCGGGCTGCACATAGGACAGAACAACGGCAAAAAAGTAGCATACGAGGACAGCAAGATATTTAACACACATCATCAACTAGCTGTGACCTGGCATACACACATCCACAACACAACGTGCACACAAACATCAAAAAATATACTTCGAAGAACAGCAATACTTTGGTAAGCTGTTTCGAAGGCGTGTTTCAAGAACCCAAAGTGTTCTGACCATCCAAATCACTATCACATCAACATCTGTGCTGGATAAACATAGTCTCGACTCATTGTTCTCGTATTGCTGGAGTGGTGAGCAGGGCATGTGTGATGGACAAACATAGGCTCGACTCATTGTTCTCGTATTGCTGGTGAGCAGGGCATGTGTGATGGAAAAAAAGAAGAAATAAAAAAACCCGGATGACCTACCCGAGCAGTAATTCCAACCAAGAGGTCCGCTGTAGCAAAGAAGTCTTCCTTCAATGAGATGACAATGCACTGGAACTGGTCTTTGGTCTGGCTGCTGATGTAGCGACTGACCTGCACACAACAAAACACACACACACCGGATCATGTGACAGCAGGCTATACAAGTACAGCAGGACCAGTTACAGTACTATACGTAGCGGTGCAACATCTGGAACTAGTTTTCCGGGTACAAGAGCAACATGTCTTACTTTACTCAGGCACTCAGTAGGGCACACACACACACACTGGGCAATTCGACAAGTAGTTCCATGCCCACAAGAGAACACTAACACATCACACCATCCCACTGCCGCATTCAAAACACGCTGCAGCAAGCTACGTAGTGATATTGAAAGATGCATGCACACCCGCAGCACCAAACCTAGTGACGGGGGTTAACCTACCTTGCCAATGTTAGTATTGTCCAAGGCAGCGTCAATCTCATCTAGCACGAAGAACGGTGCTGGCTGGTAGCTGCACAGGCAGTAACACACAGCACATGTGCCCATGCACTCAACTCAAAGTCCAAAGGCCAGCAGAACACAATGCATGCAACGATCATGCAAATAAAAGCTACAACACAACACTGCAGTTTGGTGCATGTACCATACAGTCTTGTGTTTCACTCCAGCTATAGAAACACAACTGAAAGAGAAGAATGATCGGGAGAAGAGCAGGATATTTGTCTAGACTGCGCTGGACAAGTAGACACATAGGCGTAGGGGTGCCTGTCAGCATTCGCTATGCGCAAAAGTGCAGCCTGAATAGAAGCCTGCCTGGTTTCAATAACAGCATGGTATAAACATCAACAGGTCACATACACACACGTTTCTTCTGTAAATGCAACCTGACAGTGTGCAGACAACTAGTTGTGGTATGCAACTACTACACTGCTCAAGGAACGGTCATCCCAACACATCAGCAATACATCACCAACACATCACCAACGCATCAGCAATACATCACCTACACATCACCAATACATACCTATGAATAGCGAAGAGAAGGGCAAGGGCAGCGACTGTTTTCTCTCCGCCAGATAAATTGTCCATTGGACCGAAGCTGTAAAAATTAAATCACCAATATGCAAAACGATTACAGAGGAAGTCAAACAGCACCCGTAGCTCACCAGCCAAGACGGTGAAAGGGCTACTAGTAGTAAACACAAGCCACATAGCACACTTCACAAAGAAACACATTGCACACTTCGCAAAGAGAAAGCTGAAATACGTGCAGAAAGAATGAAAAACGGTCATTTTAGCAACTTACCGCTTTCCGGGGGCAATGCAGTTATAGTCAATTCCACTCAAGTAGGGCTCCTGATAAAGAGAAGAGCAACAAGGACAAATCCCAGTGAAGAGGTGAGCACTACAACTGAGTAGACAACTGCAGGTCACAGACTCACAGTACTGAGCATTTTCAGATGCTCTCATCCATGATCCTATCTCCAGTATAATATTATTATACTGAGAGATGATGAGTGCATCTGCACATGTTCAGCACCATATAGGGCAAAGTTTAACGGTGACAGAACCGCCATCAGCACAGATGTATTCACAGATGCCAGATGGAAGAGATTGCCCGATGGCGTTCCTAAGGCATTCACACTAGAGGTCCACGTGCAGGTTGTGATCCGAAGGAGACTTGGAGAATTGTTGCTTACTCCTGCTGTGTTGTTGGGTCATTATTTCCGCTGCACTGCGAGTTAGATGCAACTCTACGCGTCTGAACTTTTCTAATTGTCCGTCAGCTCCAACGCAGCCACTTACACACTAGGCACTGGATCTTTGTTATTCATGTTTGTGCCCTGCTGCTGGGCCAGGCCCAAAGAATGGCGGAATGTAAAGTGATTCACAGTGAAGAGACCGTTATTAGAGTTGGAGAAGTGAAGAGTTATCTATGCGTCTACTAGCACTTAGAAAATGACGATAGCAGGTTTCTGCTGGTCAACACATCTGCTCAACTATTATTCAAATAGAGGCCGGTGCCGATGTGTTTCGACAGTGGGCATTCGACTGCACTATAGTCTACACGAACTACAGATCGTGGACACACACACATGTACATGTCTGAAATGAAGAAGGCAGGATCCAGTGCATGTGCTAACATCCAACTGTATTCCCTGTCAACGGCCATACCAAAGAACAACAATGTAGTCAACTTGAGTTCTCCCTACCTCAGCATTCTGGGGGCCAAGGAAAGCCTGTGCGCTGTTCGTGTGGGACAATTTCTGCACAAAAAAATAACCAACGTGCATCCAAACACAGCAGTGACAACACATCAAGCACCTTGTTTAGACAAATGTACCATGCAGACGGTATTCCACTATTTTCTCAATGGTCCGCCGGTCATATCAGCAACTCGCATGAAGGACCGCAGCTGAAACTGGAGAAAATCGAATGCCGCAACAATCCTGTTTTAAGAGCTGTTCAGTTCAAACAGTGGTGATACCCTGGAAAAGAAATATCCAGCTCCCTCAGAGACAGGTCCACAGCAGGTCTTACCTTGTAGATTTCATCAATATGCTGTGCCACATGCTGGAAGGCATCATTGAAACGATCAAACCTAAGGATCAAAGGCAATAAAAACAGACACGCTATGAAAAAGAAGCTCATCATACCCATAAATCACAAGTGCATGGTGACTTTGTACGCAATGACCAGAGGTACAACAAATACAAGGCACCCGCAAGCAGAACCCACTTGAAATTCTACTCTACCAACACAGGGAGGCTACGCACCGTTGCCGCTTGACATTCTCAAATTCTTCTCGTGTTCGTCGTGCGGCCCTTCGCAGCGCCTCAAACTCTTCCGTGGATTCAGAGAGCTTGCCTTGTAGATCGTCCAGCCTAGTATTGGCAACATGTGAAACACATCAGAGAATTCAAGAATTGAGTCGACAGGAAAGTGGCTCGTGCTACCCACCACCCACACTCACAGTGCCACGTAAGTTAGCACTCCGGGCAAACCAAACTGAAAATACACGGTACAGTTGTCCCGCTCGAATGCGGCACTAGTTTATCCGGACCCCTTGCAAACCGGCATACTTTTAGACAAAACGTTTTTTCTCCTTTTTTTCCCACACTTTAATATCTGGGGCTTAAATGCCAGCACAGGTGATGATTAAAAAAATCGCTCAAACTGTACATGGTTTGATTTGATGATCCGGCAGTTGTACAGCACGTACCGTACCGGTACGCGATGCACAGCCAGGCAAGGCCAGTCTATATGGTCTAGTCTGGTCAGTGCATGGCGCGGCATGCATGGACTTGGCTGCGGGTGAGTTCAGTTCCGTTGGAAAGTTCAGCACTTTTCCGAATTGTCACTCGGCTCATTTTTCTCGGACCTGTCTGTCCTCGGTTCTAGTTTTTTTGTTCTGTCAAAAATGCCAAAGTGTCAACGAACTCAGCTGACTGCCAAAATCAACAAAGACATTTGTCTTAACCGCGAGAGCCACCTGTTCTGAAGACAGCATGCAGTGTTCTCTGTGCTTCTGTGCGAGGTCTACCCGGTTGCGCGATCGATCTGATCTGTAGCTGTGACGTTTTTACTTTCTAGTAGCCAAGTGCACTCTTATTTTTGCCTGCGTGCACAAGAGTTGCATTATAGTTCTGCATAATAATTATTATACAGTCCATAAGGGTTGGTTCACATAAGCAAAATCGGCGCCGCAAGACATCGGCGGTGAGCCAGCTCCCGATCCGTTGCGCCTACGGTTCGAGTACCAAATCTACTACAAAGTAGTACAGAATGTGCCAAAATGCTACGACAGGTTTGCCAATTGAAGCTTGAATTCTTTGTTTCTTCAGTAGTTCAAGGTCTTTCGGTGATGGCCACTCGGTGCTACCTTTTACTGGAGATCATGAAAATACTTCTACACATTTTATTGCAGTCTAGTAAGCGATTGTGTCGAAATTATGCTTGCAAACGTTGATGAAGTCACAAGAACTTGCCAATGTATCCATTATAATTTTATATTTGTTTCAATTGTATTGGTCTCATAAGTTGCACAATGGTCAAGCAGATCATCCGAGAAGGACGGGCTGGTATCCTGACATATTTGCCGCCTTGAAGCGACTACAAGAATGGCGAACGGATCTCCTCTCTAGCTTCAATTTAGGAAAATTTAGGACAAGTATTGGTTTGATATTTTGACAAAGTCTGGCTCCCGGCAACCGGCGATCACCGGCGCGAACGGTTCACAAACCACTTTTGGTCAAAATCGTACGGGATCGGCGCCGGGGCAGATCGCAAGAGTTGGGCACTGTCCAACTTTGCCGGCGGTCCCTTGCGATATTTTACCGTATGATTTTGTTACGACTGCACTGGTTCACACAATCGCAATGCGCCGGGAGAGGTTGCAAGAAGCCCACCGCCGGTGACTCCCGGCGCGTACCGGCGATATGTGAACCAACCCTAACCGTATACCGTCGTGTGTAGATTTCGACTTTGTAGTTCTCGGCTGTAGTCTATCAGTAGAATTGTGCAATATGTTTACCCGTATTATGTTCGCGGCTATCGACACTCTCTGTACGTCACCTATCTGCACATGTATCATACGTACAGTATAGTAGTACTCAGCAGTGTTCGGGTTTGACTTGTTGAAGTGAAAAAAGTTGACAGTTCGTGTGTTTTAAGACTGTTTTAATTGTTCTTTGTTGCCTATTCTGCTGTTGCAAGCATATTAGCACCTCATTGACCCCGCTCGTTCCTCATTCTTAATTCCATATGGCCTAAGCGAAGACTAGCCAAGCTTGCTTGGCGACATCAACGTGAAAAGGCTGATAATAACGAGAGAGCTTGGAAGTTCAGGGCCCTACGCTATGCTTTTTTGCCTGCTGTGTGGACCCTGGCTAGCGCCAGACGTTACTGAAGTAACGCCTTTTGCATAGCTACGGGAATAATAAAATTTAATAATAACTGTATACCGTACCATTCCCCAGCATGCTCACACTCCGTACACCTGACCATATTTGCCCTACTTCCCCTCTGCTTCGACTGATGTGACATGATGCTCATGTCTAATCACGTGACTATTACATCATATATATATATTTGCCTGTATGTTACGTCACAACCAGCATGCACCATCTTGGACTAGTCGTCTCAAGTGCATCCTTGGCTTGACCTGGTTGCCTGTTTTTTTACTTGTCTTCTTCACACCTGTGTCTAAATTTATTCTTCCACAACCTCAACCTGTGTTTGTGAGTGTCTGTGCATGTGAAGGCAGACATCACATGGCGCAGTGAACTCCTTGTTCCGTGTTGAACAGACTAGTACCTGTTTTAGTTGCTGTCGGCCCGCCGTATTGCTCATTCCGATGAGATGCTGCAAGCGAAGCTAAGGCGTTCGGGAGAAGCTCAGTGTTTCTGATTTGGGCTACACGAAAGGTTGGCTTGCCAGCTTCAAAAAGCGACACGGAATAAACAATATATCCTGCATGGAGAGGTGGTGAGCGGGAATCCTGCAGGTGTTGTTTCTGGGCAAGAAAAATTGAGGGCGACGCTGTTGGAGTATGCTTTAACCGATATCTACAACTTCGACGAGACTGGGCTGTTCTACCGACTAGAACCCAACCGGACCCCTGGCGACTGGCCCCGTTAGCGGCTCGAAGAAATGCAAAGAACGCATTACGCTTAGCGTTTGCGCCAATGCCGGTAGTGACAAGATAAAGCCATTTGTGATCGGAAAATCTGCTCACCCCCGCTGCTTTCCCCGGAACTGGCATGTTCAGCAGCTTGTCACATATCGCAACAACAGCAAGACGTGGATGACGGCCAAGCTGTTCAGTGACTTCCTCCGGTCGTTCTGCTATTGTTGGACAATGCGTCCAGCTAAAAGTGTGACCTCGATTTGTCCAACACGACTTTGGAGTTCTTGCCTCCATGCATGGTTTGGGTCAGTCTTGACAGCCTGGGGTGCAGTGCACATTTATCCACAGCCTACAGTCCATTCATCCAAAATATGCTAACTGGCCTTTGAAAGCCCGTTTTTGGCCAAAATAAATGCAGGACGTATGGTTATTATTAAAAAACTAAAAAAAAACTACCACAAAACGTGCGAGACATTGAATAGTAAGGGTGCCAGTTTAGGATAGTTAGACTGCGGTGTGCTATTTGCAGACTAACTGCAACGGACGGTGTACACGTACCTATCCACTGCACGCATGTTCGGTGCTGACATGCGCTGCATCTTCGACTGCAGGTCTGTCAGGGCAGTGTTGAGTTCGGCCTGAATGGCCCCATGCTCCGATGAATCGGCCTGCACGGCAGGACACACAGGCAACGGGGATTAGTAACAAGCTGGTACAAACATGTGCCAATTAAGTGAATTAACACAAAAGAAAAAGGACCAAGGAACTACCAGTTACTCTATACTGTCCACTAACACCACCAGTTACTAAACAATCAGCTCATGCGATAACATTGCACGACACTGACACTGGTCCTTTCTCTTTTGTATAAATTAAACCTTGGCTCTCCATCCGAGTCCAATTAACACAAGTTGCGAATAGGCTGCGTATTGAGTAGCAACCAGTGCATGCGGACCAAAGCTGTGGTGTGACAGTTTTGCCACTGAAATGGCGTAATCAATTAACTGTTATACTGTAAATCTATAATTATAGCTAACATGCACCAGTGAACATTCCAGTGTTCTCAGGTCGAGGGCTGCATAGCGCCCGGTGCCTACTTAACCCACGCAGTCGATGTCTTTGAGCAGCACTGTGCTTCTTCTCTTCTAGCAGTGGAGTTTGGCAATGATGACTAGCAGTGGAGTTTGGCAATGATGACTAGCAGTGGAGTTTGGCAATGATGACTAGCAGTGGAGTTTGGCAATGATGACTAGCAGTGGAGTTTGGCAATGATGACAAGAAGGCCAGTGTAGTGCTTGCCCATGTTCAGAAGGCCTTCGACAGTGCCAACCACCAGCTGCTGTTGAAAAGAGTTGTTTGACCATGGAGTCAGTGATCCAGTATTGCGGTGATCTCAAGACTGCCGGAGCGATCGAACACAGCAGCCCACGGCACTGTCTTGCGTATCGTGCAGTCAAGGAGTGCCCCAGGGGTCTGTGTTGGGCCTTGTTTCTGCTTGGTGGGTGCGCCAGGGGTCTTCCTGAGCCTGACAGTACTTTCGTCCTACAATTCACTGACAATGTAAATACGCACACGGCCAGTGACACCGTTCAGGAAGTCAGTGACAACGTGGAACAGGGATAGGCTGAGGTGGTCTGACTTCGTGAAAGAGAAATGCATGACACCAAAGCCGGCGAAAACGAAGTTTCTACTCCTCCACCGCAAGACTCGATAATGTTATGGGTGGTGTGCATGTTCCTCGAGTGCAGTCTGCTCGTAATCTGCATATCGCTCCCGGCGAAAATTTGACGCTCGGACCACCACTAGATTGTTTAACAGGATCTGGCGGAGAATGTACACAATCGCATTTCTGTCTTTGTCCCTGTCTCTCTATTTTTCAATGCACAGCAGCAGCACTCGAAGGAGTAAACCTGCTAGATTCACTTACTTTCTTTATACGACTGGGTAGGCCGGAGAAATTCACCACAAGATTGGACTCACGTTCATGCTGCCAGGAACACAAAAAGGCATTGACGTGACAGAGAAAAGTCAGGAAACCAATAATTATTTAAAAAAAACACACACAAAGTATACACTAAGAAAATACATGTAGAGCAAGAATGTTAGTCTCCTGCTAAAGACAAGGTAATTGAGTGCAGGGCCCTTTAGGTAGAACCTGAAAACGGATAATGTGTACCTTCCATGTTGCATCGCAAGTTGGCACAACAGAAGCCGACACTGGCAGGTTGCATGCATTTCTCCGCAGGACAAGGTGTACATAACCACTAGCATGTTCTGCAACACACACACACACACACACACACACACACACACACACACACACACACACACACACACACACACACACACACACACACACACTCTCTCTCTCTCTCTCTCACTCTCTCTTCCTCAAACTGAGACGCTTCACTCACAGCTTGCTCTGGGTCGTCTGTCTCCATCTGACTACTGCTCTCCGTGTTGGGCTGACTGCTGCTCGGTGGATCCTGAAGAAGGGCAATGAATAATGCAGTGACACGGGCATGACATAAGTGACATGTTCAGGCGGTTATACCGACAGTAACAAGGCACAATGGCACACGGTTTTCTGTTCGGGATATCACGTTATGGCAAGCATGCTGCGCACACAGTACAGACAAAGCAAATGCCACTGTCACATTGCACGCAAGGTAGTGTATCAGATTGTAGGGCGGTGCAAGGACACAAACAAAGACACACACACGGATATGGGAACGAAGTTCAAACTTCTGTGCCACTCACCGCAATGTCTGCCATGGATCCTCGTTCCAATGGTAGATTAACATCGGCCATCTAGGATGAAAGCATACAGAAAAGAACAGGATAAGAATACTGTAGAGCACAGAGCATCGGTTTATAGGAGTTTTCTTTCTCTAATTTCACTTGGGGAAGTCATTAAAGGGTTGATTTAAAAAATGCTTTCTCTAATTGTTGGCCAATAGACTTCATGCAATCGGTTCGACCAGACCTTCTGAGCTCCGCTGATAAGACCTAAGAAGGCCGACACAGCTTATAGCTGTACAGAGAATGAGTCACCCTAAACTATGACTATGTGACTCTTTTCATCTCCAGGCTGCTTATTAGTCAGACTCATTATGGATCAATCTAGGATGGCATGCTACAATGCACCACCAGACACTCACACGACAGTCTCTGGGATTCATGGGCATGTGAACAAGTGTAGTGCATTATGCACTACATGCACTACAGGTACATGTATATCCACGAATCAAGCCGAAAGGATTGTTTTACTGCGAAAAACACAGCAAGTTGCAGCAAATCCGGCTGGGTCGTGTGCCGTGATGGCGTACTAGAAGCCAGCTGAGCTAAGCTTTGGCAGTGAACATAACGGTAGATGGCACCACTTACTTTGCAATCTCTGAGCAGAGTGTGTCGCTCCTGCTGGCATTGTTCAATCTTGCCTTCCTGCAAGCCAATCATAGGCGATACAGAGCAGTTGGGTGTCAATAGCAGCATACACCAAAAAAAGAGAGGAAAAAAGCAGCTACTGGCGATAGATACCTAATAGATACAAAGGCACCCAGTTGATCAATAGGTCGACTCACCAGGGCTGAGATTTGCTTTCCAAGGTCGGACAGCGTTTTCAGGTTCTGTGTCAACTGCGTCTTGATATCTTTCAGCTCACCATCCTGCAACAGACATAGCGTTACAATTGTAGTGCAGAAACACATATACGATATCACCAACACAGACTGTAATATTGCAAGCTAAGATGTTGCTTCAAGACTGAGAAAAAAAACCCATCTAAACAAGAACAAAATCATGCAACTTCCAAATCAGAAAAAAAGATCACTGCTTTCGGAAACGCCTAAACTTCCAGATAACTCAATGTCATATCTTTACCTGATCGCCACCGGACTGCTTCTTCGTGTTCAGCTCCCCTCTGCATGCGTCCAGTTTCGCCGTTGTTGCATCAATCACCTGCAGAAAAGAGATGGTGGGATGACATAAAACAAAATGTGAAAAGAACAAAAAAAACAAGTGCCCCCTGTGAGGATCGAACTCACGACCTTCAGATTATGAGACTGACGCGCTGCCTACTGCGCTAAGGAGGCAGCTGACATAACATGCTTACACGAACAACATAGAGAAAGCAAGCTGCTCCGGCCAAACCAGCTTGATGCATACAACGACCTTTTGGACGGAATGGGCGCTGTGCTCTCTTCTTAGATCTGGAAAGCACAAAAGTCTTTTTGAAAGCACCCATTAATACCCAGAACATATATGCCGGTGATATCACAAATGCTTCATAATGCCATTGTGCAACACGGGGGTCTATTCCCCGCAACCTTCGGCCAGCACACTCACCCTCAACTGTGTTTCCTCCTCTTTCCGCAGCTTTTCGATATCAGCTTCATCGCTCCTGATGCTAGCCTCGAGCTTCTTCAAATTTCCGCTCACATCACGCTTGCGCTCATAAGCCAGCTGCCAGAACAGCAACACAACAGCATTGAGCAAGTGCAGATAAATTCTGGAATATCTGACACAACAACAAAGCGGCATATGACGGCAACGATGATGTAAATGGTAACACATCCACATGCACACCCACCCACACGTGCACCCCACACATGCACCCCCCCCCCCACACCCCCACGTGCACACCTTTTTGACCTTGACCTTTGACACCTTTGACACCCATCGCCGGAGGCGATGATAGCAATGCTACGGCAGAAGCCATAGCAACTTGTGCTGGGATTACACCATTCAACAGCTTGCAAGGCTGAAGAATTGACCGTCACTATTCAGCCTGGTCTACACCATACAGCTATTTGGAGTGGCATTTTCTGGCCAGTGAATCCCTATTTTTGGTCTTTTCATTCTTTTTTTTTTCCCCCGCACACACATCACACCACATACTCCGGCATGCACTGGCTGTTGGTAACCACCCAGGAGAATGAAAGAAAAGTCAGGAAGAGTCTGAGAAAGAGAAGAAAGACGTGTGTGACCATAATCGTCGGGAATCGAACCCGCAATCTATCGATTGGAAATCGCTGCACATACCACTGCACCATATGGGACACACACACACACACACACACACACACACACACACACACACACACACACACACACACATGCACGCACACTGCAAGAGAGTAAAGGAGGGGAGAAAACAATCACCCAGCAGCCTACCTGATTTTGAAGCTTGGACACCTGGTTAGCAAACTCCAAACGCCTGCCTGAGCGATCCTGCTGCTGCTTGAGTTGCTTCTCCTCATATTGCCTTGCAGCAACACAAGACCAAAACACAAGACAGCATATATTATTCTTGTGCTCAATCGCAGAAAACCCACAGTAAGAATGCCAGTACATGCACTGTACGGGCGGTTTGTGCAGCCAAGCACGTATCACATGCGGCAAGCAGGTTTTTATTACCAAACATTGAATCTTTTTGCCGGAAAATGGAGATTGTGAACCACAGAGACATGGCTGTGATTTCCTTCGAAGAAAATGGTGGCTTACAAGGTGCCTACTTACCAGACTATTGGTTAGCAGTTAGCACTTCAGCAGAATGTCTGAGATGGACGTCCGTTCATTCGTTAGCACTAAGAACATTCAAAGGCCCAAACTTTCTGTTTGTTCAGCTACACTCCTAAGTCCTATTCTGGTTACTAGTGGTTAGTACACTCACCGGATATTGGAGACGCCAATCTGATTGCAGAAGTTTCTAAAGACCTGGAGTTAACACAGTGATAATAAAGGTACTTCAGTACATGCACGCACAGTAAAACTCCCCAGATCCGTGTTGCGTTACTGCAACAGCACTAAGGATAAATGCCCATGCACACTCTCTCAATCCAACACAACCATCACACTCCGGTAGGAATTACCAACTATACTTGATGAAGACAGAAGGAGAAGTCCCGAACACCAGGAACAGAGTAGGCATGTAAACAGCACAGGCACGCAACAGTTACCGCTGGTGCATGCGAGGTGCATGTGCGTACGCGAAGGTGTGAAATAGGAAGCGGGGTCAAATTACATATGGATGCACTATGCCAAATATATAGGCACAGGTAGGTGACTGTACATCTCCCCCCGAAAAAAATGCGAACGGAGGGACACGAGAAAGTGTGGAGCAAAGGAGAGAGGAAAAGGAACAATAGCAGTTCTGGAGCGGGTACCAACGTGAGCATTACTCAGAATGATAGAGAGAAAAAAAACATGAAAAGAACACAGTCATAGTTCAACTGGAACACATGGAGTAAACAGTGTTACTGTGTTCAGGTATTGGCAGCATAGCGTTGCGGCGCATGGCGAACACGGCTGGATGGTGGTCGGCGACCGGGTGGCAGAGGCTTAGCAACTCTAGGAGACTGCGGCACAGGCAGAAGAGGTGGCAGAGTAGAGTTAGCTGGTAGTTGCAGGGCAACATGCACAGGAGCCGGAACACCATACTCAACCTCATACATGGGCTCAATGGAGGAGGGTGAGCGGGAGGGATCAGGGCGTTTGGCTGGCGTGGATGGCAACGCACGCACGTGGCGACGATTTCGGCGGACAGATGACCCAGGAGTGAGGTCGATCGTGTAAGAGCGTTCGGACAGGCGGTTCTGGACGTGTCCTGTTTTGTCCATATCGGGGACATACACAGGAGCACCAGGGGCGAGAACAGGCAGCAGTCGAGCACGGTGGCGTTGATTGTAGCGATCAGCCTGCCGAGACCTGGAAGATGTTTCTTTGTCGGCAAGGGCGGTCAAATCGGGCCAGGCTGGAGCAGGGAGGGGTCCTGGTAGCCGGGAGCGGATTTGGCGGCCGAACAACAGCTGTGACGGTGAATAACCGTTGGCCAATGGCGTAGACCGGTAGGCCAAGAGAGCGGAAGGCAAGTCATCATTCTTGAGGATGAGCTGCTTGGCTGTCTGAACGGCACGTTCTGCAGCGCCGTTGCTTTGGGCGAAGCGAGGACTTGACGTGCGATGGGCAAACCCAAGCTCGGCAGCAAATGCACGGAAGCTGGCACTAGCAAATTGTGGACCGTTGTCAGACACTAGCGTGTGTGGAATACCATGGGTAGAAAACACGGAGTGGAGAGAGGCAATCACAGCGGCAGACGTAGTAGTGGTAAGTTGTTTGACTTCGATGTAGCGCGAGAAATAGTCGACAACAACTAGGTAAGTGGATCCTTTGGCTGCGCACAGATCACACGCGATCTTTGACCATGGAAGAGATGGGAACTCGGACGAGATGAGCGGCTCGGCTGGGTTAGGACGGGCCTTGGCACAGGTGGCACAAGACATCACATACGACTCAATGTCCGTAGACATACCAGGCCACCACATCACAGCGCGCGCACGAGCACGACACTTACCAACGCCTTGGTGACCCTCGTGAGCACTGGCAAGGGCGGCGTTGCGCTGGGATGCAGGGATGATGACACGTTGGCCACGGAATATGAGACCATCAGCAGTTGAGAGCTCATCACGAACAGCGAAGTACGGGCGGAGGCTAGCGGGGACCGAGGTGGGCTTGGCTGGCCACCCGTTGAGGATGAGGGCACGGAGGCGACACATGTCGGCATCAGCGTTGGTCGCGTTCCGAACGTCGACCAGGAGCGGGTCGGTGGAGCAATGCGATGTGACGGCAGACACATGCAGCTGTACTTCATCAGCAAGATCACTAGTAGGCGAGGACTCTTGCGGAGCACGGGATAGGGTGTCGGCAATGACGAGTGATTTGCCGGGCACGTGGATAGCGGTTGGGTTGTACCTCATCAGCCGCATCAGGAGTCTCTGGCATCGCAGAGGAGAGCGGGTGAGATCAGCGGAGTTGATGAGAGGCACGAGAGGCTTGTGGTCAGTCTCGACTGTGAACTGAGGACCGCCGTAGATGTAGTGGTGGAAATGCTCGCATGCCCAAACGATGGCGAGACACTCTTTCTCAATCTGGGCATAGCGCTGCTCAGTAGGAGATAGAGAGCGGGACGCATAGGCAACAGGGCGCCAGCGGGAGCCATCAGGCTGCAGGAGGACAGCACCCAGTCCGTAGCTACTGGCATCAGCACTAATACGGACGGGCTGGTCGGGCGAGAACAGTGCCAAGCAGGGAGCAGTAGTAGCGAGTTCCTTGAGGCGACAGAAGGCAGTTTCTTGCTGGGTGTCCCACTGCCAGGCGGTGTCGGCCTTCAGTAGAGCACGGAGCGGGGCACTGACATTGGCCATATCTGGCACAAACTTCGCCAGAAACGTGAACATACCCAGAGCACGGCGTAACTCGGGCACATTGGTCGGTGACTTCAGAGCTTGGATGGCAGACACCTTGGCTGGGTCGGGGCGGACACCGTCAGCACCGATGAGGTGACCCAGGAACGTCAGGGACTTCATACGGAGGCGACTCTTGGCGGGGTTGAGGAGTACGCCTGCAGAAGCGAGAGCTGCGTGGACAGCAGTGAGGGCAGCATCGTGCTCAGCTAGAGTGGCACCGAACACGAGGATGTCATCCATGAAGACGACCACGTTGGGAATGTGCCCAACGATTTCCAGTAGGCGACGCTGGAAAACCTCTGGCGCACTGGTGATACCAAAGGGTAGACGGTTGAAGTGAAACCGGCCAAACGGTGTCATGAACGTAGTGAGTGACGCACTGTCGTCAGCAAGTGGAACTTGCCAGAACCCAGACGCCGTGTCAAGCGACGAGAAGACCTTGGCTCCGGACAGCTTGCCCAGGGTGTCTTCGATGGTCGGCAGAGTGAAGTGTGAACGCTTCACGGACTGGTTCAGGCGTTTGAGATCCACGCAGATGCGGATGGAGCCATTCTTCTTGAGCACGGGCACCATGGGCGCACACCAGTCGGTCGGATCGGTGACAGGAGAGATGACTCCCATCTGGACCATCCGGTCAAGTTCGGTCTTGACCTTGGCTTGCAGGTGGATGGGAACTCGTCGTGCGGTCTGGCAGTGATATGGTTGGGCATTGTCTTGCAGCTCGATGGTAGCTGCAGGACCGGACATGCGACCAATGACAGGAGGAGCGGACGGAGGGCTTGCGGATGCCTCGGACACATCGCAAGACAGGAGGTTCAGGTCCTGGCACACACTGCGGCTCAGGAGGTTGCTGGGGCCATTAACAACAATAACACGGAAAGTGACGTTGCGGTCCTTCCAGGAGCTGGCAGCAACAAATGCGCCGTGTATGGGTAGAGGTTGGCCGTCAGGTCCAGTGACCTTAGTGGAGATCGGGGTGAGCTTAGGTTGAGGACTGAGGCTATTGTAGGAAGGCAGTGACAGGAGTGTGCAGTCTGCGCCAGAGTCCAGCTTGAACAACACTGACTGGCCATTGATGGGGAGCTCAACAAGCCAGGGTTCAGTTGAGTCAGGAATGGATACTGAACTCAAAACACAGATACTGGGTTCCTGTGACTCGGATGAAGCACTACCCATAAAACAACTAGCACTAGCACTAGCACTAGCAGAATCACTCACCGGATGGTCAGACATCTCACTCGCGCCCACTTGACGAGAGCTACGACACACTTTGGCAAAGTGACCACGACGCTGGCACTTACGGCACTCGACGGACCAAGCAGGACACTCGCGGCGCGAGTGACCACTGGATGAGCCACAGCCGGAGCAGGGAGCGCGCGGAGCAGAGGTTGCTGGAGGGCCACGTGTCGAGTAGCTAGGCGCGGACTGGCGAGATGCAGCGGGAGCATTCTTCGGTCTGCCAGTTCCACGAGATTGTTTGTGATGTCCGCGAGCGACAGCGGCTGCGACGGAGGGCTGAGTGGCTGCGGAGCGTTGAGTGGCTAGCTGGATTTCGAGGGTCTCAGCTGCCTTGGCCTCCTTGAGAACATCGGCGAGGGTGAGGGAGCCTATGTCCTTTTTCTGCATCGCCTTACTCACTTCAGAATCAGCCATGTGGGCGACGAGGTGATCGCGGATCCGTTCTGACGGCTTGTCGAAACGGCATCTCGCCGCGACAGAGTGGAGTCGGCTTGAGAACGTGGCTACGGACTCACCGGGGAGCTGACGGAGACGAGCGAACTGCGTCCGTTCGTGGATAACATTGTCCGCAGGTGCAAAGTACTTGTCGAAAGCATCGACCACTTTATCGAAGTCGTCCTTGTCGGAATCTTGGGCGAAGGACAACTCACGCTGGAAGATATCATCCGCAGTTGGGCCCAGAGAGTAGATGAGAGTGGAGATTTGGACATCTGCGGATTCGGAAGAGAGTTTGGTAGCAATCTGGAAGCGTGTGAATCGGCTTTTCCAGCGGGGCCAATTCTCAGGTGCGGAAAAGTCGAAGCTTTCAGGGGGCTGAAATTTCGCCATGGCGAGCGGGTCCGGTGGCGAGGGTTCGGGGTACCAGTTCTGACACCAAGTGTTGCGTTACTGCAACAGCACTAAGGATAAATGCCCATGCACACTCTCTCAATCCAACACAACCATCACACTCCGGTAGGAATTACCAACTATACTTGATGAAGACAGAAGGAGAAGTCCCGAACACCAGGAACAGAGTAGGCATGTAAACAGCACAGGCACGCAACAGTTACCGCTGGTGCATGCGAGGTGCATGTGCGTACGCGAAGGTGTGAAATAGGAAGCGGGGTCAAATTACATATGGATGCACTATGCCAAATATATAGGCACAGGTAGGTGACTGTACAATCCGGACGCCCCTAATCCGGGCACGTCTGTCTACCGGCACCTCTCTGACCCATCTAGAGTCACAAAATTGGCTTTTCAATGAAAAACAGCCCAAAAACAATACTATATAATTTCATTCTCCCAAAAACAATACTATTAGAATAAACGAGAGAGCTTGGAAGCTCAGGGCCCTACGCTATGCTTTTTTGCCTTGATGACCTAGACAAAAAAAAAGCATAGGGATGTTATAAATTCTTTAAAAAATTCCTTTTTTTAAAGACATAACCTGGGATTCGAACCCGCACTATCGCGCGCCCTGCATGCATCCCCCGATACACTTCGCATACATACTAATTCTTCCAAGTTGTTTCACATTGTGATCTTGCATTTGAAAGCCCTATTTGAATATGCATTGTGGCCAGCCGTCTTTGATGGCACGGTACGGTAGGGGATAGGTACGGGACAGGTACGATCGAGGGTAATACGACACCGTCTCCCGTGCCGTACCATCAAACACAGCTGGCCACATACAGCTGCCCGCAATATTCAAATAGGGCTTTCAAACGCAAGATAATAACGTAAAGCAACTTGGAAGAATGGGTATGAATGCGAAGTGTATGGGGGAATGCATGTAGGGCGATAGTGCGGGTTCGAATCCCAGGATATGCCTGAAAAAAGGAGAATTGAAAAATTTATAACATCCTATGCTTTTTTGCCGTCAGATACGGATAGCGCCAGGCGTGACACAAACAAACACACAAACAAACACCAAATTAAAGCTGTGTGGACCCTGGCTAGCGCCAGACGTTACTGAAGTAACGTCTTCTGCATAGCTACGGGAATAATGTTAACTTGCATGCACAAAGTATGTATGTTTCGAATTACAGGGCGTGCTCAGTCTCAACGTTCCCGGATTAGGGGATATTTACTGTACATAGCATAAGTCATGCAATGGGGTTTACGGGAGTCTACACCAGTACCTACCACCTGCCACACCAGCACAGAAATATAAGCAGTAGCACAGGATACCAGGTCACCGGTGTAGCTGGATGCACAGGGTGTGATCTGATGGACACCCACAAATTTCTTTGCAACAGGGTGCCCGTACATACTACTTCAGGATCACAATACAAAAGCGACGACCCATTTGGTATCAGGGGAACAACGAGACCACTTTTAAGGGAGCTGAACTACCTTGTCCTCCACTTTGTTGACACTCTCTTCTGTTGCCTTGATCTTCTTCTTGCGATCATTGATGCGGTGCTGAATGGTATCCATTTCAGGCTGGGTGGCACACACATACAAATGTGACAGATGGGAGATAAGCGCCAAGATTTGCCATGGCCAACAGATACAACAACAGCGCAAGAATTTAGGCTAAGAGCAGAAATAACTTTATCACTGTAGAACACACAGCAACAAACCTTTAGAGAAGAAAGTTCTCTGTCGATCGCACCACTTTCCTTTGCATTATCCACCAACGTGTTATTGACCTGCGGGTGAGAGATATCCAAACAGCAAAATCGTGAGTGTAAAGCTAACGATGTATAGAAGAGCAGAGCACCAAACGGGATGAATGGACTTAATACGACACCATTACGTCTATGCAAGCGAACTCAACAAATACAACTGTGAGAAGACAGAAGCCAGCACTACGTCCAAGACCGGGGTGCTAAAATAAGTCAGCCGGTGGCTAATCAAGATGCAGGGCCTTACCATAGTTTCGCGATCCCGCCGACTGTACTTCAGACGTGTTTCCAAGCCACTGATTTGTGACTGAAGATTCTGCAGTTCCGGCTCCTGGTCAAGCACAGAAAGACAGCATCCAAAACATAATCAGAACTGTAACAAGCTGCACGACAAGACAAGGTCATGGCTCACGACACTCAGTCACAAACATAATGTGCAATCAAGAAAGAAGACAATGGTTTGTTTGGAGCACAGACTCATGTTCTAGTGCCTGGAGCACGGGCAGCAGCTTCAACTGACCCTTCGTCTTTGCTTGGCAAGCTCCTTCAACTCATCCAGATACTCGTCTCTCTTCTTCTTCAGCCCATCAACTTGCTGTTGGTACAACACCGTGGAAAAACAATAAGAGTGTTCAGTAGAGAAAATCACACAACACAGTGCAGAGGGGGAAAAAAACGATAAGAAAGAAGAAGCAAGTAAGTCATGCTTAGCTGGCACCAACAAGTTTCATGCTTCAACAGTGAAACATCAGGATCATGTACCTGGGTTATAACATTGTATTTTCTTCGTGAGTTGGAAATGCTTCGACGACAAATTGTGTGTATTGCACCCAGCTTGACCGTGATTTCCAAGTTACGGATGAGTAATGGTACCGAGAAGGCCGGGCACGGGGAGTGTGTGAGTACAGAGCAAAGGAGGGCAATGCATGTCGTGCCTGCACCCAGAAACATCACCGGGTCATAACACATTGGTACTGACAAAGGACAGAACAGCACGACATGGTTCTTGCAACCCACCTTCTCGTCCCAACGTCTTGCTTTGGCCTTCAGATCACTAATAAAGGAGCAGCAGCGGCAGAAACACCAACAACTAATGAGCAAGAGTATGGGAGGGGGACAATCGCCAAGCTATGCCCATGGTGCGACAGGTCTGCAAAGTGAAAGGGCACCAGGATATCTCTGGGAATACTTGCCGACGGCTTTAATAGGTACCGTCTTTCACAATTTACACACAAGATCATAATATCAAAGCCAGGCATACCTTGCTCCTCCAGAAATGGTTCCAGACTTGTTGAACAACGTTCCATCCAAAGAGACAGTCTGAAGGAAAAACGGAGCAACGGATGAGCCATGCAGGCCACATGGAAAGGATGCTCAGCTCACCTGAGTCTACATGGAGGAAAAATGGTTCAACCTGTGCACAGTTATTTTCAAAGGTTTGATATGCTGACCTGCTAGACTCCTCTGTTATCATCACTCTACTTGCATGCTGCCACATTGCCACAGTCAAGAAGCACCACAAAATGGGAAAAGATCGTGTGATTAATAAATCAAGCTGTGGCTTCATCTGGCAGCTCAAGCAATTTCCACTAGCACATGCACAACACATGCAGACAGCAAGAACTATAGCTGCCTGGAAAGCTAAACTTCCCAAGTGAACACAAGCTTCATGACAAGCTTCATGACAAGCTTCATGACATATCCAGGAACAGTTCTGGTACTTTTAAAAGGTCAGTATGCAACACCCATACATAGTATAACAGTAGCTACCTCCTGGACTCCAGGCTAATCACTGCTAGAACCTGGCTACCACGGACAGCCTACCTTCAGACGTTCATCACCCGAGTAAGCAAGCCGCCTGGCCTCCTCCATGGTGTCGCATACCACAGCATTGCCGCAGGCATACTGCAGTGCTTTCTGCAACACAAACAGTAGCCACAAGTACATTGAGATATTCAAACAGTAGCCAGAAGTACATGGAGATACTCAAACAGTAGCCACGAGTACATGGAGATATTCAAACTGCCACACACAAAACGAACATGGATGTGCAGGCAAAACAGCTACCGAGAGAGTAGCACCAAGACAAGATCACACCACCAGCTGCGTGCGATAGTCCCAGCAACATGCATACAAGGTACACGCAATACACACCTTGACGCTGGGTGGGTCATACTGCATGACATCCAACACAAGTTTAGCAGTACCACCAATCTCACTGTGCACAGACAGAAAAAGCAGAACAGAACACATCGAATAGTTACGTGCAAACCATTTCTCATCGATATACAAGCAATGGCTAGTATCCTGTAAAAATTAAGAGTGCAGTATACAGTGGCAATGACTCTACAGGAAACTAACCGAAGTCTCTCATTGACATTCTTGACTTGAATGTGATCCAGAGGCAAGAAGGTGATAGGCTCTCCGTGCTGTGGGGAACACAAAGAAAAAACACGAAGACATGCACCCAATGAGCAAACCCAATGAGCAAAGATCTACACATCACTGGGCCAGGAGTTAGTATTCCATTTCTGTGGGCCACACACATTCCCATCAGCCAGGCAATCAAACAGCACAAGCTGCTGGTACAACAGGCACTTTAAAGTCAGCACGGGAGTGTTGTAGTCGTTTGGACATCATCCTACTCTCAAGCCAGCCCAACAAGTGCCACTGCAAACTGCAAGCTACGTACACCAGCAGTACGTTCAGGAAGAGGCCCACAGCTAGATACCAGAAGTACACCTCAACAGTGTCAACACACATGCAGTAAAAAAAAAGTGGGGCTCACCTGTTCCTTCAAGTACTGTATACAGTCTCTGGCCGTCTTCTCGTGGTCCACAACGACTGCATCCATATCCTTGCCAAGAACCTTCGTTACAGCAATGGTGTATCTGTGCAGATGAGGTACACAGTGATGATATTAGTTTATCATGATATCATTTTACACTGTGTGCAAACAAGTACACGGAGATGATCGGTTTATCATGCTGTCATTTTACACTGTGTGCAAACATGTACACAGAGATGATCGGTTTATCATGCTGTCATTTTACACTGTGTGCAAACATGTACACAGAGATGATCGGTTTATCATGCTGCCATTCTCACAACATGTATATCATCGCACCTTTATTGATGATTGAACACGTACAAAGTGAACGAAAGAATAAGTTGCAGAGGCAGCCAAAGACAGGAGCAATTGTGCAAGGCAAGGCAGCAAAAGAATAGGACACCAGTGGGTTAGTGTATAGACTCACCGCTTGTGTGATGGCTGGCACAGATCAATCAGCCGGCCATGCTGAATCAACACAGGCAGCAGACACAGTGTAAACAGAATGGGACACACAGGGCACACTGAACAAATCCCAGCACAAAACAATGCACTGATAGAAAGAAAACCTACTCCTACTTGCACAAGCAGATCTGCAAATCACATTCATCAAGTACAAGCAATACATCTTTTAAAAGAAACAAAAGTGTATGCACGTTGCCCTTACCACTCCTGTAAAATGCCTCTTCATACCATCCAGTAGTTCGTTTCTTCGCTGATGGCGAGCACTCTCGTGCTTGTCCACCTAAAACCAACATGGCAGAGGCACACAACACTCCATATCAGAACACCCAACACATGAAGCTAGCCAAGGCTGATATACCACAGAGCTGTTCAATGAAATCCGACCAAGCAAACCAATGCTACGCCGGGTGTAGTGCAGCCCTAAACCAGCGAACAGTGGGATGCAAACTGGGTTCTGGCCGCAAACTTGACTCACGAGATCGGATTTCATTGAGCAGCACAGCAGTACAACATCTGCTTCACACATACTCCCTGAATAACCGAGACAGGGAAATCTCTCACTGAGCACATTGCTAAAATCAAGTTTTGATCAGAACATAACTTTGAGGTTGCTTCCGAGGTCAAAGCTCATCAGGGTGATGCCGTCCCTTCTAGAGACTTCTGGTAACTTCAATGTCATAGGCAACATTCTCCTCGAAATTTATTTGGGTCCAAAAGAGTTTTCCATTAACAACAGACAATGTACTCACACGCGCATCTCTCAACTCATCCTGGATTTTCTCAAGCTCCACGTTCAGTTGCTGGTGGCGTTCAGTAGCTTGTCTGCAGTGGAAAATAACAAGGGAGAGTAGAGGATTCAGTAGGGCTAAAACGGTTAGTACAATAAACCGGTTTTGCAACCGTTCACATTGGAGCGAGCGCAGAGATCTGGGACTCATTTGAGAGGACTTCGATGCTGGAGGTGAAGTGCAGCCACTCTAGCAAACCGTTCACCTACAGCGGAAGAACCAGCTCTATGAGGGAGCACCTCAAGCGTCTCCATTCGAGTGTGCTCGCCAAAACAGAATCTGAAAAGAAGTCGGACAATTCTGGAGAAAAAAAGGTTCTGTCATAACAGTTGGTGTCTGTTGGCTGTGGATGGGTTGTGTTTCTGTCAATATCCACAAAGAAGAGCCCGTGATAGAAGCATAATGCCAACACCACTCACCGAAGATCTGTATCCAGTGTTGCATGGTCCTTCTGCAGTTTGCTGACAGTTTCCACGTTGGTGCTGCAGCCACAAAAGAACAAACACATCGCCACACCACAATGAGGATAGGCTGAGAAGAGTCCTAATACCAAGAGTAGATAAACAAGAGTGTGCAACTCCGGATCTCTCCTGCACAATCTGCAGATACCCCCGCCCACGGCGGAATTTTTTGTTGACGTCACCTTTTCTCAGAGAAACGCGGACTTTGCCGCAGAGCAGTGTGAGAGCACGTGCTGGGCACCGACCTTGTAGTGTAAAGCCCGGCCAAGTGCACGAGGGAAACCTCTCCAAAAGGCTCGCAGCGCGTGCGTCATCGAAAAGATTACGTCAACAAAAAATTCCGCCGTGGGCCAACCCATCCGCGAGTTGCACACTCTTGTTTATCTACTCTTGCTAATACTGTATACCAGGAAATTTTCGGACGGAATTTATTTTCGTATGATTTCATACATGGCCTCTTTTGTACTAAAATTAATTCTGTACTGAGATTTGTTCATGTGAAATTATGTACACAGTACATGCGTACTGCTTGCGAACACGTGCATTTAGCATGCAGCACTGTACGAAAATAAAATCTGTACGAAAGGTCGAAATTCGGCCTTGTCCGAAAAAATTTCCATCCGAAAATTTCCTGCTATACAGTAGGTGCCAGCAACACTGCACAGAGATATTCTGCAAATGTGCAGGCAGGCAAGTAGCTACATGGTATAGGGCTTGAAAGTGCCTTATCACAGCCAAGACGGAGACATGAGAACATTGAATTTTGGATCCACCTGGACCCAGGGTTTGAATGGCTCCATACTAGGCCCACACAGATTCTGACGGCAATTCTTTCACAAAATATCGAAGAATTCAACAAGAGGAAATCGCCGGCAAAGCCGTAGTAAAATATTGAGATTTCAGGTAAAATTGATGCCTGAACATTAGGTTTCCTTGTGTTCTTACCCGTTCACCACGATACATTGTACAGGATAAGACCATTTCACCGAAATATTACTGAGAGTCAGTGTGCATCACCATGACCTTGGATGCAACCGTACAAAATTAATAAGTGCGAAAACCTGTCCGGGGAAATTGAGCTTGCGATTTTTGCGAAAAGTTGTACGGAAAATAGGTAAAATACCCGTTTTGCGGAGCAAACGGAGCAAAATAACGAAATATTGATTCCCGTGGAGCAGAATCTCCCTGGGCCTACTCCATACACGTTTGTGTGGGTTTCCTTCACATTAGGGTGACACATCCTCCGGTAAAGAAGAGGTTGGTGCGACTTCGGCGATAGTAGGGGGAGACGCTCCCTACATGGGAGCTCGCGGTTTTCCTGCCGACTTGAATCTTCTTGAATCTTCCTCAGCCTACTCAAGCTCAACTGATGAGGGGTGAATTCCCCAAAACACTGTGTATTGAGCAGGGAGTGGTGCTTTCTTGCAGGTTTGCCGAGTGGACGGTTCGATGGACTTCTCGTGTGCTCTGGATGGTAGTCGTGAGTCAGTCAAGTGACATCCTCCGGTAGTGGCAGGATTGGGCCTTTCCGTCGCCTGTGTCCTCTCCCTACATGCTACGACTCTTCGGTGTGCACGCGCTGTACAACCATTCTCTAGAAATCTAACATATCGATTTCAGCTACAGCCCAGAATTCTGCTAGGTGATTATGGTTTCGCACCAAAAGCTCACACCCATTGGGGGCCTTCCGATAGCCGTGTTGTGCAGAATGCATAAACGTGCTGCACTTAGGAGAAATCTTTCGAAAAGGAGTTTGTATATTGAAATCCCGGTTTGAGAGTACGTTGCACTTGTAGACGTCTATATGGAGCTGGAAGACTCGTGCAGGTTGACATGTACACGTTTTGGAAAGCAATATACACGATAGAAGTTTAGAGTGCCGAGGTGACCAGCTAATCATACCGTTCACATGCTGTATCTACACTGACCTGATATAGCCGTCCAGCTTGTCAACACGCTCCTGCAATTGAATCCTTTAGGAAACAGAAACAACCCCAGAATGCAAGCCATGAGACATGAGGTGGAACATGATGACACTGAAAGCTCAGAAACAGAAACAAGCATGACCCCCCCCCCCCCCCCCCCCCACAGAATCAAGAGACAACCAGCCACCAGCACCATAAGTACAGTCAACATGGCTAAAAAGATAGGTGACCAGACATGAGAGAAGTGCCGTTGATTCGTGAATTGTCGCTACTCACGAGGTTGAGCTTATGCAGTCAAATGGCTACAAGGTCTGAGGATAGTGTTGTCATCCTCTAGTTGCTGTTACACTAGTACTTGAGATCCTTATCCAAGACGCTAACTACTGTACTGTTCTGCGGTAACCGACGGTACTGTAGGAGTCCTCACTAAGCAGGTAGAGCAACTAACACCACCTCGCTGCCACAAAAAAAAACACATGACCAAGGCAGAAGACTCACTTTAGTTCGCCAAGTTGGTCCCGTCGGTCATGAAGATCCTTGCCTTTCTGCTCACAGCGTAGCAAAGCACTTTCATCCACACGCTGCTCACGTAAAATCTGCCATCAGTGACAATGCATCCAAGAAGAAGAAAGGAGAAGCACAGGCAAACAAGTCAGAAACCCTCCACAGGAGTACAGTTCCAAGTGCGAGTGAAAAAAACTGCAGCAGGGGAACATCAAATTCCAAGGTAGCCTTGTTCGCTTGATCGGAGCAGCAACAAAGACACGGCACACAGCAAGGACTCACCGATTCCAGTTCTTGGCGAATGGCGGCGGTCTGCTTGCGGACATCTTCCTTCAGTTTATGATACTCTTTCAACTGCATAGCACACAGAACACAATTCATGATAAAGCAATTCAGAACAGCAAGAACAACACCACGGACACAAACACTAGCAATTGTGCCCAAGATGCTCTAACAGCGGCAGGCAGAAAGCCCAACTCGACACCACAGAATGGCACAGCCGCGTAAAGAACTGGCGAGCGGACCTCATGAAGAAAGAAGTGTCACATTTGAGTGGAAAGAATTGCTCATGGTGCTTGGGTCGTGTCACACCCGGCTCTATTTTATTCACAAGGTTGAACTCCACTAACCAGCCCTACTGCCAGCAAATGCAATTCGTCGGGTCAAACTTTTCTTTCACAAACAATAGAACCTATCGAAAGGCTAGGCAAACTGCTGCCAGTCCAGAACTAAGCATCTGTAGCACTGGGGAGTATGCCATCAATGGGTGGAAACGGCAGTAACTTGTAACTTCTATTAGAGAGGTTCCGGGGTACGATTTTCCGTGCCAAAATCCGTATGGGCTCTACGGATTTTTTCGAGACGTGCTCCATACGATTTTTCGGCACGGAGAATCCGTGTGGACTGGCTTTCATACGAACCATGTTTCGTATGGAGATTTTGCGTGATCGGGTGCAGGAAGACTTTTTGCGTACAAATTTGGTACGAAAAACATCGATTTTCCGCGGGAAGTTTTGATTTCGGTACAAATTTCCAAAATAGAAAGGCATAGCGCGGGAATGTGACGTGTTTGCGATCGTAACCTAGGCAATGACGGCAAACACATAAGTTCCGTACTCCGGAACATTTCACTGCTCGAAAACGACGTATAAAAAATCCGTAGCGCCTCTACGGATTTTGGCACAAAAAATCGTACTCCGGAACCTCTCTATTATTAAAAAATAGAAATTGTTCAGGAATTCAAAACCTTGACTTCCATGTTACAAATTCTCATGAAACTCTTGTTGGAACTCTTCTTGGAACTCTCCCGAGACGAGGAGAAAGATGGAATCGAGCTCAACTGGGCACGGAGCTAGAAATTTCAAACTAGTGCTTTGTGAAAGTGAAACCGTACTCATACTTCAGGGCAGAGTTGAGCAAGTTCAATACCAAGTGCATTTTTGCTTATACAATACACCCCCACCCCCACATACCTGAGATTCCATGAGCTGCAAGTCTTGGCCTTGGCTTTGGCTCTCCTCAGCAACTTCCTCCTCATATTGTTGTGCAGAGCGCTCAACTTTCTTCAGGTCACTCTCCAAATTAGAAATCTACAGAAAAATCACAAGAACAGTGCATTAGCAGGAGCCAGGTCCCATGGGCTAGGTGATTGAGATTGCGATACATGTCATGGAACTGGGAGCCCTTGCACGGTTTTCCCAGGAGAGTGATTCTGAAAGTTTCTTCTAGATGAGTACAGGTTTGCGTACTTGAACAATCAGTATTCGGAAATAAGTTGAGTAAGGTCTGACAATAGCGGTTACTTACCTCCTGCTGGTGTTTATTGTATGACTCTTCCATTTTCTTCAACGATTTCCTGCAGGACAAGGCAAAAGGCAAGCAGGCAGAGGCATCATGTTTCATCACTTTTCAGAGTGTTTATGAGAGTAACACAACAAAACAATGGAGAGGGTAGGCTAGGTTACGCATTGCACAGTATGCCGCGCTGATACATCGCACTGCCTTCACATTGTAATGCCAAGGATACAATCGTGACTTGGTTAGGGTGGGGAGAGAAATTCAATTCCCGTAGCTATGCAAAAGACGTTACTTTAGTAACGTCTGGCGCTAGCCAGGGCCCACACAGCTTTAATAACACGTACATTTACCTCTCTGGAGCTAGGGACAAAATCTCTATGAAAAGAAACCCCCGGGGTCAAGACACGGTCCGCCAAAAATCAACTTAGAAGAGAGAGAGAGAGAGAGAGAGAGAGAGAGAGAGAGAGAGAGAGAGAGAGAGAGAGAGAGAGAGAGAGAGAGAGATTACTTTGTTTGATCCAGTCGTTTGACTAAATGGCTCGTCTTCTCCTTAGCTTTGATAAACAATGGTCGCTTCTTGCTGAGCTCCGCTTCCTGGTGTGAAGGAAAAATCACCCGAGAACAATAAGGAAACCATCACAGATATAACACAGCTACACATGCATGTACTTGGAAATGCACTGGTACCTGAAACAAATCGGACTCAAATCAGTTATTTTATCAGTATTCAAGCCTGCTTTTGAACGGCTGTCTAACAATCACTGTGCCGTTCGAAAACAAAAGTGTTGAATTCTGTCTTCAGATGTCCATAGCAGCAGTGGTAGTATGACAACACATGATCACAAGTCAAGATGGGACAGACATATCGCCATATACACACAACCAGCACTGACCAGATCCTTGATTTGCTTTTCGAGAGTGGCAAATTCACGTCCTCGTTTCGCCAACTCCTGCTTCTTGGCCTTCAGCTGCTGCTCTATCGCTTTCCCTTTGTCCGTCTACAGCACAAAGGGATAAAAAAAACCCGTTAATCAGCACCACAGGCAATTGCTACACCCTTGGCAACAAACAGAGACCATAGTGATGTCCTTAGAGGATCCTTCAAAAGGGAGTAAATAGTGCAGAATATAAAATACATGTGCAAGTCAACAATGCGTCCCTGACACACGTGACCTAGACCATACCTGTCGTTCCGAGTCATGCTGCAGATCAGTCATGTTCTTTTGAAGTGAGGACAGCTCACGGTCGTTCCGAAACAGCCTGAACAACTCCAGCTCAACGCGTGCCTTTTCCTGCGGGGAGATCATATTCAAACCGAGTGAAGTGATCAGCACAGCACCAAGTCTACAAATAATAAATACAAATACATCACACCAAGCGCCCACAAACAAGAGTATGCAACTGTGGCCATGGTTAAGTGCGCGGTGCGCTGCCTTCGTTACGTAACTTGTCCGTATCACGCTCTCTGCACCGAAGTCCACAATCTCTCGGACCAGCATACCCAGTATTGCTTGATTCGTCCGAGTACAGACACCTCTAAATTTTGGTGCATGAAAGTCGGTTTCAAACCACAGGCAGGCAAAGTGTGGTGTTTGATTCTTCCCATAGTGTGCGGATATAGCTGTATGATGTAACGAAGGCAGCACGCTGCACATCTGGCCCATAGAAAGGAGATCACACTTGCATACTCTTTGTTTACGGACTCTTGATCATGCTAAGTTCTATTCACTACAAAGTCAAATGATCGCTATTTTGTGCAGATCAAACAACTCCTCAACGTACCACATCAGCATGGAGTTTTCGGAACTGCTCGGCTTCCTCTTTCTCGTGTTTGGCCTCGCGTTTCTCCGCTCGGAATGCCTGCAGACGGAAAGATCACATCATCAAACACACACACACAATGACAAGCTCATACAAGTGTTAGGTACCTCCTCCCGTATATTTCCGAAGTTCTACAACCTTTTCCAAGCTGGCCTGCATGCACCCCGTACTTACCGTCACATACTCACCTTTAGTTCCGTTGGCCTGGGTAGCTACTTGCGCGTCCATACTTGCCATAGCTACCCAGGCCCTTTACCTGGCGATTGTTCTCTCAAACTCTCTCTCTCTCTCTCTCTCTCTCTCTCTCTCTCTCTCTCTCTCTCTTTCATAATGTAGTCGTTCGTCTTTCTCTCCCTCTCTCCGTCACCATAATAAATGTCGTCGTCACCTACCCGTTCCTTTGTCCTTGTGTCTGGGATTATGACTCCTTTGTGACTCAACATTGGCACCCAACATGGGGCTCGAACCCACGACCCTGAGATTAAGAGTCTCATGCTCTACCGACTGAGAGCGGATAATAAACAAACACTGCATCAATGCACCAAATGATATTTTGTGAATATTCACTTCCAGCCTCTGCAGTACAGAGTACTAGTACTCATTTACAGCACCTTCAAAAACTTAACCAAGGGAAATTATGATGCAGAACTGCGCGTACATTTTTCCGTTGCAGCGCGAAAGCAGTTTCCTCCTCAGCCTTGATCATAGCGAGGCGTTTCTGCTCGTACTCTTCGGCGAGTTCGTTGGAGCGGCTAATCTGCTCAAACATGGCCGTGCGTTCCTTCGGCGTCTTCATGGCAATGGACTCCACAGCACCCTAAACAAACAAGTACCACATTATGAATACCAATCAGAGAAAGGAAGTAAGGCCTTGAATGTCAAGTGAGGTCATCAAGGACATCTGAAGCTGTGCAGAAGGTGTTATAGGCAAACATAGGCTCCATTGCTAGCCCTTTATTGGCCGATTAAAATACAAACAAGCCCGCGCAATCGCCAAACCTGTACCTAAATTGGACGTAACTTTAATTTGCATTGGACAAATTCCACGATCTTGGGCATCCTGGAAAGGCCTTGGCGAGAGGAGCGCAATGAGCGTACATTCGACTCCACGGGATGCACTGGCCCAGCGCTGCAAGCCAGGGAAGGCCAACCAGCGCTGGGCCCACGCTCGAGATCTATCTCTATCCACCATTTCACTCCTGTTGCTCGTATCAAACTCAAATTTTTTCGTACAGACTCCCGGGAACCTGCTTTTGAAGTTGAATCGGTGTAGTCTTGTCAAAAGGTGACGTAAGCAGGGAAAATCCCGCCCGTTGACCCACGCATCACGCCCTGAGCGCAAATTTCCCGGGACCAACATTACGAGTGCTATAACTCAAGAACCGCTCTTTGTATCGCTTTGAAAATTGTTCGAGGCGACAGCTGAGAGTTTTCTCTTCGACCTACATATTTAGATCTCTCCGAAAGACCGAGATTTGACCAAGTTACGATAATTTCAAAATGCCTACCCCGTCGAACATCGGTGTTCGATCAATGTATAGGCCAGCCAATAAAGGGCTAGAACACATCACACCAATGTGCCGTTGCACTGGCGAAGGCCAAACGGCAACAATCTCTCTCTCTCTCTCTCTCTCTCTCTCTCTCTCTCACACACACACACACACACACACGCAACCACACCCACCCACCCACACACACACACACACACACACACGCACACACGTGCGCAAACACACGCACACACTGTTCCTTGCAGCACAGGATACTTATAAACGTGCTCTAACGAACCTGGAACACCAAAAAGTTCTTGGCCTTGATGAGGATGTTTAAGCTTTCAAGCTTCGCAGCATACTGGGCATAAGTCACTTGCTGCAGAAATACAAAGGACATTGAACATGGCTATCCACCTACTAGTGCTTGTAACGTTAGCAGATTATTCAGGAGACAAATGGCCAGCAACCCAACATACGAAGAGAGAAAATATGGACATAAATTAAAGAGTATAATAATAACTATAATGTATCGACATTGGCGTGGATTGATGACATGACAGAATGGGTTTGAGGTGACACCTGATCATGATACGATATACCGCCTATTGCACTTTCAAACTCTATTGCTCACGAATCGCATGGCAAACAAAATACACATTTACCAGGCCTTGACTTACCTTCTTGTTCAAACGGTACTCTGTCGAGTTACTTGATGCTACAATGCTGAAATCGGTGGCACATTGGGAGAGCAAAGAGCCATTCATTAAAAAAAGCCAAAAAATATATTGAACACTGAACTAGCTCTGGTTCACGGAAGACACAAATCAGCTGTAGTATCCGTTTCAACAATGCTTGGTGTACACAAGCTCCCAGCTACTGTACTATCTTCGCTCTTGAAAATTACCATCAATACTAAAGAAATTAGGCTTCTGTGCACGTACGTTCTGGTAAAAAGGAGCTCCTCTCCAGAATCTTGCTTGTACACCGCTGTCACCATTGCACGATTGGCAACTGGCTTTCCAATCGGCGCACCGTGAATAAGATCCTAGATAACAAGCAAAAAAAAACAATTTTACAAATCAGTGAAAATCAGTAAACAGTTTTGGCGTGCACAATCATAGACCCTTTGCATTTAGGAAGCCAGGAGAACGATGTACATGTAATAACATTAGTAATCACCAACAGGGAAAATCCTTGGGAGGTTTTGTATACACGCATGCATGTTATCCATACTCAGCTAGCCGCATGCATACCGTATTTGCCGGAGTATAACGCGCACCTTTGTATAACGCGCACCCCCAATCTTCAACCACAAATTCACACAAAATGGCTCTATTCGGTGTATAACGCGCAGGCAAATCGGGGATATTTGGTTCTGAAATTGATCTCGTCAAAGGATGGTGAAACTTAAGAATATTTTCCGGTAAGTCAGACTATGACTACGAAATTGATGGAATTACGAACTGTGAACATGAAAACAACATTGTTTTTCCGTGGATGTTCTCGAACGTCGATGAACCTGAGCACTCGCTCCGTACGATACAGTGCATTACGTGTATAGTGCGCACTTGAACTCTTGAACTCTGGCACTTTTGTACTAGATTCTTGTATTCGGTGTATAGTGCGCACTGCAGATTTGAGCTTCAAAATTCACTGCTCAGGGTGCGCACTATACACCAGCAAATACGGTATGTATAATTGCATAAGTCTGCTCTCCACTCAAGGCTAATAAACATTATGGAATAGCACTTCGCGCAAACGGTCTACAAATGATTTGTACTCTCTTGGGCATAAGAAAAAAGGAGAAAAAAGAATGCCGAAACCCAGGATTGAACCAGGGACCTTTAGATCTTCAGTCTAACGCTCTCCCAACTGAGCTATTTCGGCAGACAAGAAATAAAGTTTCTAGTATAAAAGTGAACCCTAGGGATGTGTTCAGTTGGTAGGATCTAGAACGGGATCGAACAGCTGGTGCACATGGAGCAGCCTCATGCCAAACCAAACGGTACTCCAGAAACAGAGCACATTTTTGTGAAAAGTGTGCCAAACTTGGTGCATTCTTCAAAATGTGTACGGGTCACCATGGTCACTTTGTACGGTACAACGACTCTGTCAACGAGTCCAACCCAAAAGCATATGCACGTGATCAAGAGTACATAAACCAGAGTGTGCAACTCGGGATGGTTCCTGTGGGAGCGTAATTCGTGCAGTACGTCATTTCTGACGGCATGGTAAGCCACAGGTACGGTGAAAAGTTGCGTAACCAGTCGCAGTGGTGCAGGTCACTGAGTTTGTCATGATTTCGGTTCTTTGATACGGATAGCCTGGTGACTTTACTTGTCGGTGGATGTACGCAGCGTACACAGTCACACAAAACACCGAAATCCTGAAACTGGACGTCTAAAATCAAGCAAACTTGGCTGATTTCCGGGCTATGAAACATGAAAATTTGAGCTGTACGCAAGTCGCGGCTTGGCTGACCTCATCAGGGTGACGTAGTGCACGAACTGCGCTGTTTCAGATCTGATATGCACAGTTGCACACTCTGGTTTATGTACTCTTGACGTGATCATTCGGGACCAAAATCGATGTTCCCGCCAAGTTTCAAAGTTCCATTGTGAAAAAGTGAAACTGCAAGCAGAACATGTTCTGGCCGACCCAGAACAGGTGCAGTCCCAACCAAACGCGCTGTTCTGGTGAATCCTGTTCTAGGTTGTACCAACCAAACGCGCCCTAGATTAGATTGGTCAGTTCAAGCTCGAACAGCTTCGCATGCGGGAGTTCTACATTCTTGGGAGTCCTGTACTCCTGGTGAAACCCGACCACGAACACAAGAACTGCGCTGCAAGCTGCATGCCTGATGGGTGCATGATGGGTATATGCCTCGAGCTGAGTGGCACAATGGGAGAACGTCACGGGCTGTTTGACTTTTGGTGCAGAAAGGTTCTTGGCCAAACTACAAGATGACTAATTCGGCGGAACTTCGGCCTTGGACTGAATATACAGAATGCAATCATTTCAGAACAGCTTGAATTGAGCTTCCGCACACTGAAAGTGGTGTTACTCTGTTCAATGTATACGTCTCCGTGGTGCTTTTTTGGATCATAATTGAACTTTTCTTTGGACTACAGAACTCTGGAATACAGCATTATACGCAAAAGACCCCTTCCTGGCCCCCCAAGCCCTGTTACGGCAGCCCGGGACGCGGTACGCCCTGAGGGGCAAACAATCTCATGCCGCATGCACGAAACGACAATATTAAGCTCGTGGACATGCGACTCTACTGTACATACACACCTTAACATGCTTGACACGAAGTGACACGGTCTTTTCACCCAGCACGAAGCTGATGGCATCCATCAAGTTCGACTTGCCTGAGAGAAAACAATAAATCCGTACAACACAATAGAAAGGATGAGGATAAGGAAATCAGAAGTGGTGAGACAGTCTCGTGCCTAATGGTGGTCTAGTTGGACTCTACACGTATAACAGTTTTATATTAAAAGTATTCAGCACATACTTAAAAGTATGTGCTGCATACTTCTAATATTCAGTTGAATGGTGAACAGCAACTCCTACCACTCACAGTGGCTTGAACATGATCTCACTCAGCATCTTTAGATGGGTCTACGTCCATAATCTCCAGGACTGTGACAGCGCTGTGCAGCGCTCTGGCCTGTGATCAGCACCCGATGTCTCTACAACGGGATTGTCCGACATTTAGCAACATTTTTAAAAACAGAATTTCAAACGGGGGGGGGGGGGGGGGAGGAAGAGAGGGGTTTGAAGTAAGTTCTGTTCGCTTTATTTCAGATGGTGCCTTCGCAATGGATGAATCTGGAACTGAAAGTGTGTACCGTAAAGTCTTGTATAAAAGCCGCGGCTTCTATGACTTTGTTGGTGAAATTTTGCAGGCTTCTATATGAGACAGGCTTCTATACAAGACAGGTATTTCTATGTATGTCAACACTAAAACCAGGCTTATGTGTGATTTGATGGGCCCAAAATTGCGGCTTCTATTCAAGTGTGGCTTCTATTCAAGTGCGGCTTCTATTCAAGTGCGGCTTTTATACAAGACTTAACGGTATGTGATTGTATCCTGCATTTGCCTGGAAAGTCACCTACATGTAGCTCTATGGAGTGGACTTTAAAAGACGCTCTAGGTTTTGGTGCAGACTCTGATGAATCCCCACCAATATAATAGTCATACAGCAACATTATCGCATGCACACGTGCACACACACTGCCCTCCCTGAACGAGAACAGCTCTTTACGTGTAGGGGAGAGGTGTTGGAGCCCAAATGGCGAGCGGACCCACATGTGCATTGTACAATCATGTTCTTTGACGATTCTTGTGATTCACATTGTCCAGCATACCAAGCACTGTTTGTATGGGAGAAATCAAAGTTAAGTGTGAATTGTGAATAAAGTTCGTTTCAGGGACCACGTAAACTTCTGCAATGGCCTGTAAGAATCCCGTGTGGAGGATAACGTCCACCCCCCACCCACCCACCCACCCCCCACCCTCTGTATACAAGTAGATGACATCCATTGACAATCAAGTCATTTCGTACACATAACTATTTGCACTATTTGCACAAATTGGTGACCGAATTCGACAATCAATTGTTATTCAACCCTATTTTTTTCAATTTGTGAAATTTTGATTGATGTGTATAGTAATGTACAGGTCAGCTGGTGTAAGTGAAGAAATAGATGAAGGTGAAAACGTCCTCAGACATGGATAAATACTTACCGCAGCCATTTGGTCCAATTACAGCTGTAAACGGCGACAGAGGCCCGATGACCATAGATCCCTTATAGGATTTGAAATTCTCGACTTCGAGGCGACTCAAAATACCCATTTTGACAAATTCACGATGTTTCACCAGATCAGCAGAGATAGGTGGCCAGCATTGGAGACGCCATAAAACGGCTGCAGCATGAGCATAACCAAGTGAGCTCCTAGATCCTTCTCCTTATTTACTATTTCTTTGATTTTCTCATTCCCAAACGCGATGGGCCTGGGGGATCCAGTAATCGCGAGAGAAATAAAGATGACGAAGACTCAACACGCCAAGGCAAGTTTGGCGGGAAATGAGCTGGTACAAAAAATGGGGCCAAATCTCGACGTCATTCTTGATCACATGCGCGCAAAATCCTCTCCATTTCAAACTGGCACGTGACCAAACAACCCACCTTGCAGCCAAGGCGGCGCTGCAGCTGCACAAGGTCGCACAAAATAATTTTCTACGTAAAAGTCGTTCGAACGATCAGATCATGAAAGAATCAATGAAATCGTTTGCTCAATAAATATTATTGTCAATGTCATTGTGATGCTAATAATTGTACTACCGGTATACCTGTACTTATAAGACGCTTATCTCTTCGGCTGAACAAGCTTTACGTGTCTTGTTTCTCGCTGTGCGGACCTTTCCTATGTTTGGACCAGAAGAAGGAGCAGAATCGACTCTTATCGAATAGGTACCGTGTTGTGTTTACATACATGCACTTACTTTGGATATGTAGTCATCAGAGCCTAGAGTCCTAAAATGCTTCCTGATATACCTCTGGTATTTTTGCTACTCCTTGGTTGGATTATGAGATGCCCTCTTTAATTAAATGGTGCTGGTGTATGAAGTCAATGACGATATGCGCCACATTGTAGGTACCTAAAGTCGTGTATAAAAGTTACGCACACAGGCACGCGCGCACACACACACACGCACACACACACACACCCACACACACACACACACACACACACACACACACACACACACACACACACCTGTCCTGTCCTGTCCTGTAGAGTCACTGCCGCAAAAGGGTCACGTGATCCCATCACTGGGAAACTTGAGAAGAGAGAGAGAGAGAGAGGGCACGACGCCCGATGACACTCCAGGTGCACGGGTAGTCACATCCGCTTGCCGCATATGCACACGTGCTGGAAGGTTGAGCGCTCCTCTGCTGTTGGTCTATGGGCCACCCTTGAACAGCGATGCCTGCCCCGTCCCCGGACACCGCGAAAGCAGCGACCACACCTGTCACAATGCGCGGCACAACATCCCTCCACCGGTGCCGACACTCCAGTAGCTCTAGGTGGCACTGTGGCACACACACACACACACAAGAAAACAGAATAAGGCACTATCGACTCCGGCTTTGCCAGGCATATATGATGTCCGCCTCTTGTGAAACTCGGGATGAATGAAATAAATGTATGAAACGTTCCGAAGGAAACTGTTTTTCTCCTTATGCGTAAGGTGTCATCAGTACAATATCAAGCATGTAACAACAACAACATCTCTTCTTGTCCACTGGCTATAGTGAAATACAGATTTGAAACAACAACAACATGTCTTACTGGCCACAGGCCATCGTGAGAATAAAGATTTGAAACAACAATCGTGAGAAAGAAGAATTGAAACAATGTGTCTGTTACAATCAGGCCTACTCAATGGAAGTAGAATTGTCCTAGGGTACTGTACATGTGTAACCATCAGTCTCTGATTTGAAGATGAGTTCCTAGCGAATGATCAGTTTAGAGTTCTATCAAATAATTCAGGGGCGTCGGAGACAGTACAGTCACTATGGTATTGACCGTACCACTTTTTGCCCCAGGTACCCCGTGAATCAAAAAATACACTGATCTGGACTCTAAATTTCCAAGAATTTCGGCTCAGCCACCCCTCCCCACACGTAATTATTTGTACGCCAGATGGCTGACCGTACCACACTAAACTACCTTCCGACGCCCCTGTAATTTCATGTGTAAGTGATACAAGGAAGACCAGCATCAACTTTAGCCATGGCATTTGTTAGCCAATCAGAATACAAGACATCATAATACAGTGCGTATCGGTTTTAGTGTGGTCGTGTAAAAGTATATTCTGCCTACAAGAATGAACTCTCATATTTTCCTAATCATAACATGGATTTCATTTGTATACCGTACTCACTTGATTAGAAGCCCCTCTTGAATAATAGCCCCCCTACAAGGACTGTTTGAAAAAAATACAAGCCCCTCTCGAATAGAAGCCTGGACTACTTTTCGCAAAGCATGGGGTGACCAGGTAGTGCCATGTATGAAGGTCAAGTCTGCAAAAAACACCTCGTGCATGTTCCTATTGGTACAAGTCCTGGTCGATGTAGTGTGTGCAAACTAACTCGGGGCCGAGTTGCTGTGAATATGAATGTTTTAGAGATTCGATTGGAATACTGGTATGGAATGAAACAATAAAAGCCCCTCTCAAATAGAAGCCCCTCTTGAATAGAAGCCTCCTCCAAATTGGTATTGAAAAAATAGTAGCCCCGGCTTCTAATCGAGTGAGTACGGTATTTATTCTTACAAGCAATGTTGTTGCATAATAGAATATATCGGTCCTGAGAATGAACTTTGGGAAGCAATACATGCCAGATTAGTACAAAGTGTATCGCCTGTAGTAATAACATCTGTCCAATCCAGTTCTGATCTAACTCGCATTGCATCATAATGCTGCGAGTGCATCTGTTGTGGTCATGTAACTCATGTTACACGGCCACATGGTGAGCCTATGGGACTACTTCGGAAGTATGAACAACCGCATGCACAGTAGCACTGCATTGCATGTACGATTATCTTCCTGGCTATGCGCACATGCATATGATACGTCACACTAGATTTATCGTGGGTAAGGAAAATCGGAAATAAGAATAGAAAGTCGTTTTCAAACACCCACGCTATAACCGATACCAAGAGTAGATAAATCTGCAGATACCCCCGCCCACGGCAGAATTTTTTGTTGACGTCACCTTTTTTTCAGAAAAACGCGCATCTTGCCGCAGAGCAGTGTGAGAGCACGTGCTGGTCACCGACCTTGTAATGTAAAGCTCGGCCAAGTGCACGAGGCAAAACTTTCCAAAAGACTCGCAGCGCGTGGGTCGTAGAAAAGATTACGTCAACAAAAAATTCCGCCGTGGGCCAACCCATCCGGGAGTTGCACACTCTTGTTCATCTACTCTTGCCGATACCTACTGTACTTCTGGAAACAAAAAAAACTTAATGGCTATTTTATTCACATTCTGAGGTGTTACTGCGATCAAGAAATTTGGTGCAGTGGAACGAAAACAGCTCAATATAGTGAGTGTATGTACTAGTACAGTGCTGGCAACTGAAATCCGACCCCCTTGGCGGCGCGGCGCGCCGCCAAGGGGGTCGGATTTCAGTTGCCAGCGCTGTACTTCTTTGAAGTGTGCACACTATGACTGTACTTCCCCACATACAGTGCGTATCGGTTATAGCGTGGTCGTGTAAAAGAATATACTGCCTATAAGAATGAACTCTCATGTTTTCATAATCATAACATGGATTTCATGTGCACATTTATTCTTACAAGCAATTTTATCGTACAGTAGAATATATCGGTCCTAAGAATGGACTTTGTGTAGCGAAACATGCCAGATCAGTACAAGGTATATCGCCTGTAGTAATAACATCCGTCCAAAGCAGTTCTGATCTGACTCGCGTTGGGTCGTAGTGCTGCAGGTTCAACTATTGTGGTCATGTAACTCATGTTGCATAGCTACAGGGTTAGCCTATGTGACTGTGACCAGCCGCATGCACAGTAGCACTACCTTGTATGTACGATGATCTTCCTGCCTCTGCGCACATGCACATGATATGTCACACTTGATTTATCGTGTGTAAGAAATATCGGAAATAGGAATAGAAAGTCGCTTTTCAAACACCCACGCTATAACCGATACCTACTGTATATGCGCATGTGCTGATAAGCGAAAATTTGCTGCAAAAAAGATGTATTGCTGTGTAAACATGTCCGGGTAGAAGCACATGTGTTTATATGTGCAATAGAAGTTTGTCTGTGTCCTAAACAACGGTGTTATCACAAAGCTTAGTAGTACATTCAGCTCCCAGGTGTTTCACCAATCGTGTTTACATGTAAGCACATGCGCTTATAACTGGGGGGGGGGGGGGGGGGCTTATGTCCGGACATAAGCCCGTGTGCTTATATGTGCAGAAGTACGGTATACAAAAGAAATTGCCACCGTTTGCGCCTCTCTAGGAGTCACCATCGCTCAATTCCTTGGAGCTCGAATCACCAGATTGGACAGCTCGATCAAAGTCACAAAGCTTATGTTTCTGAAGGAAGTATTAATTTCGCAAGCTGTTATTTCCACATAATGTGTAGAATGGTCGAATGGTGGTTTGTTCCGTATTCAAATATTCCTGGGGCACTGAAGTGTTGAATATATTCGAATAATCAAATATTCATGACATGCCTGCATGTTCTAGTATCAGCCATTGCTCAAATGTGTTATTACTTCCGATTCTGTTTCAACAGGTGTGCAAAGCAAGGCAAGTGGACATGACTGTCCAGTGACTTGTGGTGAGAAAGAAGCAAACTAAATGGCCAGCTTTCCTACCTCGCACAAGAAGAAGCAAGAGAATGATATTGTTCTACCCCCAGCCGTGCAAAGAGTTGAGGACTTGTGGGTGGAAGTGGCCATCCTGCGAAAGGTGTTGATACGCAACCGTAATCAGCACCGACGGGAGGAGCATTTTCAAGCAGCGTGGAGAGTGAGTGTATGCAGCGTTCATATTGTGTCTGTGTCATCAAAACCAGAACAATGTATGTCCTACAAGATTGTCCCTGGATCAGTACTTTGTAAAAAATATTTATGTTGAGGTATTTTTTTGATCATGTAGGTGAGTTTCATCATGTTGTCCTTTTGTCTGAGTATTTGAATATCTGAATAGTGTACACATACCTGGACCTGGTAACCGTCAGTACCAGTAACTATAACTGGCTGCTTGATTGCCTTCTTTGAACGTGTATTCTCCAGCTGACCAAGCGTGCCAACGAGCTAAAGAAAGCCTGGACAACTAATTTCGCTTCCGATACTGGGTGAGAGTAAGATTATGAGGAAACAAATGATCGTGCTTTCAAATACAAGAAGTCCTCCAACTCGAGAGAGTGCTCAATGAGTGTAAGAGCAGAGCTAATCCACACACGAGTTGCAGAGTACCGCAGTTACTCGTTGGAGCCACTGGTTTCATGCCCTTCGGGCAATAATCAAACAATATTATAATGCTGAGCTCAGCCAAGAAGCAGGTATATACTGGAGGATTCTGGCGAGAGAATGTGTATAGCTGGCGCTAATAAGTTACTAGTACTCATTTTAATACTAGGTGAAATGATCAAGGAGGGAAACGTGTGCGATTTCATAGGCTGAGGAATCAAGAAATGCCTCAAGGGGCATGTAGGAAAACATGATTGTGTGAGTTCACAGGCTGAGGAATCAAGAAGGGAAACATGTGTGAGCTCACATGCTCAAGGGTCAAGATGGGTAACATGTGTGAGTTGACAGGCCCAGGGATCAAGGAGGGAAAACAGGTGCACAATGGCGCAAAAAAAGGAGTAACAACTCACATGTTAGATATGGAAAGTGTTTGCTCCCCACACCGGAGCTTGGGCTTTTCCGCCAACTTGACTTGACACTTGACTGACTCACGACTGATCACAAAACTTTAAAACGGTGGTTGCTGACTGGTGTGATGCATCCAAAATGTCAGGAATCTTGCTAAACATTTTTTGAGGTGTATGTTTAAACTTTTGATTTCGTGCTGCTGTTTGATTTAAACTTGATTTACTCCTTGGTTTGCTCCTTGGTGTTCTGTGAAGGTCGTGCAAGGCACCCAACGCCAGGCAGGTACTTTGGCGTGCAGCCAGGCTAACTATACAGGTAAGTACCGGTATGGTGTGTAGTGTGTAGTGTATGTGAACAACCGATGACATGCAGTGTATGTTGTGCTGTTAGAATGTGCTGTTTGCCCGACCACTTCTAATGACAGTATCTTTGGAGTTCTTGTTCTGATTGCGATATTAAACCTTGCAGTACATGTACAATGTAGGTGAGATGACATTACATATCCTTGTTGGGTGTATTTCCTATTCTGCTGCAGGTCCGCACATTATCAGAGCGTGCTTTTCTGTATCCTCCATGAACACAACAACTTGTCTTTAACTGGCTATTTCTTACACTGTGCTCCCTTTATAACCCGGCCCCGTTTGTGCCGTGGGAATTCTGCTGAATTGGGAGGGTGCTGGATTAACAAAATCGGATTTACTGCTGCAATGTGTGTGAAGAGGACATTTTGGTGACTGAAAATTATGCTGGTTTGTTGAGGGTGCTGGTTTATAAATTGCTCGATTTAAGAGGGACGACTGTGGCTTGTATGGAGAGAAGTATATTTCTCTAGCTACGGGGTTATCCATATTTATCTATCTTTTACACGAAGAAAGGTTCGTATAATTATGGATGGGTGGGTGGGTCAAGGGGAGTTTTTCGTTTCAAAAAATATTGGTATGTGAGACATCAAGGCATTATTGCTGTCAAGTCAATCTATTTTTTGTTCAGGGGGGGGTGGGTGGGTGGGGGAGGGTCCTAACTAAACTTTTTCGTTTCGTGAAAATTATCGATAATGCCGGATACAGTAGCCCTTAATAGTCTGTGTGTGTTACTGACAAAAAGTTCCGAACCTGGGTTTGCCTTGACCGGTTTCTTGCTGTAACACAGAGGAGGGCAAGCACAACTATCTCAATCTCTGTTTGTGCCATTCAACGTGTTTCTTGTGTCCAGCCTTAGCTCTGTCTGGTAAGAAGATATGCCATTTGGTTGTAGATGCTTTGTTTATGCCTTGAACGGTTGGTTGATCATAGTGACGGGCATTTTTCCGCTTTTATGTATGGTCAGAATTGCGCCTCTGAACACAAGCCTGTAAATCTCATTGAGTGACTGTCAAACCCGATAAAGCCTGAGGTTTGCCGAACATAGTGTCTGTTCTTCAATCTTCTTTCACATTGCTTGTACACATACTAAGCAAGATCCACTCTCTGTACACACGTGTATGCAATCATGTACATGCGTCGATTTGTGTGCACATGTGTATACTCGAGCAGGTCCTGCACGTCCTCCCTGCTGAAACTCCTGTGTGAGAGTTTCGCCGAGCTCCAGCGTCAGTCTTCCAGCCTGCCGGTGAGCTCTAGCCTCTAGGACTATACATACATGTACGGTGAAACATGTGCCCGGTCTTGATAGCCAGATGTCATTTCTACTTCGAAATACAGAGGTAATATTGCACATGAGGAAAACGCTCAAACAGCAGTGGCCAAAATTCTACTTTTGTCCTTCAAGTCTTGTGTAAAACACACTCGTCAGGCGGCTACTCCGTGTGCTACACGCTCTTCCAGGTCTTCGGATAGTGTATAGAGCACAAGTTGCTGTGGGGACCATCGACACTTTGCCAGGTCATGAAGTATGCTGAGCCACTGTATGGGCCCAACGTGACTACTTCAAGTACTTTAAGGTGAAAACCTGCAGAACTGTTTGCTATGCATCTATGTAACTATGTGAGCACATCTTATTTTGCTCTCATAGAAAAAATTGTGACGTGTCATCGTACCTCTGATATGTTACTTGTCTGAGATATTGCTACTTGTTCTGCTGTATACTGCTTTTTCTACTCGTGCTCCTCAGTGTGCTACTGGATCCGTCATTCCCGACTGCCTTCAGCTTTGGGTTTGCGAAAAGCTGGAAAACAACGAGTAAGTTGTGCGGACTTGATTGAGCCGCGATTTTGACAAGGGTAAACGATAGGACAGTATGTGAACTGTGCTTGTACTTGGTGCATTTACCACATGTAGTACTTGTACGGGATGTAGATGTATTCTCTTAAATTCTCCATTTTTGCTTGTCGCATTCCTGTTCTAAATGCATATTTCTCAGTCTGGAGGCTCCCTTCACGCACAAGACATGTCAACTATGTACGGAAGGGGATGAGACTGTGAACGCGGCCAGCTCCACTGCATCAGGTAAGCAAAACCCAGTGAAATGATCTATTTGAAATTCGTGGGTTACACGACTTAACAGGCGTATTTCTTTGGCCACTTCCTCGATATGGCATACAGTCAACTTCGCGTATAACGACACTCGGCGGGGCATCAGAAAAGTGTCCTTATTCGCGAAGTGTCGTTATACCCGAAGTCCCATTACAGTATTACAGTTGGATGTGACTTTGCTCCGGGCATGGAAATTGTGTCGTTATTCGCGAATTGTCGTTATATCCGCAGTCGTTATTAGCGAAGTTGACTGTACCTTGAAATATGTTTATGGTAGTTTTGGCAGAGCAAATTCCGAAAACATAATGAACCTTGCGAATGACAACCCTCTATCGTGCATGAGATAATTATGTTGTTGTTCCCGAGGTTGAACATATGCAGTTAAATGGTCACTTGTTCTGAATATTGTGTCATTCTTCGCGAGTTGTTGTACCTGAAGTCGTTCTCTACGAGGTTGACCTTATTCTGATTTGTCTTGCGTGCCATCAGGTGCTTTCACTGGCCAGAAACCCCTACATTCCTTTAGCAGTATGGCAGACGATTGTGAAGATATTGGCGGTGAGTCTTAATTTGCACGCCTTGTTCCCGTTCTGCTGCTGGTGCTTCTCTGTTGCTCGCTGTTAAGGATGCGATATGTGTACATTGCTTGAGTTTGTCTCACAGAGGGCGTTTACAAGGAGGTTGGTGTAAGTACTTCTTTTGAAGTACATGTATCGTAAAGTGCCATTGACCACCCTGTGCTGTGTCACTTCCCAGCTTGTTTTATGCAGGGGGGGGGGGGGTAGAGAGGAGCTGATCCAACTGCACTTTACAATGTGCACCGTCCGTATTGGAAGTTTACAAGTATAAGCTATATGAGGGGCCAATCCCCCTTTTACCTACCATGTACCGTTCTGTCTTGTATAAAGGCCGGTCTCGTGCTGAAGCTTGTGTTGAATACAAGCCTGTTTCGAGATGGACCGTTGCCATATAATGATATAAGCCTGGTTTTAGCCTGGTTTTAGCCTGGTTTTAGCCTGGTTTTAGTGTTGACGCACATAGAACTACAGTGCTGCTCGCTGAAATCCAATCTCATCGCTCACGTGCACGCTGGGCGTTGCTCAGCCCTAGACCTGCGAACACTGGGCTGCGAAAAGTGCAAGGCGCACACTTGAGTGCCGCAACTGTGTTTCATTGAGCAGGATTGTAATATTGAACTACCACGCTTGAATTGAAGCCTAGCCCTGACGTCATCTTCTACAGGACATTACGGCCTTTATACGTGACATTACGGTATGCTACGCAAAGCTAGCAAAGAACCGATCCAGTTAATTAACTCGGACGTGATTATTTCATGACTACACGGCCGTATCTCACGTCCACACTTTCAAGCCCTGGTGTCCCTTTCAGTGAGATGTCTTTGCTGCTGCTTTCTTCGCTTTCCTTCAATTTGCAGAGCCAATATCGCGGGACGCTTTTGTGGATTTGGCCTGTTGAATAGAATCCCTGAGCAGCAGCTTTGGCTCATGCACGTAATGGCTTGACCTTTAGTGAATCCCTGTGTACTATGAACCACTGTGTACTATGGCCTAGTTGTAGGCTATTTCAACGTCCATAGAACATTAGGGCAGCCCATTGGAATAATATAATGGGGTTTGAACTTTGAACAATTCTTTTTACATGATTGCAAGAAGAGTGGTCTTTTTTTAACGGTTGAAGTTGGTTTTTTTTAAGTACAATATCCGAGTATAACTTGACAGTACTATCCTAGCTCTTATCTTTCAATTATTCTATTAGGATTTCCTTGTGTTCACAATACACTGGACAATATGACGGGAATAAAGTATTTACATGTACCAGGTCCAGAAGCTATTAGTATCACCAAGAGTTCATAATTACGCACTCTTGGTATCACACTGCGCTGGCACTACCCACAGCCACACTGAATATAGTCTGGAGTAAACAAGCTAGGCCAGTCAAAGATCTCTCGCTAGTAGCCCACCGCCCTATGATAGTGCATCAAAAACGGTCTTTCTTTTGGAACATGGGGGGGGGGGGCAGATGTGACCAGACCCGAAGCACAAATGCTCACCTAGTTCAGTAAACACAGGACACAGGTGCTCGCGTAGTTCACTAAAAACAGTTGTACTATATTTATGCACTTGGACTGGAAATAAACAAAGTGGAAAATAAATAAGACTGATTGTGCAATGCACAAGTGATATCGCCTAGATCTTTTCAAGCAAATACTGTTGAACAACAAAATGATGTCTAAACGTTTCGGTTACGTGACCTCGCACATGTACTATCAACTGCTTCCTGTGGACTGATTTGAGGCAACGGTCTGAAATAAACCCTGTGCACTGGATGTAGGCTTAGAGCGCTGATTGACTGCACCCCAGGCATCTCCCGCCCAAAGAGGTGACAGTGGGCGTTCGCTATCCGCCCTCTGGTTCTGCAGCATGCTGCCAAAGCCCTGCGTCCAGGCCTTGAAGTGCTGTGGCGTGTACGCCAGTGTGGTCATGACGAATGACGTGGTCTTCAGCACCATACTGTGGCGGTGTGTTGTCGCTGGCTTGTAGTCCGCTCTGGCCTTGACGGTCTCCTCTACACCCGGTGTGATGCTCAAGGCACGCGCGCTGGAGTAGTCACCGAGGATTCGGTCAGCACGGCGTTTACACCAGCAGATGTGCCTGGTGTCCAGCGTCACCCAGAAGTACTTATCTTGCAGTGGACCTGATCGTTAAAGAATCACAGTAGATACACAATGCAGAGTTAGCAACAGAGCGTGCAGGACATGGCTACTGCCAGGAAACAAATAGGTAAAGTGACCGAGTCAATAAAAATTATTATAAAGGTAGCACAAGTACAAAGACACTAAATTGTTATGTACATGTAAGAACAACAGAGACCAAAAATCCTTCTCGTGTTATCGTTTGATGAGTGTTTTTTGAAACACGAAACTCGGAGTCACGAGAAGGATTTTTGGTCTCTGTTGTTCTGCCCTGTGTGGTAAGCTCTGCCCCTTTTTGAGGTATTGAGCACTGTTTGCAGCAAAGACTACAGACACTTTGTCTATGTACATGTAATGTTTATTTAAAATCAACAAGTTAATACTCGTCTGTGTAGCAGTATGCTCCTGATGAACTCATCCCTAAGCGCCCTTACCTTTCCCGTCATTGGTGAATACCTTCATGTATGTACCATCCTCAAGCAGCTGGCGATAATCTTCGGGCAGCGTGATCGACTGTTGAGTATCAGGCGCCTTGCCCATGGAGCCACTGCCAGTTGAACTGACAGAGACCAGCGACCGTGTGTCAGCGGTGCCCGTGCTGCTGACATCTGCACTACTACCAGCAGCAGCCGGGCGCGCGGACATCGGCGCTACTCGACCTGACCAGCGATTCAAAAGCGATATCCTGAAAGCGAGTGGAACAAGAAATAGCCGTTTTAGGCAACAGAATCCGATTTCATTCTCGGTAGCTCTTCATGTATATAAGGTGGTCCTTCAACCAACTTTCATTAGAGCTGGCAAGGTGCATTCATACCAATATGTTTAATACTGCACAGGCAGAATATTAAGTTGGTGAACAATAATCAATAAGTTCGTCCAACTCCAAAGAAAAGAAGTTTGTCTGGTTGAAAATTTAGTCCATGGACCACAAATCGTATTGATTTATACAAAAGAAAAAGGACCAAGGAACTACAAACCGTATTGAATAGCTAATTTAGTCCGAAAACTCCTTGGACGAAAAAGACGAAAATATATTCCAGACAAATATTTCTGCTTATACAGTAACTTAGCACAGGGCCGGCCAGTGTTGGGAGTTGCACTCACCGACTTGCAGTCGTGGACAGGTTTGGTCGACTGTCCCAATCAAAGCAAGTGAACAGAGCACTGACGTAAGACAGGCTCTTCTGCTTGGAGTAGTCCAGCGGAGACAGGCCATGCTTGTCCTTCAGGTTCGGACTAGCTCCGAACTCCAGCAGGACAGCGCACACGTCAACTCTGCTGCATACTGCAGCCCAGTGCAGTGGTGAACGGCCCTGAAGCACAACACGGAAAGAAGAACCAATCTTAACAAAAGAACCTCTCACAATGCACATGTGGAATGGATCCAGAACTTTGCCGAATTTTGTAGATAACAATGTAGCCGTACCCAACCCGGGCTGAAAAGTAGCCTAGCACTACAATGGTAGCAAAGGAAATAGGGCACTGACTAAAACAGACCCAGGGCTGGGTGGTCCAAGAGTTACGATCACTAGGATTTTCAGTGCCGAAACGCGGCTCTGTCTTATCCATGCGGTGGCTAGGCTGGATCTCATCTTTCACCACTGTAGTATATGCAGCAGCAGCAGGAGGAGGAGGAGGATACGTGCTTACATTCTTGTCCAGATCATGTACACTGTCTTCCCGGATGGAGATGATGAAGCGGGCTGCTTTGACAGAGCCTTTCTCAGCAGCAATGTGCAAAACAGTGAGGCCCTGCAGAATGATGATATAACACACACACGCGCACAGACACACACACAGACACACACACACACACACACACACACACACACACACACACACACACACACATGCACACACACACAGATACACATAGCACGTCAAGTACAGTCATGGTGCATGTTGTTGATTAAAGGAGGCTGCTCGAACATTACATAAATGATGCTCCGCCTCATAATATGCATTATGCATTGTTGCTAATGTAATAATCAGCCTACCTGTTTAGGCATAACTTACATGTGGTGTACTTTTATGTCCCATCTGTTATAATGCTGCTATATAACATAGCAGTAAATATTGTGACGATATAAGTGTTACTACAATGTAGTACAGCCATGATATACGTCTACTTCCAGTTCTTAGCTGCCCTTTTTTTACAAGTCCAATGTTGTAAGATTGGCATACCTTGTGGTCCTTGAAGTATGTCATATCATGTTCCAGTAGCAGCTTGAGACAAGTGATATTGGTCTTGTGAACAGCCCTGTCACGTGCCGGGCACAAAATAACAAAACAGTACATTTCAAGCTACCGAAACCAGAGCAAAAGCAAAGAGCGTTCATTCTCAGAGCCCATGTGGCATTCGCGGGGACCGCTGCAGAATACGCACAAATCATACAGTTGGAAAGAGTAGAGCACTGTTACATCTGTATATAGGTATGCCAACACCGTGCCGGGTAGCTCACCAGTGCATTGCGGTTCGGCCATCCACGTCCTTCTCCTCTCGATCAGCGTCCAGCTTGGCCAGGTACGTGCAGATGGTCGGCCGGTCATGATAGGCAGCCCACATCAGGGCTGTCATACCTGCCTTGTCCGATGCATTGATATTGGTATTCTTAGCCTGTGCAAGAGCGACCACACATAGATCATGTCTCTGGGTTAGTTACCGGACTGCAATGTCGCTCAAGCTACTAGTAATGGACCTCGCAGCTGTTTATGACGAAACTCACAGTCAAGTGCAAGGAGAAAAGGTAGGGAAGCAGCTGCTTGCTAACTGACCTTCAGCAGAGCCTTGAGGCACTTTTCAGTCTTGTTATATGTTGCGTAGTGCATGGGAAGGCGTCCTTGATCGTCCCGAAGACTCGCAGAGGCTCCATTGTGTACCAGCAGTTCAATCAGCGACAGAGCACCAACATATGCTGCCTCGTGTAATGGTGACGAGCCATCGTTGGCCTGGGCAACAAGCAGAAAAAAAGAAAACACCAAGCATTACTGCCATCCCGCACTTGCTCATATTACCTAGCAGTGACTGTTGCGCGCCATTATGACAATAGCCCAGATTTGTACATGGCTTTGAGAATTCAAAGTCTCTGCAAGACCATTGCCCTTTGAAAGCAGCCAGCATCACCGGTGCACGGACGGGGTCAAGCTGGTCAGATTGGACTCACAGGCAAGCATTCTTGCCTCTGGGTCTCGCATGAACGCCCAGAAACTTGTGAGAAACTTGTGCCGAGCAGTTTCTGGCAAAGCTGCATGTACAGTGCAGAACAGTAAGAACAGTACTGGACACAGCTTACTGCACGCTGATTCCTGTGAGCAACGCACATCATGTGGCACTCAGTGCAATGCACATCATGTGGCACTCAGTGCAATTGCAATGCCGACACAGCTTACTGCACGCTGCTTGTTGTGAGCAACGCACATCATGTGGCACTCAGTGCAATGCACATCATGTGGCACTCCGTGCAATGCACATCATGTGGCACTCCTTGCAATGCACATCATGTGGCACTCAGTGCAATGCACATCATGTGGCACTCAGTGCAATGCACATCATGTGGCACTCAGTGCAATGCACATCATGTGGCACTCAGTGCAATGCTCGTACATACCTGGTGGTCCAGGTTGGCTCCAGCACGTAGCAGTGCATCTGCACAGAAGATGTTGACACCGTGAGAGCTGCAGCTTATAGCGGACGAAATCACCACAACCACACAACACACAGAAACAACATCAAATGGTGCCAAAAACTATACATAACGTTACTTTGATATCCATGTATATGACAGGCACACAGCGACAATGAAGCCCGCCCCACCACCACCATGAGTAGAGTTAGAAGTGCTTCAGCTACATATCTCCCAAATCACATCTCTTCCGGTTTTTACAGAAATCCCACATGGTACACTGCGGCACAATTGGTTAATCTATTGCTGGATGCAGTGCAGTAAAAACGGAACTCGGGCCGGCCGGCACTGTACAATATGGCTCCATTCACCTGTACATCAGAGCTGTTCTATCATGACTGTCCAGTGCGTCGGGATGGTGTCCCTGACTGAGCAACTCCTTTATGCGCCTGGAGTCACCAACCCTGTAGAAGGCGAAGAATTAAAGAGAGTCAGAGATGGCACAGACATGTCAAGAAAACCGGATCCTGAGACAATTGAAAGCACCTGAAATGTGCTAATTCCGACTTAAGCTGAAACTGGATACTGATCGCGAATCATTCCACTTGATTCGAGTGTAAGAACTCCAGGGTAATGGATAAAAGCAGTGTGGTGATTGGGGAAAATATACAAATACTACTGTAGTATTTTCATCATGTGCATGACATCATGAGACTGGGATAAACTGACCGTTTGCAATCGGAATGATTATTATTTCAATGAGTGCATGTATGTTTCATGTACAACAAATATACTATGTTGTATTTGTCTTGCGCTAACCAGCCCTGCTTACCAGGCAGCATGGTGTAGAGGAGGTATTTGTGCATCTCCTGTATTTGCTTCATTCCTAGGCTTGGCTTTGCTTTGCGCGGATGGCTTAGGAGCACCAGTGCTTGGTTTGCCTGAGAATGCGTTGAATGAGGAGTTGGCAGGTGTTGCAGCAGCTAGCAGTCACCACAGCAAAGGGAAAAAACAGTTTTAATTTTTACTTTTAATTATACCATATGCCAGCGCCAGCCATGGCCTTATATTCGAAACACCGCTGCTTACCTAGATATTTTAGATGCAAAATGACTCACCCACTACGCCATGCCATAAAAGTCAAAGTCCACACAGAAATTTCAATCTAAATCTACTTATTCACCCTTCCTGCTGGGCTGTAAGTTTGTTAGTACGAGGTGAATTGCTATTTCTGGACATTGTACATTTCTGGACATTTTGAGTAAAATATTTTTCGTCACGTGTAGAGTCAAGTCAGTCAGGTTGATGAAGTTTTTTTCTTGTTGTAGTTGACAGCTGGGCTGTTGAAGTTTCTCCTCGTGTTGGTGCCTTGTTGATAGCCTTTTCTTGGGAGGCATTTCAACGAGTTTTGTATTTTGAGTAAAATAAGAAGTAATGGACGAATCGTTGGCTTCCCCATGTGCACTCCACTTCAGACGCTGTATAGTCTTGGACCTGTTGGCTGGAAGTGTGAAGAGGCCAACTGCAGTCCACCAATAGAAAAATAGAAAAAATGGTGCAGTATAGGATGCCTATTGATGCTATTTTACTTTCATGTCCAGAATTCCATACACTGAAATTTAGGCCAAAAAATTGGCCTGTCGAAAACATCCTGCTATAAAGTCTCTGGGATCACAGCATGAGCAATTGTCACATATTTGGAAAGATGAATGATTAGGCCATACAATAGATACAAAAAGATATGAAAAATGTAAAACACACAGCCAGTGGGCCTCTATTTTATTTTCATGTCCAGAAATTGCTATCCACCTCGTATAGTACCTATTCCTTCATTTTTGCAAAACATGCTTCAAAGGTCATTTCATTTATGAAGCCCGTGGTTTTATAACTGAGACTGGCTTTATAATTGAATATACCGCCATGGCTTTAAAGGTGCGGATATACGGTATGAGTTCTGATCCATTTTGAAGGCGAGTACCGTAATTGTCATAGAATATCAAAGATCAGGGAGGGGAGGAGGGGGGTTAGTACTTGTAGGTAAGATTCCCCTACCAAACGTCTTTGGTATCCTCAAATGATTTCATCATAGACAAGCGCACCTTTAGAATTGGCCCGGCGACCACCCAGTTTAAATGGTCCGGCCAGACTGCTGCTACGCTCCTGGTACAGTCAAGCAACCACCATGTAAATATTGCCCTGGCATGAAAATAGCAAATCTCGCCCAACCCAACACTCAGTAAATACCTGCCAGGTTGTAATCTCCGTACTCCGGGCAAGGCAGCGCCGAGAGGTCAGCTGGTCGTGACTCCTGGTGTGCTGGCAGGAAGTACGGTGGAGGAGCAGCAGGCCTAACCGGCTTACGGGTATCCGGAGCAGGAGGTAAGCTAACCGTCGCTGGAAGACGTGCATTTCTCAATCCTGAGTAGAAAGAGGCAAGAAGAAAGAAGCTAAGTCGCAAACAAAACCTGGCACTGAAGCCACAGATATGGTGTTGACTTGCACCAGCATCATCTGGGGTTGGCTGAGTACAACTATAAAAGTTAACACCATATGCTGCAGCAGCTAGCATTACTCAGTGCAATGCAGGATAACACCTACCATGCGCATGGGTGTCGTTCTAGTATTTTTGAGCATGAATGCCGCATAGAGTTATACGCACTACATTATCGGGATCGCTCTGTGGAGCATACCGTGATTTTGTGGCGAAACCTACAGCGTCACCTACCACAACTTTCTTGAAAGGGGATAAAATAACGTAGTACGCTCTAGCTCCGGCATGTAGCTTGGGTGAATGCCGATCCATGCAATGGTGCATTCAACAGATGTGCTACTAGTATGCATGCATGCATGCAACAGAAAGAATTCAATCTGTGCACCCTACTACAATGGCTGTAGTAGTTTCATGTTTGTACGTAATTTGATATTATCATCATTGTCCTGGCCATGCAGTTGAATCCATTTCCAGACTGGGAAATCTCACCCAGACCAACACATGGGAATTTACCAGTAATTGTGATGCCTTAAACCAACGGATGCTCACTATTCCAGGAAGTAGTGATGTTGGTTAACAAGCCATCACATCAGTATTGAACAAGAATCTCTCGGTGAGAACACCTACCCGAGTCTCCATCAGCGGATGATGCAGGACGCTGTCTATCACCACCACGTGTTGCCAAACTGCTGGCCGCAGTGCGTTCTTCTATAGCATCGTCATTGGCCACAGCAGCCTGGGAGCCTAGCAATATGCCCTCGGTTACTACATCCGGTGATGAGACTGGATCGGTAGAGTCTGCTGCCTCCGGACTCGACGTTGATGGTGCCATCTCCGGTGCCACCTTCTTTCGGAATTGCTTCTGTCTCCGTGCTGCATGCTTGGATGAGCGCTGTGGCTTGTCATGCGCGGTTGCTACAGCAGGTGTATTGTTGATACTGCCACGTCCGCTGCTACTGGAGCTACATGTATGGGTGGCCTGCCGTGATGTGAACAATGCTGTGTCGACACCGGAAGCACTCTCGCCATGCCAGGCGGTGCGCGTCGACCGCTGTGTTGTGCCGTCCGCTGTATTGCTGGTACTGGAAGGCTGGGAAGGCAAATCAACGAAATTCACTTGTACAGGCGATGGCGTAGTGCCCACTGGTACCGTGCCTACAACCTTTAAATCGGTTTTAGTTGGTGACATTGAGGTCAGCGACCTTTCATCGTCATGGTGTTCTGTGTTGTCGGTTGTAGTGGCACCTGAAGTCGAATTATCAAAGCTTGAATCATTTATTGCCAGAGCATCGGCTTTCCTGGACCCGTCCGTCCAAGCCTCAATCGGTGGTCCATTCCGCCCCCTGCTAGAGAATAGATCTCGTAAGGCCGGAGATAACGTGTTGTGGGTGCGTGTCGGGGCACTGCTGGCGGAACAGCCGCTCCGACCGGGATCTTCAGCCGCTACAGTTGATTCTGTGACGCTACCAATGTCTGAATTATTTCCTAGTTTTCGTATACTTCTGGCAATAGGACTGCTTGTGGCGAGAGGCTGGCCAGAAACACCACCAGGACTCAGGCGCACCGCGTCAGGCGTAGCGCTGCTCTCGCCCAGTGAGCGGCTCCCATTCTGTTCGAATGCATCTAACACATCGCTGGCCACTCCTTGTTGCTGCAAAAATGCCCTATTCTTTCCTAGCAGAGTCCTGATTCGCTCCTGCGCTTCCTGGCCGCTCATTTCCAGCTCGATTTCTACCTCGTTGTTGTCGCTAGAGCATTTCTCCAGTCACCGGTGATAACGCTGCCTGTACAAGTGTAGAATGTCGTGCATCGACAGTCAGTTCTATTCAGGAGCTAACCAAACCGATTCAGTTCCTCGACAGGCAGTGAAGAGAATAGTGTAACATGACATTGTGGACAATTAATTATTATTTCAAAATAATTAATTGAACTAGTAGTACTGCCTGGCACTGCACTGGTTCAATCAATGCCACAATGGTTGTCATAGTCTCATACGAGCTTGAACTGCGCATGCATCCATGCCGGGCCATGTAACTATTGTTGTGCCGCTTGTGCACGCGACCTTTCGTCGATTTTGCACAAAATGTGTCGACCATGATCATTGATGACTGTCAGACTGTATGATCTACCACGCTGGAATAATCACTTTTGTAGATCTACCACCGTTCCGATCGGACACGCACACGTGCGGTTTGGTCTTGGTACGGCGCTGCTTTCTACAGTCTACAGACTGGAGACACCAAGGTTGGTATGTTGACAGCAAGAGTGAAAATAGTAATAACAAGCTAGGCTCCTGGGAGCTTTTTTACTCTTCCTGTCTTGGTGACAGCAAGAGTACATAAAACCTGGGGGTTATGTACACTTGGTGACAGTAAGGTAGAATCATCAGGATCAGGGAGTCGTCAAATACGGTATCTGACGACTCGCTGCTCATGATGATGGTATAGTTTCTTCACATCACCAGGGTGGACGATTACCATCAAGAGTACTCTCGGCAATTACCATGGTCACATATTTTGTCGACAGCAGGACCCAAGAACGGTTTGTTGGGTGAGAATTGGATTGACCTCAGTAATATTGTTCACACCACCAACAAGACCACCCCATCCCTTGCCATGACATGACCAATGAATGACATCTGGCTGTGTGTGTGTGTGTGTGTGTGTGTGTGTGTGTGTGTGTGTGTGTGTGTGTGTGTGTGTGTGTGTGTGTGTGTGTGTGACTCGCGGTCGCAAGCGGACATTCGGAGCCGTCTAGCAAAGGGTGCAGGGGCCTTTGGTGGTCTTCGGCGCATCCTACATGACCGGAGCCTGAACCTCCCTACCAGACGCCACCTGTATGTCGTTTGCGTACTGTCAACGGTTCTGTATGGTTCAGAATGCTGGACGCCGTTGAAGGCAGATTTAGATAGAATGGACCGGTTTCACCATGCCAACATTCGCTCCATCCTTGGCGTATCGCGAGGCCGACAGTGGGAACAGCGCATCTCTTCACAGGAACTGCGAGCACAGTGGGGTGATCCCACACCATTGTCACGCATGGTGCAGCAGAGACGGTTGGAGTGGCTTGGGCACCTGGCTCGTCTTGATGACACCAGAGTACCGAAGCAGTTGCTGTTTGCCTGTCTCCCTCAGTCTCGGCCATTCTGTGGACCTCGTCGTCGCTGGAAGGACACCATTCACACGGACCTATCCGTGGCTGGAGTGCGTAACTGGTTTGAGTTGGCAAGCGATCGTGGAGAGTGGCGTGGAGTGGTGACAGCAGCAGGTGAGGACAAGGAACCCGCCCCGAAGAGCATCGAGTGCCCAACCTGCAACCGTCTGTTCCGCCGTAGTTCTGACATGGTCCGGCACAAGTGTGCAGCAATCCGTCAGCTCCCGGTATCGGAGCAGCCTGGATCAGTACAGTGTCCAACATGCAACCGATGGCTACGTAGCAGAGGAGGCTTTGCGGTGCATAAGTGTCGGCTAGGCGATGTCGACCAGCCGCCGGCCCCTGCCCCTGCTCCTCTTGTTGTTCCTGGTGTAACCAAGAGTACATAACCCCCCAGAGTGTGCAACTCCACTATGGGTGCTGTCCCGACAGAATTTCAAGTTGACGTCATTTTGATGATGCAATGCGCACTGTACACGGATTATCAGACGAATCCGGAACCTGTGGTTGACCGAAGCCGATCGATCCTGTACAAATTATTGCAAAGAAAAACGTGTGATGCGTTGACACCCGTACACATGTTGTAAATCACTGCTGCAAGGAGCATTGCGTCATAAATAATGACGTCAACTTGAAATTCTGTCGGGACAACAGGGTATGTACATATATATGTGGGAGTTGCACACTCTGGGGGGGTTATGTACTCTTGGTGTAACTTGCACCAACTGTCAGCGTTCATTTAAATCGGCTGCGGGTATCAAGCGTCACCGTTGGCGTTGTGGAACCTGTCCAAAGCGCCCTACTGTGGCTGAACGCCAACAATTCAAGTTTCACTGCCAAGTTTGCCACAACCGACGGTTCCGGAGGCGGCAAGATCTGGAACGCCACTTGGAGCATTGCCTTCCTCCCCCCTTAACCTCTCTGACAGTACCTCCCTTTGGGGAGCGACGTGGCCATTTCTGGCAGCTGTCAATAGTAGTAGTAGTAGTAGTAGTAGTAGTAGTAGTAGTGTGTGTGTGTGTGTGTGTGTGTGTGTGTGTGTGTGTGTGTGTGTGTGTGTGCGTGATCTACATGCATACTGATAAGGCTAACAGAACACACCCAAAGAGCACAAAGTGAAGGACGTGGAAGCAGGTCTGTATGTGTTTGGAAGGTTATTTATTCACAGACTATTTGAGAAACATGAAAAGTCGGCTTCAAATAATGAGATTCAATAGAAACATGCAGTAGCTAAGTTAAACAAAATTATGCCTGCTTTGGCTTCAGTGAAAAGTCGAGACGAACATAGACGATGACGACGAGGAAGAGCAGGTAAAGAGCTCCCACAACAAGGAGAGGCTCTTGCAACATTATTGTGCTGTCAAACTCGTACGTCAACTGTAACACACACACACACACACACACACCAGAGAAAAGAACAACACCAGATAATGAGCAAAATGCACTGGACGGCATTCAAAGGGCTACTGCTATTTTTATCCACGGGGCGAATTTCACTGGCCAGAAGAATAGTTAAAAGTCGACCCCAACATTTAGGGCCTTGATCCACCCGTTCAATAGCGGATATCCTGGTTGTTATGTAGACTACCATTTTTCAATTTAGTTTTAGGTGGGTATATAATTATGAAAAATACGGAACATGTATCCACCATTTCATCATACCAGTAGTAGTTGAAAGATACTGTTGTGGGTATAGAAATCCCATTGAGAAGTCAAGCGGCCACGGGGCACTGCTGGCCTTGCAGCAGCCGTCAGCACTGCTGGTCCAGTTTTGTTTGCAGTGTGTTTGTGAACTACAGTGCATGCACACGCTAAGGCAGTAAGGGTACCGGCCATGGCCATGCAACCGGATTTCAATGTCCACAACAGTAGGCTCCAGTCTGAGTCACTATGTTTTGGAGCAATGTGCAGTGCCCAGCTTCCGTGAAGTGGAGGCCCTAAAACCAACACCTGTAATATAGACTCTCTCCCAGAAAAAGGACTTTCAGAAGCCAAATAGAATACTGTATAGCAGGAAATTTTCGGACGGAATTTATTTTCGTACGATTTCGTACACGGCCTCTTTTGTACTAAAATTAATTCCATACTAAAATTTGTTCATGCGAAATTATGTACACTATACATGCGTACTGCATGCAAACACGTGTATTTAGCATGCAGCACTGTACGAAAATATAATCCGTCCGAAAGGTCGAAATTCGGCTTTGTCTGAAAATATTTCCGTCCGAAAATTTCCTGCTATACAGTAGTCCGCTATCACGATGAGGTATAAGTGGCACACGGTCTAGGACAGTAAAACAATCAACAGAGGTAGAAGAGACCCGCCTCTGCATACTACTGTAAAACGATAAACTTTCGAGGCGTGCAAATTTTGCGTTTTCAAGAATAACACTAGTTCACAATGAGAAATGTTTGCGATTTATCTCTTCAATTGGATCTTGTACAGTCTACAATCACACGGCTGTTACATGCATGCAGATCCCTGCCACTTCGATCCGGGAGCGAGAACTCGGCCGTTGAGTGATTTTCGGGGATTTCCCGTTCTCAAGTTCCAACTGTGGTTCTCAGTTTGGCAGCTTTCTGCATCGATTTTGATACTCAAAAGTCCCTTGGAAAGCCGATTTCTCCACCGCGCTTGATTGCCACGTTGCAAAAATATTTCGCCATCACGAGAGCTCCTTGGAGAACCAAATTTTTCTTTCGAGAACGAAGCAGAAGTGCTCCTTTGTTGCTGTCTTCGAATCTTTCGTTTCCCTTTTGCTGTTGCTGAGTAGGTGCCCTTTGCCCACGATTTGTGCTGTTGGCGTAGTTTTCCTGATGCTCGTGTCAGTTTTTCCTTGTGGCATTACCCAAGGGTCTTCCCCTTTCGATGGATGCCAAGCTCCCGCAGCTCCGTTCTTCCGCCCGCAGTGGCATTCTCTCCTGTACGTTGCTGCTTCGGTGGCCCCGGCAGCCTCCGGAGCCGCCGCAAGGTTTCATCATCATCATCATCAGATGACTTCACTCAGCCACCTTCCTGTCGACCTGTCAAGAGGAAACGAATTTCGTCGTCGTCGGACTCCGAAGTGGAGATTGTGGCTGTAAAGCCAGCTCAGCGTAGGACGACATATGTCTGTCCCCGATGCGGAAAGCAGTCCAACCGCATGGCCGAGTACCTCTTGAGGGCCCACAAGATCCAGTCCTTGACCGAAAGACAGGCAATCATTGACGGGTCCGAAAAGATTGAATCAACATCCCCACCTTCACCAACCCAACCACAACAACCTAACACAACAACACCCCTACCAACATCCCAACCTCCTACGAAAAAAACAATGCACAAAACTACAACACAACACACGCCTGCCGGCAAGGGACTGCAGCGAATTTCTCGGCAAGATATTGCGAAACAAACGCAAAAGAAGAAGGACTTGGGCCTGTCGTGTATGCACCCTATCAGCGGAGACCTGGTTGACTTCAAAGACTGGCTGACTAGTCCCCTTGGGAAGAAGACCCTCTTAGCGCAGTCCACGCAAGCGATGTACCTGACCACAATCCGGAAGATAGCAATGTACGTGGACAAGGATTGTGTGTCTGTGGCCAATATTCTGAACACGAAGGCTTGCTGACTAGTCCCCTTGGGAAGAAGACCCTCTCCGGAAGATAGCAATGTACGTGGACAAGGATTGTGTGTCTGTGGCCAATATTCTGAACACGAAGGCTTGCTGACTAGTCCCCTTGGGAAGAAGACCCTCTTTGCGCAGTCAACGCAAGCGATTTACCTGACCACAATCCGGAAGATAGCAATGTACGTGGACAAGGATTGTGTGTCTGTGGCCAATATTCTGAACACGAAGGCTTGCTCGCAATATTTGGAGGAGGTCAGAGCGTGCGGGGTCGGGCCATCAAGGCTAACGACGGCGTGCGATGCCCTGTTGGCCGCCCACAGTTTCCTTATAAAAGTACCACGGACGACGAACCCCAGCTAAAAAACATAAAAAAATCAAAAAAAGACTTTCAAGCTGTCCGTCTCGTCTACCTGAAGCTGAAGAAAACCCAGAGTTTGCTGCGCATGGAGGACGAGGCAGACAAGGACGCTGACCTCTCCTCCATCTCAGCCTTTCTCAAGAACCCCGAGGTAACGGAGGACATCGAGCGCCTGATGTCTGAACCCTCGACACCAGACGCACACCGACACCTTGTCCACTAACTCGCGGTGGCATTGGCGTTGGCCAATGGGCAGAGGCCGAGTGCAGTCATCAACATGACCCATGATGAATACGAGAAAGGAGTGAAAAAAATGGGTGACGACGGCAAACTGGTGGTGGGGGTGAGAAATCACAAGACCGGGGCTATCCACCTTGCGTTTGTGTGCGCAGACGGGATCCAGTTGCGTGCCATGATGCACTACAATCATCAGTATCGGAGACTGAAGGCCGCCAGCAGCGACGCCTTTCTTCTCCTCCCGAGCGGTGGACAGATTGAGTCCAAGGACCATAGCAAAATGGTGACCTGGATCGGAAAGAAGTACGGACTCAAGATGTCCACTGCAACGGAGGGGAGGAAGCTCATAGAGTCAAAGGTCCACGTCAGCAGCGCCTTCTCTGAAGTTGATGTCACTCAGAGAAGGTTGCTGCTGTACTCTTTTACTGACGCTTGTATGTTATGGATAAACATCTGGAGAACCTTCAGCTTGTCTGTCGCTTTGGTGGCCAGCGACTGTCCTCAACTAGTCATGGCACGACTTATAGGGTCTCCAATTACCCAAAAGGAGTCAAAGCTGTGTTAAAATTTGACGTACTGCTTGACAAAAGTGATACTCACCCACCACAGATGTGCAGTAATTGTCATAGAACTATTACAAGACATTATGAAGAGAACAAGCCATTGTCTGGCTCAGGGGGTTGTGGATCTCTGCAAGAATAGTCTCCACATTCACGCACCGGCTGTGAGCTATGTATGAGCCAAGAGTGTCAAGGGGCAGGAAAAAAAATGATGGTTTGCAATTGCCGAGCGCCTCCTCCTGTGAACCTTGCAGTACCAGCTGCTCTACTGCCAAATCAGATGCATTGTCTGAACCTTGTGCACAAACATCACCTACACGCGCCAAGGAAACACTTGACGAAACAGTGCACACTGTCTCTGCAATAGCAACACCTGTATATAAGGCAAATACCGAGCTTCCACCGGAATGCTTTCCACAACCGTATGCCGGTGTACAGTGTGCAATTTGTCTCCACATTGCCAACCAAGCAGTGGAGTCACCATGTTGCAGCCACTTATACTGCCCGCCTTGTATTTCCTTCTGGCTAGCTATGCACAACAAGTGCCCTATTTGCAAGAAGGATCTTCACAGCAGTTACTTTCTCCACACCGCATTGTGTCTGGTATACTTGGCCAGATGGTGTTGCGTTACTTGGGTAGGATGCATGAAACAAGTAGAGCTACAACACCTTCGTGCTCATGTCGCAGAATATCCCCACAACCCACACACACCATCCACACCACTAACTCCTACAATTACAGCCAGTACTACCTTTACCGATTTGCTTACGGCATCACCATCCAAGCTACGTGGCAATGTGTGTGACACAGGGCTGGCACACTTCGTTCGAGGTGCCCATGCCCATGGTGGACAGTACAGAAGCCAGTCCCAGTACTTTGAAGAGACGACCATCACATCTCAAAAAAAAACAGCAAGAAACTGTGTGTGGCAGCGCTGCTGGAGCGACAACACAACTCGCTTCCACTTTGAAGAAAGTGAGCAAAAAGGATAGTGATCCCCTTCTGGTTGAGGCTGGTCGTCGACCTGATTTTCTAGCCAGCTTCTTGTTAGACTTGCACGGATCGCATGTAGACGCGCACGCGAATCCATAGTGATCTACCGTATCCGGATTTATGGCGTATTTTTTTTCCGAAATGTGCCGCCATCTTGCTAAGTGGGCCTGTCGTAACAGCCGTGAATCAATGTACAGAGCAGTTTGCAGCGATTTATATTCGCGGATGTGTGATGGTCGCGAAAATAGCGAAATTTATTTTCTAGCGAAGTTTCTCACTTTACAGTATACAAACCACAGGGCACACCACTGATAGCAAGAGTACATAAGCTCCCAAGAGTGTGCAACACTGGATACCATTTCTATGGGGTCCGCTGACGGCAAAAGCTCACATCATGTTGTGTTGACATTGGACGTTAGCAAGCCATTTTTTTTGCGAGCAGGAGTAGTAAAATTAGCACTCCCTGACAGAAACCCACCCAGCTTAGGGGCCGTCACTAATTATCGATCTTAACTAAACTTTTTCGTTTCGTGAAAATTATCGATAATGCCGGATAGCCCCGTATGTGAGTAATCTGCATGGTCATGGCAGATATCCGGACTGCGCGCACTTTAGTTGTGTATCGTACGAAACGTACTTGGAGTATGTGATTAGAGTTTCCGTCGGAGACACCATACTGTAAAACGGCTAATTTTAGCGATTTTAGCGAAGAGTGTTTTCACTAACGTTTTGCTGCGCCAATCGAAATTTAGCGTGTAGAGTGCAGTACTAAGTTCTTTTTTAATACTCTGAAATATTTCATCGTGAATTGGCCCTGATTCAGAAAACGCTAGAATTAGCCGTTCTACAGGATGCAGAGTCGGTCACTCTTGGGAGCTCAGTTACTCTTGCAGATAGCCGAACGTTATGAGAGACAATGTAATGGACCTACTAAAGGTAGGCAAGATATAGCCGTCTCACTCACCACAAAGTCTTGGATATGGTCCTGCACTAAATTGTTTGCAGCTAGGGTCACAACTGGACGGCCAAATGTGTCAAGGTAGGTGTAGTGCAGCGTCTGGGGTCCCTGCTCCATGGTATACGGAGTTTCAACCTTGATGTTCCTGAAGCAGAACAAAAACGCCATCATTCAAAGCAACATCAATGGACAACGAAAAGGATTGCAATAAAATCATTAGGGCCAATCAGGGGCAACCCAGGGTTCCCGATTTCTTTTTACTTTTAGCCCGCACACTTTCGGCAGCTAATAGGCGACGCAGAGATATTAGGGAGGTTTTGCTCTAAGTAATTACGTATGAAAATCCGTATGTCATACGCGCCGGGGAGCGAGGGCAACTTTCATACGTAAATCTCTCTACGGATTTCCGTAGGAAAGCTCTTTCCTACGTTGGGTCCTCCGTAGGACTTTTTGAAATATTTTTTCGCATTTTCCGCATTTGTCCATGGCAACATTCAAGCCGCGCGAAACACAAGGTACACACACCGTACACCACGTGCAAAATATAATGGAAACCGCGGTTTCGGTTCATGGTGCATGCGCGCATGCAGCCTACGCGTCTCCAAAGCAACAACGCATGTTTAGCAGTTGTTGAGAAATCACGTAGAGCGAAACCCAACAGCTCTGATTTTTACGTATGAAAATTCCGTGCAGTTCATACGTTATTTTCATACGTAATTCTGTACAGCGAAACCTCCCTATTAACTAAAGAAAAGAATACTAGTTATTAAGTCCCGAGTTTGAGTCACTGGCGGGTTGGTATTTTTTCCTCTTTTCAAGCAGCTCATTTCTCCGACTGATCCTTTGAATTTGAAGTTCTCCCAATCCTTTCAAAAAGTTACTAAAGAATACCAACAAATAGTATGAATGCAGCAGTCATCACCACACATCATCGAAGTCACAGAAGACTTGGGTGAAAAGTGATTCTGACATATCAATGTCAGCTTGTCAACTGGTGAATTATGTAAAAAATATATTTAATAATAAACTGCCCGATGCTATCTGAACTTGAGTGAAGGTTCATGCGTTGAACATAACATTTTCAAATGAAAATTTGTTTTGCAAGTCGTACATGTCCCGGGCTCCTTTTTTGTTGATTCCAGCAAACCTTTCCAAACAAAGACTCGAGGACCAGTGCTGGAACGGATTTGTACCACCTCTTAGTTGCCTCAGAAGAACTGAATCCATGGCCAAGTCAAATGTTAGGCGCATCGCTTTGTCTTTTCCGCCCACAGATGATGGTAAGGGCACTCCAGGCGAAGGGAGTAGAGACACAGTGGAGAGGAGCAATCAGAGGTAGCTGACAATGCTGATGTCGATGGAGACGCCTGCGAAGTCATGACCAAATAAGAAACCTTTTTGAATAAAGCACGCTCTTCTACAAGAAAATTCTTCCAAATAATACTCTCAGCGAAGTGAGCTTTCCCCGAACATGCCGAATCTTCAAGTGCAGTTTTGACCTCGCTCTCGCTTGCCGAATCTTTGCCAAATTTCGAAATGCAAAACCTCTCTATTATAGCGCATGTGCTTATATGCGAACGAGTGCTTGTATCCAGATCTACGCGCCCGTGCCTTTGTGCGCGGAAGTACAACTGAGGCGAATCTGTATGGTGGCCCTAGCACTATGAAACCAAGGCTGTTGAGTGAATTGACCCTGTATGACATGCATATGTTCATCTGGAGGAAGGAGGGGATAGGGAGAGATGAAAAGATATCAGTTTTATGGCCGACCCCTTCCAAAGTAACAATAATTCACCCACATAATCATACAGATCCCGGCAGATAATATGTTGACTACCACTTCCTACAGAAACAAAAAAAAAGCTTAGCGACTTTGATTGAACTGTCAGTTCTACTGAATTGAGTGATGGTGACTCCGAGTGAGACTCAAACGGTGCCAATTTCTTTTGTACAATGTACTTAAAGCATATCCACTCCTTGTCTTGGAACTCTTTAACCCTTTATGTACCGCGCCCATCTCGAACCGTAAAAATATTTACGGTTCGGCACGCCGCACTTGGACACGCCGTTTGGTGGCGTCCTTTCTCTGACTGACTCGCGGTTTTTTGCAGTGGACAGCTGAGATCCCACTGAAAATTTTGATGTATGGTATGGGCAGGTCGCCATTTGAAAGTATGGAGACCGATCGCGGCGAAAAGTGCGTTTCGCAAATGCAGCGCTCTGCGATATATTTTGCCAATTTCGATCGTATTTTCGTTCCGTCACGCTGCTGCTAATAGAGATATAGCCTTCTCCAGCTAATGTCGACGTCCTCTAGTCGTGGTAGACACCTGGAGAGAGCTGCAGCAGCGATATCTCCACAGGATCTGAATCGAAACTTCCAATTTTCATCGCTGAAGCCATCACAGCATTTGCTCTCCAAGTAGCATCGAGAGGGAGGGCAGCGATGGCATAAAATCACCAAGGCAGGCGGAGGTCATCCCCTAGTAACTATTTCTTGTCTTCTCAATCACCAATCCTCGCTCGACGTGAGTAGATCAGCAAAAACTACATATTTCAAATCTGAAATAATTGCAATAATTTGAATATTTGACGCAGTTGTTTGCGTCTGGTATTTAGACGATACATCCGTTTTCCGCCCCTTCTGTTGCTGTTCATGCATGCAACTAGTGCCTGTGGTATCCTTCTGTCACCGTGCGTCCCAATGGCTGTCCCTGATACATCTATACTTTATTTCAAATGTAGCGATCTCAATTGTCAGAATTACGCACAATTGGCTCATAATTGGGTATTCCGTGTATGCCCTCTACTTATAGCTGCATGCTGGATTACAGTATGTCGACAAATGGACCCATTCATTACTATAGATTCAGAAAAACATAACTTGCACATACAGAATGCGTCTAGATTTTATCCTATGTCCATCATTGACGAGGAGTACCCTACGCATACATTAGATGCGCGGTACATAAAGGGTTAAAATGTGAAGAAAAGGTCGCAGAGTTTTTGTTTCCGGAGGAAGTATACAAGAGGTTTCCACGAGCACTACTAATAGCATACCGGCATGTGATACCGGAAGTGCTGGACAACTTCCACACCCTGTTCAGCCCACTGTTCACCAGTTCCCCAAAAACAATGATTTGCCCTAAGTGTGATAGTGGGTGTTGACACGAATAGCTCATCAATTCACAATGAACGCCATATAGTGGACTGGGAAAGGAAAACTCTGCACATGCTATGCTCTTCTCACTTACTTTGCACCTTCGGGCAGAATGACGCGTACAGTAAGCTTCTGAACGTGCTGGTCATCATACACATGGTCAACAGCGCGCATTGTCAAGCGATATTGGCTGCCATAGCGCTCCAGGTACTCATGAGATGGTACATTGTAGCCAGTGTAGTAGTGTGTCTTCCAGCCACCGAAGAGAGGGAAGCGAGGGCGGATATCAAGCTCAACGGAGTCTTCCTTCTCCAGCATGTGCGAGGTGGAGATGTTACCAATCTCGTCACGGTAGTAGACATCACGAGCAGTGGCTGGCAGGATGGTCTTGAAATGAAGTACAGCAGCCTGGGCAGCCTGGGCGGGGTTACGCTGGAAGTCCAGGCGAGAGAAAGATCCCTTCAGCTTAGCGCCAGCATGGACCATGTCAATGGTTTCCTCGACAGCAACGTTGCCCCAGTGAGAGATCTCAATCTTGCGGTCAAGGTCGCGAATGGACAGGTAGGGAGCATTGTTCTCGTAGTGCAAGCTAAGCTCATCAGATGCCATCGCTGCAACGTTCTCGTACGGGCCATACTTGATCTTGGCCTCGTTGACATTGACGGGCTGGAGACGGCTCATCGACTCGACATTCTTGTTTGCTAGCTCCACGCTGGTGGTCTGGCTGTCAGTAGCATAAGGAGACAGCACATAGTGGTTTCCAGAGTAGCGCACAAGCTGCTTCTCGGACTGTGTAATCTCAGCCGGGAACGGGGTAACAATGGCAGGGATGACAGCTGACACAGTCACCGTAGTCTTTGCACCGGCAGCAAGAGGCGAGGCGAAAGCAATTCGTGCAAAGTATGCATTGCTGCAGACACAAAAACAATGAAAAGCATACAGCTTAGTAGTGTCAGTCTGTTGGACAACGGCCTGGTGATATAAACAAACAAAAAACTTAATAGTGTATGTGAGTGTGTGATGTGTGGTACGGCGTGGAGTGGGTGTGTGTGTGCGCGCGCGCGTGGAACTTAGTCCAAACTATTTGCCATTGCAAGATTGAGTCGTGGAAAGAGAGCAAAATACGACTCTTTGCACACAGTAGTTGGGTGCATGCAGCAGATACATGTTGGGCCGAGAGAGAGCATACATCAAAAAGCATGCTGGAGTGAGATTGAGAAATCTTGCTTCGCTTAGGAATTGGACCCCATGGATTCTGACAACGAAGCCTGCACATGCATTGTCAGAAATTCTACAGTTCTGACCAGAGAAACCCAACCTCATGAATAAAGCACAGCGGCGTTCGAGAGCATAGACCAGTATGTGCAGTGATAGGGCTGCGTAGCGCCCGATGCAATATATTCATGAGGTTGGGTTTCTTTGGCCAGTACTGGAGAATGAACGAAATAGTGCAATAATACACGGCCGGTATAATTCCACCAGAATTCCAGCTCCAGGTAGTTGTGTGCAGTCTCGTATGTTGTTGTTGTTTTTTTTGTCGCATGTATGGTGCAAGTGTGACGTGGAGTATGCTATTGAAAATATGCTGATGTGAAGGAATGGTATGATATGATTCTCATGTGTCATGTTTTCCTGTTTGTGTGCTGCAGCTGATGAACAACTCAGTCTTTGGCAAGACAATGGAGAACGTTCGTAATCGAACACGCATCGATCTCTTGCGAGAAGAAAGTGAGGAGCAGGTACTGAGGGCAGTGAGCAAGCCTACATATGTGCGGCACGACATTTTCCCGAACGGGCTTGTCGGAATAGAAAAGCAGCACACTGAGATCAAGCTCAACAAGCCGGTCTATGTGGGTATGTCGATACTAGACCTGTCAAAGGTGCACATGTACTCATTCTACTACGATGTGCTGAAGGAGCAGTACGGTAGCAGAATCCGGCTGTTGTACACCGACACCGACTCTGTTATTGTGCACATAACCACCGGTGATGTTTATGCAGAGATGGATCTGTCTCTGTATGACACCAGCAACTTTCCCACTGACCATCCTCAGTACACTTCTGCCAATAAGAAAGTGGTTGGCAAATTCAAAGATGAGCTTGGTGGGAAATCCATGGTGGAGTTTGTAGGTCTAAGATCGAAGATGTACTCCTACATCGGGCAGGAATCGGCCAAGCGGGCCAAGGGTGTGCGGAAGGCAGTCCTGGCAAATACCATCACCCACAAGGACTATGTAGATGCACTGCTCAGTCATCGTGTGTCTGCCAGGCCTATGACGGGTCTCCGATCACATTGCCACACAGTGTATGAGGAGGTAACCACCAAGGTGGCATTGTCTCCATTTGACTGCAAGCGGTATATACTGGATGATGGCATGGCCACACTTGCGCGTCACCGGCATGTAAAAGGAGCCGAGTTTATAGAAAATTGAGGTGAAATGGTCTTGTTAATGCATGCTAATTGCAATGCCATCTTGGTAGCAAAAGCCTGTCATTCTATCCTATAAACAAAAGTTTAAAAATGTGTTGGGCCCTGTGAAACTGAACTGGCAACACTAGAAGTACGCGAAGATTGTGTACTCGCTGCTGAGCATAGAGTGGGAACCCATCAATTTCAACACCAAGGGCATGTTCGATTGGTAGCACCGGGATCCCGATCCAACGGATCCACTGGATTCGCACCCTTTCGATTGGTCGAATCCGGATCCGGATCCTTTGGATTTGGATCCGGTCAACCCACCTTGGGGAGCAGGGTTCACCGGATCCAACGAATTCAAATGTGACCTTTGTGCGCATATGGCGGGTAAAAATCATTTTTGTACACATTGTGGTACGCACACGTGGATGGAGATAGAGCTTGACTTTTTGTATGGCACACGTGATGAGTACGACGTTCACCCTTTTGGGTGACTTGTGAGCGCCAAATTGTCAACATGGCAACAGTCAAGGTCCAAAATAAAGTGTTCAGTTGAATCTGAAGGATCCGACGGATCTGAGATCTGGATCCCGATCCTTACCAATCGAACAGGCCGCAAGTCTCATACTTGCGCAGAATCGGATTTCACAAACCAGTTAAAAAATACATCCAATATTCAATTTAAAATTGCAATGACTAAAATAAAGTGCGCAGTCATTCTATGTTATCATGCATCGATGGCTCTTACTTTGCACATTCACTTGACACATCAACTTGTTTAATACCTTGATATTCTTTGTTCACCACTCAGTGATGCACTCCAACTGAGGACCATCACAAGAAAAAGTTCTTAGAGACAACCAACAATCATTTCATGATGATATTTGCACTAGTAGATGCATGATAACATAGAATGACTACAGTAAGATCGGGCGCCGAAGAACACCTCGCCGAAGAACACCCAGGCTGGAAAACCGGCAAAATTTAAGAACAGTCCAGGCTAGAATTATCAGATTTAAGAACACTTTTAAAATTTTCATACATGTACTTACACGAAGTTGCGAATTTACACGTAGATCTACATTGTACATGTATGGGAGGTGAGTACATGTCATGTACACGTGTAAACAGTAACTGCTACATGTACAGTCATTCCCATTTACGACACTCACTAGTTTAGAAGTACTACATTGCACTACATGTACATGTACATGACAAACGTCATGACGTAACTCGACTCGCCGCGCGCGTGTGAATATTTAAGAATAAGAACGGTCTGGCTAGAATCAAAAAATTAAGAACTTTCCTAGGCTGCGCTCGTGCCCCTGCGTTCTTCGGCGCCCGATCTTACTGTATGCACTTTATCCTATTCATTACAATCATAAAACTTTGTCTCCTCGTCGACTCTTCCAATATTCAATTTGCAAATTGAATACACTGTACTACATACAAGTACACAATCCCATCACAAGACATAGATCATCTAATTTACATGTGAAGCGTACAATTCGAATTGTGCTGTACAACATCTATTTCAAATGAACTATACCATAATTTACCTTGAAGGTTGAACTTCGACATTCTCAGTGACTTTCAGTGAATTCTTTTCGTCATCCTGTGACAAATAAACAAGGACTACAATGACCACTTTGTCTCCATGGATAACAATACACATGACACTATCTTACAGTAGCTCCGAGGAAGGACAGCTGCTTGCCATGGTGTGACTCCAAAGCAAATAAGAAATTAGGGACAGCACTCGATCCAGTATTCTCAATCACATACTCGTAGCTGATGTGGGCAACTTGCGTCTTCAAATCAATATGCCGTGTGATTTCACGATTTACTAAATTACTGCTAACGCCATTATTTCTTGCCAGGCAGCCCGCTGCAAGAAGCAACAAGGCGAATAGCTGTTCCCGCATCATCCTAACCGAAAACAAGTAACATAAAAATTACTTGCAGAGATTGGGATTAGTAAGTGCAAGCCTCGACTCGAAGCTTGAGCCACGTCTGCACAGAACTGTTCGGTTGGAAACCAAGCCAACATGGCCGACATGCGCATGCGTAGGTTTTATCACGTGTGCCCTCAGACAGATCTTCAGTTCTTCACTGACGAAATCGGACAATGAACTGACTACAAATGACCAGGGAGTCGTCAAACTCGACGACTCCCTGAGTATGACACTGCAGTACTCGGTCGGTCACAGTCAGTCTGTCCCCGGGGAAAATTGCGGAAAAAAAATCGCAAAAAACGCGGCATAATATGGCATAATTTGCGGTGTGTACGTGTAGTGCAACAAAAAAGTTCAAAAAACGCGGGAAAATCGCGGAAAACGCGGGCTTTTGAAAAATCGCAAAAAACGCGGAAAAAAACGCGGCCGCGGAATCGCAATTTTCCCCGGGGACAGGTCAGTGCACTGGCACTCAAACACTGGTCACGTTTTGTCCCTTTTCCCAAGTCCCAATCTTTGTTCCCAATCTTTGTCTTCAATATTATTATTATTATTATTATTATTATTAAATTTTGAATAGGGCAGTCCCACTAATATGAAGTCTTTGAAGACCACACTTACGGTAGTATCAAGAGTAAAAAATACTCTTGGTACAGTCGTCCCTCTCTAATCCGGCACTTTATAATCCAGCACCCTCGATAAACCAGCACAATTTTCAGTAGCCAAAATGTCCTCTTCATGCACATTGCAGCAGTAAATCAGATTTGTTAATCCAGCACCCTCCCTAATCCAGCAGATTTTCGTGGCACAAATGGTGCCGGATTATAGAGGGACCACTGTAATACAGTCGTCCCTCTCTAATCCGGCACCTTTTGCTACGGCGTTTTCTGCTGGATTAACGAGGGTGCTGGATTAAGAAATCCTGCCCTCTGACCCGGCCGGGCCGGCCTTACTCGCATGCATGTATCATAGATTCATACGTCAAAACGCAGGGTTTTTCCGTGTCGACCCCAGTATTTGGTGCACGGCTTTATATTCTCAACTTTTCTCCAGGAATATACACAGTGATAAAGTAAAACAGAGAACATGTTCACATGTATACGTACTCTTGCACACACACGCACAGTCGATTTACGACTGCCGGATTATGAAATCAAACTACGTGCAGTTTGAGCGATTCGTTTCAAAAAGTCACTGCCGGAGGCGGAATTCAAGTGCCGGATTAAGATGTAGGAGTTGAACGAAAAAAATCGGTTTCGTCAGAAAGTGCGCCGGTTGGCAAGGGTTCCGGATCAACAAGTGCCGGATTAGAGAGGGACGACTGTATAGCAAGAGTACATACCCTGGCCCTGGGTCATAACAAGAGTTCATAACCCCCACCCTTGGTCATAACAATCACAATGACAGCATGAACAAGGCAGAGGCCCAAGCCGGCTTGCATACCATACCCTGGGTCATTACAGTACAGTCGTCCCTCTCTAATCCGGCACTTGTTTATCCAGCACCCTTGCAAACCAGCACACTTTCTGGCAACAAATTATAATTGTACCTAATTTGATTTTCTAATCCAGCAGTTTTTTTACATCGCATACTGTCAAGGAGCATTGTAACATACACAACACATGTACATGTAGCACATGACGGGTTTACCATGTTTACGTGGCTCTAGTAAAAAAAAAAAAAAAAAAAAAAAAAAAACCTACACTTGGGAATATCCTATGCTTGTACTTGTTGTAGTGCATAGGATATTCCCAAGTGTATGTTTTACATGCATTCCACAAAGTACTTGGATTGACGCAGAAAATCCCTACGTTTTGACGTACACCAACATGTATGCTAGCAGGAGGGCCGGGTTGGAGGGCAGGATAATCCTGAACACCCTTGTTTATCCAGCAGAAAACGCCGTTGCAAAAGGTGCCGGATTAGAGAGGGACGACTGTAGTACTACCAAGAGTACATAACAGGCCCGCCGGAACCGGTCCGGTTGGTCAGGTTATCACCGGACCAACTTGTTGGCAACCAATACATGTTTACTGCTGAGGAGGGCACGTGTACCCGCCATATACACAAACTGTATGAAAGACTATGGTACCACCGGACCAATTGAAAACTACTTTCGGCGGTGCTGCATAACATAACCCTTGTATCGGTAGCAAGAGTACAGTCATAAAGTACTCTTGCCGGTAGTTGTAGTCAGGAGCACTGTGCCTACCCTTGTAACATGCTGTCGAAATCCAAAACATAACATAACCCCCCTGCTATCAAGAGTAAATAAGCAGTCGCGGACTGGGAGCTCTTGGTAGTATTAGGGAGTCCCTAATCACAACGGGTGCAGTACGCACATTGAGAATCACCCTGGCTGTTTTGCCGATTCAGTGGATGAAATTGCACGCTTCACAAAGTCGAGTGGCCAAAACTCCAAAAAAACGCCCTCCCGGTCTGGATATTGCTTGTAAGAGTCCACAACGGTTGTGGATTCAAGGCTTGACATCACCAGCCTGTGACCAGGAGTATAGCCGGCCAGCAGTGGATAGATGGCTTCTACATGTATCTGCTTCCAGGATACTGTACAGTCAATCACTTCACAATACAACTGTTAATATCTTTGTTGACGTGACACTGGACTAAATAATTAGAAGTGACATATCGGTACACTGAACACTGCGTTTACTAAACTCATCAATAAAGGAAAGCCATACTTCAACTAAAAATATGTACAACGGATGCAGCAGATCCACTCTAAGACGCACACAAGCGTACGTGTAAGAATGCAGCAAGAGCCATAACACCTAGGCACTACCTCTACTGGAGGTAGCTCTCTAAAAAAACTTTATTATAAATAGAAGACAAAAAACAAGAAGGGCAGCAGCCATGAAAGAAAAGAACATCGCTATCGCATCAAAAGCAGGAAGTTAGCATCACTCTCATGATTATAAAAAAATAGAGGAAAGAAGAAAATAAAAAGCATTGTAAGGGCAGGGTCTACATCATTTCTAAATGTTGCTATGCCTGAAAATGCACATCTACTCGTTGGTGTCATCTATTCCATCACAAAAATAAAGTTATTGTTCCTAGCACAGAAAAACGCTACGAAAATTACAACAAAAGAAAAGTGGGCTCAAAACCAGGTTAGCTTTCCATGAAGGACTGGGGACGGGCAACGAAACGGACAAAACTGGGTAAATAGACAATTCTGCTATAAAAAGGTGGACTGATTGACCAGTGTCTAGTACATAGAAACACTTCCATTTGCACGCACACAGCATCACTCACTGGGTGTCGACGGCCCACGTGACATAGGCCACAGCACAACATTGTGGTGGTTCATTGCAGGCGTGGTGTTGGCGGTGACCGTGGCTGTTACACTTATTGTCAGGATTGGCAGCGGTGGTATCGGTATTTGTGGTATTCGTGATATTGGTGCAGCTAGGCAAAGTTGAAGTCAACAATAGACACACAATGTGTAGTTGCACAGGTTTGTGACTTGCTAAGGCGAACAGCTCGTTGTCGCAGCTGACCACAGTAGAGAAAGCAGCCAGCAGAGTCAAAAGGTCCACGGTAGGCAAAGGAAACCCAGAAGTTATGAATCTGGTGCCATTTAGAGATTATCTTTACGCTGTGTGCAGCCTACAGGTCGCAGCAGGCAGCAGTGGCAAGCAGTAAGATGCATGTTAGCAACTCAACGCTACACCACCCATGGCACGGAGCACACAGCTATTCATAGCTGGCTGCCGAGCCAGCCACAACACCGGAATCGCCGTCAAAGCCCGCACTGCCATTGCCTGTAAGTTCAGCAGCCGAAGAGGCGGACGGTGGTGCGGACGCCTCTCCATTCTCTTCTGCTTGCGGAGTATTGTAGAAGTTAAGGAGCTCCTTGGTCTGTTGGGAAAACTCAGCCTCCATTTCCTGAGAAGCAACAAGTAAGAACAACCACCACCACCACACAAGGTTCACCTACTGCTACATAGAGTAGGAGCAGGCATTCGAAACAGCTCACTGGTGTTCGTGACGTAATAAAAGTAGGACTGAAACAGCTACAATTTTAAACTCCTTGGTTTAACCGGAAGCTTTTAAACGGTTGACCAAGCGACCACAATCTACTTTGAAGTATACTGCACCTACTCTACTTCCATATGACATTGTGCATAACCTGTGACCTCACGCACTACAACAACATAATATTCTATCCATAAGTTTGACAGAGAGAGAGAGAGAGAGAGAGAGAGAGAGAGAGAGAGAGAGAGAGAGAGAGAGAGAGAGAGAGAGAGAGAGAGAGAGAGAGAGTTGAAAACAGGAAAGGTCTGAAGAAAAAAATGGACTGTCACCACCCGGACTCGAACCAAGCACCCTCGCTTATGGCCAGTGATGCTTTACCACTAAACCCTGGTGTAGTCGTCATCCCAACAGCGACCGTTCGACATGAAAATGTGAAATTTTCACATTTTCACAACATAGTAACGTTGGACATAAGCAGAATGCAGGTGATTGCTTGCTCAATGCTTTTCAGAGCTGGTATATATTAATTTCATGTTTGTACTTGTATGCTTCATCGGACTCCGACTGCCACGCCACTTCGTGATAACCGCAACTGATGTGTATAAACGATGAATCACTCATACATTCTTAGGAGTCGTCCATAATTATCGAACTTTTTAACAGCTACGGAGGTGGTTAATTAACCGCTGTATCCCTAGGAAAAAACACCCCCATAGAACGAGGAGAAGCCATGAAGCCATGGGATCCTCAATGACGGCACTCACGCAATAGTGGCAATACCACAGTCTGTTTTTCAAAAAGCGGTCACTTACCGTCTTGCGAACGTGCAGCTTCTCCTTGTACTCGCGCACCTGCAGCTGATGATGCTCTTCGTGTTCTTGCAGCTTGGTTTGCTCTCTCTCCACAAGCAGAGCACACTTCTCCTCCTACATCCATGATGCACAAACACAACGCACAAACAAGGAAGCACACTTTCCACATACAAGTCCAAGGCTCTAGTCTCACCATTGAGATGGGATTGGATGCCACATTGGATACAGGATGGGAGCAAATGAACTCAAAACTACACCTATACATGAACTAAAATAGTGAATAGAAACAGCAACAATACTCCACAGACTGACCTGCAGTAATTTCAGCTCATTCATGGCAGCTGCGTTTCGGGTACTGAACTCATTCAACTCCTCTTCGTGCTTCTGCTGGAGTGTTGCCAGCTCAGCACGATGTCTCTTGGATTCCTGCTCCTCAAACTGCACCGGGAGAAAAAGACATATGAGTGACAGCAAAGGAAGACAGGAAGTTTCAAGTATTAAAATGATTTACTAGATACATGTAATAGACCATGTGCCAACATCATTCTGAGGTCATCTGTACACATTCCCCTAGACAAAGCTGTGGTGTGCGGACCTAAAACAGTGCCGATGCCCATTTTATGAGACAGGTCTGCACATTAGCACCGTGCACCCTATCTATTCCCTCGAACAAACCACTGGTTCATTGCTTGGGACTAAGAACCAAGAAAATGGCAGGAAACTCAGTTAGGGGCCGTCCAAGGTTACCAATAGAATTTTCAAAACGAAAAGTTTTCGTTTGGGGGTGGGTGGGTTTGCAGGAGTTTCGTTTTGAAAATAATTATTTAATGCAGATGGAGAATGCCCAGTTACTTCTGGGTGTCGAAAATTGACATCAATATTTTATTGGAATTCGTTTTACCTGCAGAAAAGGTAGGTGGGTGGGTGGGTGCTGAAAAATACTAAAGCTTTTCGTTTTGCAAAAACTATTGGTAACCCCGGACGGCCCCTTAGGGGTCGTCCGTATTTTTCGAAAAATTAAAAATCCGTCCTCAGGCAAAAAGGGGGTGGGTGGTCAAGAGCGCTGGCGAAATTAATTTTTTGATTTTTCGTACTTTTTCTTCTTCTTCTTCTCCAATGACTTTCATACACTTGTTGCACTGACTGTGTAGTGTACTGTAGACGTAGTGTAGGATCAATTGTCGCAAACACCAGTATCTACTATTCTACTATGATATACATGACTTTTCAGACTTTTCACGTATTTGTAGGACGTGCATGGCCGTTAGTAGACCTACTACTCACTGTACTTAGCTACTAGTACTTGACACAGGTGCAGTCAGAAAACAAGGGGTCCGGAGTTCTTATTTTCCAGCTGGGCATCGGTAAAAATCAAAAAATTAATGGGAAAAAATGGGGGTGGGTGGGTGGGTGGGTGGGTCAGAGACAATTTTGCACGAGGACGGGTTTTTTTAATTTTTCGAAAATTACGGACGACCCCTTACAGGGTGCTACAGTCCATTCAGGAAAAAAGATGATCAATCATCTAACTAAAAGTAGAAGGGAAAAGGACATATGGAAACGAGTTAAGAGTAACTCTCCACCACTGTAACTAGATACTATATACAGTCAGAAAGTGCAACAACTAGGCACAAAACTGACAGAGTACTGAGACATTCGACGTCCTGACACCTAGCTTCAACACATCTCCGTAGCCCTAACTGACAGCCTTCCAACTTGGTGTCAGGACGTCGAATGTCTCAGTACTCTGTCAGTTTTGTGCCTAGTTGTTGCACTTTCTGACTGTATATAGTATCTAGTTACAGTGGTGGAGAGTTACTCTTAACTCGTTTCCATATGTCCTTTTCCTTTCTACTTTTATTATTGGCTCAATATCCGAGTTTCAAATCATCTAACTTTCCACCATAAACAATGTGTTTTGGTCACAAGGTGATCTCTTTCGGGTAGGGCTGAAACGATCGTGGATTTTCACCTATCGATTACTCTTTAGCTTAACGATCGAGTAATCGATTATAACCGTTACCAAATAGTGTCTGAATTCTGTGCAAAATTACTGTGTTTCCACAAGCTATGCCTTCATAGTACCAAAAAATCTGCATTAGTGAAAGGGTAGCTCCAAAACATGGCAGTTTGAAGTCAATTGAACCTCAGAACATGCACCATACCCCTGGCAACTGCACACTCACAGCGGAAATTGATTCAAATTTCACAAAAACGGGGTTTTCAGTACTTTTTGGACTCAAAATCCCTCAACGAGTAATCTATAACGTAACGATTACTTGATTGATAAGGAATTGTCAATCGATTACCGAGTAATTGGTATAATCGTTTCAGCCCTACTTTCGGGAAATCCAACGAGGCATGAATGATTGCTCTCCCTCCATGTTTTAGGTCTATTCATCAAAAGAGGGGGCCTTCAGAAATTTATTTTCTGTCAGGTTTCGTTGCATATTTCAAACGAATAGACAGAAGTACGAGACGCACACTTCCCAAACCCATTTCTGGCAGAATAACAACCAAGTTAGGAGCCCAATTCGATCTGTAAAAGCCCAGAGCTCAACTAATTCAGAATGAAACACAGCATTGACCGAGAGGAGAACTGCCCCCACCACACATATACAAGCACTCGCAACAACACACATGCTCATTCTCATGTCTTTGCCACAATCCTATACCTTCTTGATCATTTCCTTCTCCTCATGGCGACTGGCAGACTGTTTTCTGCAGGTTTTTCTCAGAGCTGCCAGCGACTGATTCTTCTGCTTCTTCAGCTCCTGTGGCAGCTGTTTATTCTCAACTGCATGCCGCCTCGTGATAATCTCCCTGGTGAGCTCATCCCTCCGGGCGTGCTGCTCCAACTCCTGCAAAGGCAAGCACACATACATACAAAATGCCTAAATTCACCCAGTGTCAGGAAGAGTGATAGAACCAAGAAGAAGAACAAACTAGACAGCGACAAAGCACTACAGTGCACGTTTGATTCCCATTATCTTGACAATTATCTTACCTTCTTATGCCGTTCGACCATTTGATGTCTTTGTAGTAGGAAGGCCTCCTTCAGTTGATGCTTAGAGAGTTGGTAGTGCTCATGCATGTGTCGTTGCTCCATGTCCCAGAACTCTGTCTCTCGGCCTGGCCAACAAAGAGAACCAACACACACTTTTCTTTTCGTACAATACTATTGATCTGATCGATCCGCTCCAGGTTGATTTTCTACTTGTGAAGCTACTTCAGCGCACAGCATGGTGTTGAACAGAGGTATGCACTGTTGTATGCAATACACACAAGTGCCGGCATTCCTGTAGACGGAACTGTACAATCCACTACGGTCAGTCTCACTACATGTATTCGGGTTGTTGCTGTGCATACGCGCTGCACTAGGCAACCGTGATCTGAGTCCCGGAATGTACCGTAATAAACAGCTGAGAAGTGGCACAGCGCCTGCGCACGCGCGTGTGTGTAGAGGGGAGCAATGGTAATTTAAAGTATACCCCAATGAAAGGCCCGGAAAAGCCATAGTGGTACCTCAAGAACACAGTGGTGAAATAAAAAAGTGGATGAATGTGTGGTGGCGATCTCCTTGTCATCACTTACGTCGGATCAAGTCCTGCCGGTGTGTTAAGAACTGAGCCTCCAAATCGCGCATGGCCTGGCGATTGTTATCCTTCCAGATCTGACACTGGTGATCATGCTCCTGATTTTGCTGTTCGCAGAAATCATTGTCCTGAGAGGAGAGAAGATGGCAAAGATATGCCACATATCAATGCAAAACACATACACATGAAGGAGAACTACTGACGGATAATAATCTTCCTCCAGAGTACATCGATGTTTTGCAACTCAATGATGAAGTGAACAGCACTTGATAACAATTTGCATTGAAAAATATCGTTATCCACAGACAACCCCTAAAAGAGTATTGCAGCTTCTATTATTGTATTCCGATGTGTCATGATATATCGAGCTGTGAAAGTGATGAGCTTATTCAACATGGCCTTTGCAATAAGACGTCCAACTCTCCACCACTGCATGCGTTCCGTGGCATAACCCGTCAACTAACGTGACTTTACTTTAGATAGGGGTTTCTCCGTTCAGCTATTTCGCTCTTACAGGGTTTCTTCATTGAAGGTCGAGGAATACCGAACCTCTTCGTAGCCTTATCAAAGACACAAGGTGTGACAGGATGCTGGACAGGTACTTACGCGCTTCTCCAGTGTGCGGGTATGTTCGTCTTTCCATTTCTTGAGTTCAACTTTCCTTTCGGACTTCTTCAACTTGTCCAGCTGTACACCACATACAGAAGAACATGCAAAGCAGCACCCCATAGATTTATATATTTTTTATTAATTATTAAATATGTTCAAGTTTTCTTCACAGCATCTTGCACAACTCCAGCACTCCTAGTCTGCATGGATGCACAGGCAAAGAGCATTTATTCTAAGTTTACGAGCTAGGACTCTACGTGACACACACCTGGGGCAGGGAACAAAGCACAAGTTTCAGTATGCAGAACAAGTTCTCCATCCCCAACCGTATTCAAGCCATGGTTACACGCAGCTGGAAAAGTACTACTTACCTCTACTGCAACATCCTTCTCCAGGCGCTTTTCGTCCTGCTTCTGTGTCTTTCTGAACTTCTTCAGTGCATCACCCTGCAGAGACCACGTCACAACAAGCATCAAGTTACTGTAGGAAACAGATATCAAATTCCTTCACTAGTGGGAGTGGAAATCATCGACCATTGTCAACTGTAGCTGGGAATACTAGTACATGTATATGGAAGATGATCAACCTGTATGAAATGAAAATAGTAACATCTTGACTGATAAAAATTCTACTAAGGCCATGGTAAAAATTATCTTTGATTCTCAAGTACGCGCGCACCGATTTTTGGCGGTGCACCGACGATTTAAAAAAAATTCTATGCATGCATATGCGCGCATTGGCCGGCCGGCCATGCATGATGTACAAATACGGCTGCACTGTACAGTCCTGGCATGCTGTGTACTAGTTAGTGCTGAAACGATTATATCGATTACTCGTTACTTACTCGATAAGAAATAGATCGAACGGTTATTTCGATTTTATCGGCTAAACGAGATTTCCCCCCTTTTGGGGGTCGCACATAGCCTGCATGCATCGAAAGTGTTGCGAGTACGACACGAATATGTACATGACTGTCCACTTGCAACATCGATGTACGTGTAAAGTACAAGAGCGATCTGAGAAACATCGACGTGGTCACCGTCGCCGTCTTTTGAGCTGACTACTTTTCTTACATACAGTCAGCATGCAGGATGGGCAGGCTCAGTATGTGTCTACACTACTCACTAGCTGCAGGGGCTGGAGTTCCCTCCACGTGCGAGTAGTCTTGAGCTAAAGACAGTAAAGAAGTCTTCAGTGTCATGTTTTCCGTTCTGTCGACGGTTCACGAACCAGTTTGCTCGACGACGAGCTAGGCCTTGCGTCTGGGCCTATTTTGAGCATAGACAGGAAAAGCAACTAGTTACTTGTTGGTGCGCCTCAAGTCAGTTCATCCGTCGAAATCCGCCGATCTGCACTCCTGGCCGGCTTCTCTGACTTCATCGTCGGAGTCAGCGAAGTCGCAGGCGAAGGGCACCATCAGCACTTGGGTTGCAACCAGTGAGTTGCCTCTGTCTTGTCTGTATTCGCCTGGTCAGTCCGAACAGCTGACGGACTTGTTGCGGGATCATCGGATCTATGCGCCCGCTTTTCGTCGTTGGCGATGTTGGACTCGTAATTTTGTTGAAATTCACAGAATGTACACGTACTGATGTAGTTACAATAATAATCGTTTAGCCGATAAGCCGATCGTTATGGTATCAGCTAAGCCACTAAGGAAAAACGTAATCGTTTCAGCACTAGTACTAGTACGCACTGCACTGTTTGTATACAGCTACACGTACATGGCAGTGCTAGTGAGACTCGACGTGTGCATGCAGTGCAGCACTAAGCGTGTGCCAGTGCAGTGCAAGTGGATCCAAGTTCACATCCGGAGCAAGTTCATGTGTAGGTGTGATCATGTTGCACGACTCGATCGAGTGTAGAGAACCGGACTGGCTTCGTTGGCGTCAAAGATGCTGCTTTTGAAGCAAGCTCACCACTGCGCCACGCAACAGAGTTATCATCACTGATAGCGGCGCGCAACCTCGCCAAGCCGATGCTGTTCCTGTACAGCGATGGTGGTCCAGACCACCGTGTAACACACTTGTCCACCAAGCTCTCCCTGTTAGCGTTGTTCCTCAAGAATGACCTGGACTGCCTGGTGGCTGTGCGCACTCCACCGCACAACAGCTGGAGGAATCCAGTGGAGAGAGCTATGAGTATCCTGAACCTGGCTATGCAGTCAGTGGGGCTGATGAGATCCAGCTGCGAGGAGAGGTTCGAGAAGGTCTTGAAGTCGTGCAACTCTCTGTCACAGATCCGTGCTGCTGCGGAAAAGGACGCAGGGCTGAAGGCTGAAATGCTTGATGCTATGCAACAGCCCAAGTCCCTCCTATCGGCGCTGTTCTCACGGCTGCAGCTGAAAGGTACGCCCTTCGGCACATTTGCGAGCGCAAGTGATGCAGAGATGCAGGGCATGTTCGAGCTGCTGAAGACCATCGACCCTCTCATCACGCCTGATGACCACCAGCAAAGAGTCCTGCCGCACCGTCCTGGTTTGAAGCGCTTCCTCGACAACTGCTGTCAGAGCCGCTGGTACTCCTTCTCGATCAAGAAGTGCGGCGAGGAAACGTGCAGCATCTGCAAGCCACGCCGTCTGCCTGATGAGCTGTTTGAGATCCTCCACCACATCCCCGATCCCTTCCCAGATGAATCTGGTGAGCACTACCGGCCATTTGAAGAAGTGTATGGCCAGAGGACCACGGAGCAGCACCGTCCTTCCCTTGCCAACGGCAAGCAGCAGCATGGCATTCCGTTTACGCCATCAGCCCAGACAGCAAAGAATGTCATGAGGACTGTTGCGTGCTCCGAGTGTGATCGTCCACGGGTCCTCTACTCAGAGCGGAAGCTGAAGGCTCAGGATGTCATTGCGCTGGATGCGAAGCTGGCTGATATGCTGTTCTCTTGTGGCGCATCTATCCAAGACTTGGCTGGTGATACATCTGCTGACGCCAACGTTGCATCACGTGTGTATGTTCGGGGAAACCTGACATGCACGCAGGCATTGGAAATGCCCTACTACTCGGCTGGCTGCTTCCCAGTCGTCTGCATTCAGTGTGGTGGGTCCGACAATGTGCTGCGCGGAGACGGAGTCGAGCACATGCCTACATGCCCTGATTACCTTGCAAGCAAGCCGCATATTGGCAAGCGCAAGAAGTCGCAGGTTGGTGCCATCAGCGCAGCAAAGAAGGCGAAGAAAGCGGCTCCGTCCACAGAGCCTCAAGCACCCTAGAAACAGGCAACGTGAAATACACCGAACATGTTGATCAAATATGATTGCTTGACTGCTGTACTTGAAGTGTGATATAAATATAGAGAAAACGGTCAATGCGAAAGGCATGAATCAGGGAGTAGTAAAATACCGGTATTTTTCTACTCCCTGGCCTGAATATATGAACATGTGACCATGTACATATGTGTGACCCTATCTTTGGAAATAAAAAAAATTGTGGGGAAACAAATTAAAAAATCGCTCGCTCGCACCAATTTTCACAGGCTCATGACCTGAGAATCAACTTTATTTTTTACCATGGCTTAATGTTCTACTCAAAGACATGTCTGATGTCTGATTTATTTGTCTTTTTTGAGAACTTTGAAGTTCCATTGTCAGGGGCGTAGCCAGGATAGTGATCAAGGGGGGGGGGGGGGGGGGGGTGCGGGTGCTGAGACTTTCCCCACCCAAAAGAACAATCATGCACTTATGTTGGTCCTGTCATGCATATCATTATCGTATTGGTTACGCTCGTAGTAGCCTGGTTTGTCCCTTCTACCTGAGTGACACACTAAAGCAAGTTTGCTGGCATTTCTCTAACCTGTGCTACTTTCATCTTCTTCAAGTTGTTGGCGTACTCATCACGCTGGCGCTTCTCAAACTTCTCAACCTCCTTGCGCTGGCTGCGTGCAGTGGCATCCAGCTGCGTGTCGAAGCGCTTCTCTAGGTCCTACATAGCACACAACACAAGACCAATGAGCACGCATGCTGAAACAAGTTCCCAAGGGATCAAGATATTCCTGTCCCTCAGCAGCATTCTCAAGTCGCAGGCTAAATGTGATCGCACAGACTATTGCCGATGCTACCATGACAGCATAATGCACAAAATCCTCTGTGATGACCCGTCTCCCAATCCCTAATACTGTAAAAGCAGAAGTTTTCTGTGGTGTTTAATTTTCGGTAACTTCGGTGCCGACAATTTTTACCGAAAAAAAACGCACCGAAAATTTCGGTACTACTGGTACTGTATACATTTAGTACAAGTACACTTACCTGGAAAACGGGTTTTACCAAAAATTTCTCTCCACCGAACCGCCGATTTTGGAGAATACCGAAAATATCATACCACCGAAAATTTCTGCTTTTACAGTAGCCTGCCCTACAGGTACCACGCAGAATTTCCTTACCTGTCTCTGTTGTTCAAAGCGATGTTCCTGGTCATCTTTGTCTTTCTGGATCATTGAGAAAAGATTCTGGGCCTCCTTTTGTTCCTCACGCTGAAGAATCTTCATTTCACGATACTCAATTTTCCTGTAGGAAAGTCGGGTAGTACAAGAGTGAAAGGTCTTCGTTATCATGGAACACATGGCAGACGAGACTAAAGGAGTAGACTTGAACGAAGGTAGAAGCAAAAAGGGAACCGCAGCACACTCTGCACATTCAATATTCTACACGTAACATGACTCACAGAGACAACTAGCACAGTCACGCAACATTTAAAATTAGGTCATTCTTGAAAACAAGTTACAAGCAGCCGTGCACTGACCTTTGCTGCTGTGCCATCTTCTGAGCTTGTTGATCTGTTCCTTTGCCTTTGTTTACATCAATCACGGCCTCTGTAGTGCTAGTGTATTCCTTGCCATCGACCAAGAAAGTACGAGTGCGACGTAGTGTCTTATACGCTGGATCAGCCTGCACAGAACAAGACAGTGGCCGGACAGAGCACGCCAAATAAGAATCTGCTTGGCGAGCACCAACGCAATCAGCAAGCAAAAGGCAAATGGAAGGCAATAGGATAATCCAGTATCAGAACGAAGGAGACTAGCAAGAGCAGGGACAACTTCAAAAGAAGACTTCACCAAGTTCCAAGTTCAGTTTCGCCTGGTGGTCTTGCGAACTTGGCATGAAGTAGTCTTTCCTAGTTACTTGTAAAATGCTACACCACCTTCAGAACCGCATGCTTTGCATGACCCTTGATCAGGAAACCACAAATGAATGTTACTACTGTACCGGAAAGTTGCATACGAAAGCAGTGCTTACGGCCACATAAGCCGGCGTGCAATAGCATGCTTATGTGTCGATGCATTCTCTTCCATTTTCAATGCTTCCACACGAGTCAGGCCTGTATACTACCGACGGTAGCCTCAACGTTTTTTACTACAGTGCAACTCCGATAAGTAGTACCCACATATGGACAGTAGGAACGTGTACTTACGTGTACAGTGCTGGTAACTGAAATCTGACCTCTGAGCTCACACCGCAAAGACCCAACACGGGATTGTAAGACTACGAAATAGAGACCGCTAGAATGTAAATGCACTGCTCAGGGGTCGGATTTCAGTTGCCAGCACTGTAGTATCCAAGATATTTCTTATCCCACCATACTTCAATATTGGGCAATACACCCATACCCCGAACAATGCTCGTACTAAGCAAGTGTACTAGCATGTCTTATCAGAGTACGTACATGTACTATGTGAGTTTCACTGAATTTTAACAAGACAAAATATCACGGACGAATTAACTTTGCGAAGCACTCTCCGTACAAGTGTACACCTACAGATTCGACGAAAAGAGAAGAAGGAGCTGGAGGAGAGATGTCCACGATTCCGGATACGAAAGGAAACTAGGCATCATGTCCATCCATGCTGCATGTTGCGTCTGAAGAGCCTGAAGAGAGGATTGAGTACAAGCAACATACGTAGAGGCCATCAGGTGGCCAATGTTTAAGAGCGGCAGTCAGCCGGTTGACACACAAAGTCCACCGGCAAGTGATGAGACATGGGATGGCGGCAATGTGGTGAGGGTGGTGGAAGAAAACAAGTGACCGGAGACATGCGACGGGAGGGACGTGGCGAGGGCAGTGGAGGAACGTATGACAGTGGCAAAAGACTGGATGTTGCCGAAGACACCCGCTCTTGCTACAAGGGCAGGTGAAGTGGCGAGGATGACGAAGCACAAGGTCGCAATAGGGCAACACATGACTGGCTGTGACAATTCGAAAAGGGACAGGCATGAGGCTCCGACGAAGATGGCAATGGCGAGAAAACGATGGCAGGACCGGTGTTGACCGTGGCAGGAAAACCTAAAATAAGATCAGGCACCACTAATCTCAAGTGAAAAAAGTCACTAGCTTTAATAGAAGCTGCGATGAACTATCACAACAAATGTAGCATACCAATAGCAGATGGTCAGTAGAAACTTTCAAAAAGCAGGTAAGTCGCAAATATGTCAATAGCAACTTACAACAAGCACACACACACACACACACACACACACACACACACACACACACACACACACACACACACACACACACACACACACACACACACACACACACATTCCAACCACCCAGCACACGAACTCTACACAAACACATTTGCAAAACTCCTTACATTTTCCTTGCCACCGTCCTCTTTAGGAGTTTTAATTGTAGGTGGTGCATCGATGTTATCCGGTGCACGCTTGACAACATTGCCGACGCCGAATGAGCGAGTGTGTTTGGGTGCTGCAGTGGATGCAGCAGTGGCTGAGCTAGTAACAGATGCAACGGCCAATTGGTCGTCTAGCTCAGCACCCAGAGTGGCCGCTAGTGATGACTTTCCGGATGAAGAAGACGGCGCACTGGTGCCCGCCACATCTTCTGGCTCTGGCTCTCTGCACAAGGAATGCAAAGAAAGAAATCCCGGGGAATGAAGAGCAATGCCAGTGCCCGGAAGGCACGCATCACAAAATACACACTGCCAAGCATGCCCTTACGGCAAAGCTAAATACCCATGTGCCAATAAAAGACATACAGCTGCATTGTTGAGCATACCGCAATGGCCCACCAAGGCATGTTCCGGTGAGCATACCGCAATGGCCCACCTAGGCATGTTCCGGTGAGCATACCGCAATGGCCCACCTAGGCATGTTCCGGTGAGCATACCGCAATGGCCCACCTAGGCATGTTCCGGTGAGCATACCGCAATGGCCCGCCTAGGCATGTTCTGGTCTACACTGCCTGGAACACAATACAGGACTAAAAAGAGCGCATGATCCCCAAACATGTACAACTGTTCATAATTGTGGGATTTCTGATACTAAACACTCACACCACCCACCATGTGGCACACAACTACTGATAAGTTACATGCAGGTCAGATGGTGGAAGGCTCCAAACCTGTCATGGAATTTGTGCAATTTCAATCAAAGGTAGCCCATTTTTCGTCCCCAAGATACGAACAACAATGACACAGAGCCACACGAGCTTTTGATGTTGATAGGGAACAGCGAAGCCAGTTCAAGCTGCACACACTTGCAGGGCGATGTACTCGAGTACTCGATACGATCGTTTGTTCCCTACTCTTGATGGTGGCGCTCAGTTCAGCCACCGTCTGCAGCACCTGCGAAGGGTATAAACGCACAGTGCCGAGAGTTTCAGCACAACTGCCCAACACAGAACATTTCCCTTGGCACACACATATTGTACTACATTCACGTTAGTACTCACAGGTCATGTTCATTGTTAGCGTTGACAGCATCCTGTGCATCCAGAAAGCAAAGAACAAACGTCAGAAAAAGCACAAGACGAAAGAGGTCCGAGTACATACACGTAAGATGGGATTTCGCTGACTCACTAGCACTGCGCACCATTCAACAGTCACATCCACCACACCGTGCTGTCTCACCTCAGACTCGCCAAGCTCCTCCACAGTTTCCACAACTGCAGCCCTCATCTCTGCATACAGGCGGCGAGTAGCAGTCCAGTCGGTGACACCCTGGAGGAATGGGTGCTGTACATGTACACAAGTCACACCACACATGCGCACACATCAGTTGCAGAGGTCAAGACCTGAGAAACAGCTAAATTTAGTGATGGTGAAATTTTAGTGATTTTAGTGAAGATGCTCATAAAAAGGACACACTTCAGACTCTTTACGAACATCTTGAAAGTTTTTTTGGTTTCACAAGTATACTTTCAAGCCTTCTCATCAGGTGAAATACAGGCAAAGGAAAAGGAACAGGAATAGTGGATTAAGTACAGTAAGGAGGTGGTAAAACATGAGTATTATCGCATTTTTGTCTCAGAGGAAACTGATTTTAGCGAAAGAAGTGTTTTAGCTCAAGTTTAGTAGTACCAAATAAAAGTTTGCATTCAGCGTAGCATACAATACTTACGAATGCACATTATAGCGAGTCTGTGCATTTGATATCTACAGTATTCCATACCCATGGTGCAACAAGGCAAGCACTTTTAGGCTGTGATTGTTGGGTCGGATCCAGATCCGGATCAACAAGATCCACTCGATTTGTAAAGTAAAACAAAAACGGAGGATAAACAGAGGACGCATACAAGAAAGTAGGGAGCGTCGCATTGGTACGTACTAGGAAGGCAGGGACAGGCTCATTTGACTCAGAGGCTGCTTTCACTCAATCTCTGTGGTACTTTGCTGCAGGATGTTCACCGGTAGGGATTACCAACTGGAAACGGTGGCAGCAGGAAACAACCTCAGCAAGCTTCGCCAGATACGGAAGGGAGTGGTAGCTGGTTCGGATGATGGATAGTGAGAGAGACAGGCGAGTATGCAGTGTGCCTGATGGAATATTTGTCGCTGGCACCGGCCACATGGCACCAAGAGGCTGAGAGTCAGGCAGGTGCGATAGCATGCGCAACAACAACAGTCCATGCGATCAGACTGATTCGGGAAGAGAACATAACAAAGTGATAGACAGTATACTTACGGCCATCATGTCCTCTGCAGTGGGTCGGTTATTCGGATCTTTCACCAAGCACTTTGCGAGGAAGTCATTAAATTCTGGTGACCTGCATGCATCCCAAAAAAAGGGGAGAGAGAGAAATCTACATGCGAGGACAAATAATATCCAACATTAAATAATTATTAAATAATAACAATAATAATAGCAACAAGTACTCAGATGGTGAGCCAAGGAAAAATTAATATTAAATTGAAACAAGGAAAACGGTGGGGCACAAGTGCACGTCTGACTGTTCAAAATCTGGATTAGTCGGCGGACTCTAACGCAAAACTTGTGCCCCACCGTTTTCTTTGTTTCAAAAAAAAGCAATTGCTCCTGTTGAATTCTGTGAGAATTTCTCCATGGCAGCCCAGTCTACTGTTCCAAGACTGCGACTTACCAGCGTGATGGGGCAACCAGCCTCGGAGGCTCGGCTTTGGGGATCTTGAACAAGACTCTCATAGGATGCATCTCATGGTAAGGCGGTTGCATGTCGGCCAATTCGATAAGAGTGATTCCGGCAGACCAGATGTCAGCCTGCAAGCCACAACAAGAAAACGAAACTGTTGTTCGATCATCCTTGTAAACGAGAATGCACGGCGAACCATGTGGCTGCCAATTGACAGCTTGAGTGCATGGAGCCAGACAACTCTGCAGACAGCAAGGGCAGACAATCGTGGAGTAATTCACACGTGGCAAATGTAAATATTACACCTACCCTGTAATCGTATGGTAGGTCCTTGTTCGTTTCACACACTACTACTTCCGGTGCCATCCTACAACCAACGGCCGAAAAAAACCAACACAACAAAACAGAAAATGGACATAGTAAAGTGGAGAGCGGACTCAAGAAGAGAGCACAGTTGACCTCCAAACTTCACTGGGCACATGCCCTGACTCATTTCTGTGCTAGTCTTCAACCAAGGTCCCGGTAGCCAAGTGACTAAGCATATGTAAACGCAACGGCGACGGATGGGTATCACTCACCAGAAAGGTGTTCCAATGAATGAGTCACGGCGTTGCTTCGTCTTCTTGTTAATTGCAGATACACCAAAGTCACCTGCACCGTCAACAAATAGGCCGACGCCACCAATTACGGCAACAACAGCAGGAACAATGCCCGATGCCCAGTGGAGAACATGCGCTGGATCCAAGTACTCAAGTCACATGAAAGCTACTGTCAGTTATTTCAAACAACTTGAATGCATGTAACATTCCAATAACGTCACACATACCTGCAGCGGTGGCAAGCAAAATCCAACTCCTGGTTTCGCATAGTTCAGTGAGAGCATGCGGAGAGTAGACACATGCATGCTTGCAAAACAGTGTAGAACTTAGAACTGGGGTTCACCTGCCACCACTTAGAGCACAGAAAGACTCAGAAACGGACAGGCAGATAGATAGGAAGGGAATTGAAAAAGATTACCTAGCTTGATGCTACCGTCAGCACAGAGCAGAAGGTTGCCTGCCTTCAAGTCACGGTGAATGATACGCTTGGAGCGCAGCTCTATTAGTGCCTGCAAACAATAAGCATTCAAAAGATATAAAACAATTAAACTTGACGGTCACGTGTCGCATCTGGGCCAGGACACACAACACACGGACGCATGAAGTGGTCAAATACTATGATTTGTAGTGCAATTTAGAGGAGAGAAAAATTCAAAAGTAACTCAGAATTGGGATGGTAATCCATGAGCACAACTAGGAAACAGCCTCACCCGAATATTGCAAAAGCAGATCTGAGTACACAGCCTGCAACAACATAAACAGCAGCAGCAGCAACAACAGCAACAGCAGCAGCAGCAACAAGTAATGCCTAGGGACGCCACCGTACCTCAAAAAGGTGCCGAGCGGCTACCTTGATCTGCTTCTCTGTTAGGCCACGGTCAAGCTCTGTCAGGCAGGACAAAACGAGAGAATGACACCAGTGCCATCAATGACCCGTGCTGGGAGATTGCAAAATATTACAGTTGCAGCAGCTAAAATCTAAGCAAATCCAAAGGCTGCACGACACAAGCGCCAGAAGCACTGGGCTGCGAAATGCAACCAGCGCTCCGGTGGTTGGACTTTTCTTGTCGTATTTGTAGCCGAAATTACCATACACCATGAGACCTGAAGAAAAGGGCTGCTCCCAGGCGCACGCAGGCGTTTACACGTGACAGAGCACCAGCTCAGCTAGTGCACTTCAAAACGCTCCTGGTGATGTGGAGGACGTACATGTCCTATGCTAATGCCCTTTTCCATGGGTTGCAGGTTCAAATGTAGGTCAGGACAGTTCTGAATATTTCTATAACCGTACACGAATGCACATACATATTATTTAAAAAAAGATGTATTCACTATCCTACAAGTAACATCTCTCATATCCGACCTCCGGAAATGCAATTGCCCACAAGGGTCTGGATTACCAGTTCTTTACTGTACCTAGCATGATGTCGTCCATTGCACCACCAGGACAAAACTCCAACAGCATCTGTGCAGATAGAAAAATGACAAAATTCAAAGTTTCAAGCAAAATACATGTACATGGTCAAGTTACCAAGAAAAAATTCAAGCTAACCGTATTTCCATCCCACACGTGAACACACTTTCCATGCGATGGATGAACATGAGCGAGCTGAGAACGTGACACCTTCGGCTAGATATTTAGAGATATTTATTGCCTAAAGTGCCAACTTCATAAACTGTCGGCACAAACTGCAAAATGTCCTCCTTCTGCATGATGACAGGGTTCAACTTACCCAGCGGGTGCACTTTTATGTTAAGAAATTCAAATTATGCCGTACAGGTCTCCATAGTAAATGGAGTCTATCTATTGTCGTCTGTTTGTTATAGCAAGCCGCTGTGCATACAGCCAGATTCTGGAATTGACCAGCTGTGAGTTTTAGCATTGATAAACAAGGGAGGTGAGTACAGTCATGTAGATAAGACCCACCACAAATTACTGTAGTCAAAGACCGAAAATCCCATTCGCACTACTACTGCTTTAGGAGCTGCATCTGCGCCTTGGTTGTCGAGGGTGGTGGCGCTCTTACGGATGGAGAAAATTCAGTCTAACTGGGTCTCAAGTGAACCGTGCAGTTTATATAATAGTTATACAGTGGGACTCAAATAGCCTGTGCCCGGATACAATCCTGCTCAACACAGACAATTTTCGAATGGCGGACTTTTCTCCCATAAAATACACAAAGCAAACCCTTTCAGATTGCTTGTACTTTGTAAGGATTATATTGAGTGTGACCCCATGGAACATCACCATAGACTAGGGATATGAAAAGAACAACTATAGTTGCAGGCTCTGGGCAGCAAATCCACAGGGTATTGCCAATGCTGGGAACGTTCTTACCCATAGTTTTCCTTTGAACAGATACGCCTCTTCCAGCGAGAGAATATGTGGATGGTGCCCACATGCTGCTAGGATGTCAATTTCAACTACAAAGTCGTCGAGTTCATCACCATCACCCAGCTCCACAATCTTTGCAGCAGCAAGCGAGCCTCTCTCGCGATGCTTAGCCTGGGTAGAAAAGTGCACACAGGAATACAACGCAGGATGACGTCCTCCCTCGTGAACTACTCACCCAAACACACTGGTACGCAATCGCACACATGCTGCTTCTCTTCGCAACCACTTACTGGAATGTACCAACAGGATACATTCAGCCACACCCAACAAGCATGTCATATCATCAAAGTCCCAGGAAGTCCATCCTGTCAGAGTATAATATTATAACGTATTAACAAGAAATCTTTACACAATTTTCACATTTTGGACAGAGAACGGATCAATATGTATATACGAGGTACTGGTATGAGCAACAATCCATCAACTGAACCAGGTAATGAACAGTCAAATAGTGTAACAATTAGGCACGCAACTGACAAGGAGAACTGAGACATCCAACAGCCTGACACCCAGCTAGAAAACAACTCCGAACGCACACAACTACAGCGTTCCTACTACATGTACCTAGAAGGCTGGAGTTTGAGGAGAGTTCCAAAAGAGGGGAGAGAGACATGCTGAAGACGAGTACAAGCTAAAATTCACACAGCTACGAAGGTGCTGGCCATTGAATGTCTCAGTACTCCTTGTCAGTTGTGTGCCTAATTGTTGCATTATCAGACTGACTTCTAATTTCACCTTTAGTTTCAACGAGTAATTCCCATTACCACTCACTGAAGCTTCAGGATACGCAGTCAAGCTCTATTGCATTTTATTCAGCTGTGCCATTGTGCTCTGCGATTATACAGGTACAATGCATACAGCTGAAGTGGGCCATGGATTATGAATCATCCTCGCGTAGCACAGTACAGAGCCTCATTTATTCGTGCAACTATGGCTGTGCACCGCGTTCCGCATCCAAGACCAATTCTGTAGTTCATTGGTCTGCTACCGTGAGTAGCACAGTGTGACACGTATGCATGGCGATACGCTGATCGATCAACTTATTGACAGCCGATTGCATTATAGGTACATGTAGGTGGTAGTTTGGATAAGTAGCATCAGCAACCCAATGTAGGTGCTAGTTTGGATAAGTAGCATCAGCAACCCAACCCACCTTTACAGTGAGAAAATCAAGATCCAAGATGCGGTTGTAAGTACATGTATGACAAGTTTTTTTTTTTTTTAATTTCCCTTTTCATTCCCTCGACCAGTGAATATTGCTAAAAAATATACACAAGAGAGAGTTTGGAAGCTTTGTTACAACTCTGAGTTTCACGTATTACTACGATCATCAGGCAACTGATGGATCCAAAACGGGCAGCCAGAACATAAGGGGGAGCAAGGTGGGAAATTCTAAGGGGTGTCATAGGCGACGCGTATCATAGCGCAAGAGTCTAAAGCTAAAAAATATAAATATTTACAGTAAAGATTACACCAATCGAGAAGTGCAAGGACCACTTGGCCCCATCTAGATTCTGTAGGTACTAGCACCTCCTTGTACATGACTTGTATACATTGGCAGGCATGCACTGCCTAACGAAGACTCTGTAGTCTGCAACTACAGAACTACCGTACTGGCAATATATGTTGCCGCAATGAGGCCATGAAGCGTTACATTGGCACATGTTTGCCGCACGCAGGGCGTTACATGCAAAGTCGCACAGGAGCCGTTACACAGGTTTCTATATTGCCGCAGTCCTTTTTTGGCTATTGCCGCATCACTTTTTTTCTATTGCCGCATCATTTTTTCTTTTCAAAAAAAAAAAGATCGCCGCACCCCGCCGGACGCGCGTTACGAACTCAACGAAAATTTGTCGCACTAGCCTGGTCGCGCGTTACGCCGCACCCCCCTGCGTTACGCGTTACGCGGCAACATATATTGCCAGTACGGTAACTACTGGAAAATTACCATACAACTGAAAAGAATTATTTCACTTGCACTGGGCTGGAAAAAGAAATACAAAAACCAAACCATGCCCTACTCAAACTCAGTCAAAGCACATATCCACCATTCGCCCTCAAGTGCTCTCAGACCCCCGCTGTGAAAGTAACTTAGTTCCATTCAGAGATAATTATTATGCTCCAGTCTGCACAAGACAGTGTGTAGATTTTGTAATGAAAGTGAAATTGACTGAAACAAAACCCTCAAAAAGAATAATAATAATATATCCATACACCGATCACTGACATTAGATTATTCTTATTCTCTATTTGCAGGTCCCCAGTGAAGCCCACTGAAGCAAACTCTAGTAACGATCACGTACACCATCATAATAATCATAGTGACACCCCACACACACCACCACAACTCAAGTCACATCACGATTCACTGCAGATTAGACAGCAGAAGTGTATTGCAATCCATAAAGCCATGCTCAGTCAAAGTGGGGGCGTAGTGAAAAATAGCACATGGACCCTTCAGCAAACAACCCTACTTTCACAACTTCACAGCAATATTTTCTCACTTTGTACACTTTGCCAAAAGCTCCATCGCCAAGTTCGCCGACGATTTCCCAAAAGAGGTCAGGATCTTGATTCATTTTTATATTGGGATATTCCCGTTTCTCTCTGGCAGATTTGCCAAAAATACTCTTGAAGAACCCTGCCATGGTGGCAGGTCCGACAAAGTTCGTTCTCAGAAGAGGTTCGAATAATTATTGCTTGAGATTGGCGACCTACTGAAAGAACCCCAAACTGCACGGGCCTTCTGCTCAGCCAGCTCTGATACCGCAACCAACACACAGTTCCACCGCTAGCGACCAGCTGAGCACCCTACCCAGGTCAAATGTGTGCAAGCTCGCCCACAACACAACACACTTGACGGGCGCTAGCCAAAGGGCAAAGACTGTGTCGTACACATGCGCAGGCTAGTGCCTCTAGCGCGTGGCAGCGCTGTCGACATAGATGTGAAAATCTGACTGCTAAACTTGCTTTTGGCCGATTTATAAAACCTCCTGCCGGCTTGCAGTAAAAAATCGCAAAAAATCACACAAGCGCCATATTTTGGACTTTCTTGTCCTTCGTTCTTTCTCTTCTTTCCCGTCGCAGCCATGAAGCGGTCTTCGGATGTGTCCTCCTCAAGGAGAAAGTGCCGCAAGGCCCATTTCTCTGCTCCATCCAGCGTGAGGAGAAAGCTGATGAGTGCACCTCTGTCCAAGGAGCTTCGTCAAAAATACAACGTTCGTTCCATGCCCATTCGTAAGGATGATGAGGTGGTTGTAACCCGTGGCCATTACAAGGGAACCCAGGTCGGCAAGGTAATCACAGTTTACCGTAAGCGCTTTGTCGTCCACATTGAACGGATTCAGCGCGACAAGGCCACTGGTGCTACCGTAAATGTTGGAATTCACCCGTCCAAGGTCGAGATCGTAAAATTGAAGTTGGACAGAGATCGCAAGTCTATCCTGGACCGTAAGAACCGAAACAAGATGGACGACAAGAACAAGGGCAAGGTCCAAGAGGAGGAGGTTCAGGCTATGGAAGTGACTGCATAAATTTGTAAGTCTTTGTTGTTCGTCTGTATCAGTTTAGGGATATGCAAGCGGTGTGAACTATACCTGATTATTGTTGTTGGCATGCGTGCGTGCATATGTGAATTGTTTACACTTAATGTCAGACAAGCAGTTCTGTCGTCCATTGTACCAGCGTAGCACGATATAATCATTGCTTCGTTAATTGTCTATTATATGTACTTGCATGGTGGAGGACATCAGCCATGATGTGTTATTCACTAATCTACACAAAAAAATTATGTCACAGGTAGCCCAAAATAGTTATATTTGAAAAAATCTGTGAGAAGATGGTTCGGGATGATATCAATAATTTCCTTATACTTTGTACCGATACCTGTAAATATTCTGTAGGATAATGGTGGAACGTGTCAATTGTAACAAGGATACTTGTGCTGGTGAAAACATCTCCATTGATTTTTGACGCTATTCTCCCAATTTTTTTTGCCGAAAAGTGTTGTCCACAACTTTTTGTGTACTATTAGAGTTCATCGCTACTACCAAGAGTAGATAAACAAGAGTGTGCAACTCTGCATCTCTTCTGCATAATCTGAATATCTCCCGGCGCACGGCAGAAATTTTGTTGACGTCACCTTTTTCAGAAAACTGCATTTTGCCTCGGAGCAGTGTGAGAGAATGTGCTGGGCACCCACCTTGTGACGTAATACCCGGCCAATTGCACGAGGCAAAACTTCTCAAAAGACTCGCAGCGTGTGCGACGTAGAAAAGATTACACAAACAAAAAATTCCGCCATGGGCCAATCCATCGGGGAGTTGCACGCCCTTGTTTATCTACTCCTGCTACTACTATGCAGCTATGGCCAATTGTGCTGCACACTGCCATCATTAAATCTGGCAACCTTATCTGTGAAGTGCAGGATCCTTGGCCAAACTGTGGGGTAGATCTGAAATCAAAATTGAGGGCTTGTGCCAGCTTGTAAAGCAGAGATTGGTGTTCTGCTATGAGCAATCCTGGGCTTTGAGTGCACAATTACAAGGTGTGCTCTTCACCGGCATAATGTAGGCAATGTAGTGCGCATTTGCGCACACTCCCAGTTTAACGCTCTTAGTTTTAACTGTTTGCGATGCACACCGAGGTCTTCCGGATCTATTGGGGAGAGTTCTGTATGACGGGCTTCCTAGTAAATGTCCCTGGAGAGTCTTAAATCTTTTGAATTCGTAGTTGGCATGTGAGGTGGCATTTTCTCTTGGTATTGTAGGTGTGAGCTGTCTTGAGTTAACCAGGACTGGAGACATGTTCTGTAAATGTATGTTGCTTCCCTTTACATTTGTGTAAAGTCTATGGCTGTGTTACCTTATTAGAGTTTCTGTTTCTATCTGTGTGTGCTTCTGCAGCTTTGCCACCAACTCTTCAGTCATATGTACAGTAACATCCTTTTGTACGACAATTAGCTGTGCGTTTTGTGCTGTGCTTGCGGGAATGGTGATTGTGCATGTGGGTGGACAGACAGTTTTACCATACATAGTTCTATGAGTGCTCAGACTGAATGCTGGTACTATCAGGGTATGTGAAGTCAAGAGTGTGCTGCAATCAATGAACGTTTGCATGCAGAATAGAGAGAAGCAACACACTCTCTTGACTTCCAGATAAGTGGCTGGTTCCTGCTGGCAAGATTACAGGATACCCAGGGTGTGCAGCCTCTGGCTTTTTTCTGCATGGTCGTCTGTTACATCGGAATTCCTTGATTACATCATATTTGGAGCAGATATGGGTTGGGAATTGACGTAGTGCGTATAACCAAGAGTCCATGAAACTGTTTATGCTCTGTTGGAAGTTGATATAGCCAAGTAAGGGGCCGTCCGTATTAAAATATCGATGTTTTTTTCAAGACGATATTTGTTCATTTCTCCCTCCCCCCTCAAAACGAACATACAGTGACACATGCTTATGCAAGGGATCGATGTTTTTTAATGAAGTTCAATTTCCTCATGAAACGTGACCAGCTGCCACTCTAATTTCACCACACACCTACATGTACATGTAGGTTTATGTTGCCACGGTCGCACAACCTTGCCATGGCTATGCTCCCGAGGTTGACTTTCACTTTGTGTAGGTCATAAACTACATGTACATGTTCGAACAGCACCCGTCCATAGATAGAGTTCAATATTTTTTTCTGCAAAGACGAGACGAACAGGGCCCAAACCCCCTCCCCCCCCCCCCCCCCAAACGAACGAATATCTTCTCTAAAAAAACATCGATATTTGCGGACGACCCCTAAAGGAGTACATAGGCTGATAGCTAGCTAGGGATGTCCACAAAATGTTTTCGAATTTTTTTGCATTTTGGGTAATTTTCACACTTTTTTGCAATTTGGGCAATTTTCACACTTTTTTCCATTTTGGGTCAACTTTTCCAGCAATTTTGCCGCAGGAGTCTTAAGGCCGATTCACAATACAACTTTCTGCGACGCGACACGCGATTTGCGAGAGTTGCGACAAGAAACTGCCTGTCGCGAGCTGTCGCAGAAGTTGAAGAAAGTTCAACTTTTGCGACATGCGACACGCGACATACACAAATAGAGTACAGTTTCGACCCTGGGTGCACGTGCAGTGCACGTGCATAGTACTACTTGTGCATGATGATGTCGCAAACATGAAGAATATTGTGAACCGTGTGTCGCTGTCGCAGCTCGTCGCATGTGTCGCAAGTCGCATGTCGCGTCGCAGAAAGTTGTATTGTGAATCGGCCTTTATTCGCAGCTTGCCCGGAAGACTCTACCATGGAGATGGTGTCGGATTCTTCCTCGCTCTTCTCATTGGAGTCGGAGTGGACCTCCGTCAACACACTTGGCTCGCTGCACGCCATTTCCACCGCGGTACCGATGTTTCTGTAACAGCTGTAGCTATTCTCGCAATACGGCTCGACGACTCGTAGATCTGGCCAGATCTAGTACATGAAGCGCCATTTTGGTTGCCATGTCAACAGTCACATTTTTGCGCAATTTGGGTGATTTTTTACAATTTTTAAATTTTCTAGAGAACTTTCAAAAATATCCCGAAAACATTTTGGGGTTTTTCTGCACATTTTACATTTCCATTTTAGGTGAAAAAAAAAACATTTTGTGGACATCCCTACTGATAGCCCCCAAGAGTGTGGAACTCGACTGCATGTGCATGGGTTTCAAGTTGACGTCATTTTTATGATGCAATGCGCACTGTACACAGACTCTCAGACGAATCCGGAACCTATGCTATGTTGAACCAATTTCCAAAGCCTATCTACCGGTATCTGATCCTGCACAAATTATTGCAAAGGAAAACGTGTGAACGTGATGCGTCAACACCGTATGTCGTAAATCACCGGTGGAAGGAGCATTGCATCATACAGTAGAGTCGCGCGCTGAAGAACGTCCTGCCTGAAGTTCTAAGAACACCACAGCTAACGCTAAGAATGGCGGTGGTCATTTTCTGGCATCTTATGGGATACATAATTATTATTATGATCCAATGCGGATTGTTTCTAAGAACGCAGCCAGCTTGCTGAAAAATAAAAACGTCCCAGGCTAACCCCTTGGAAACAACATTCTTGGGCGCGCGACTCGACTGTATTTAATAACTGAAATTCTGTGGGAGGCAGCTCAGGGTATGTGAGATTATTGCATGTCACGTGAGGGTTGCCTGTACTACAGCCAATGAGCGCTCTTGCTCAGCGGTCTGTATTTCTCGGTATTGCCCGGCAAGTTCAAGATTGCCCGCTCAGTTACATGTACGCGCATGCGGACTGTCAATCCTGTACTTTGTGGTTCGTGATCAGATCAAGTTGATACAGTTCGGAGTTTCAAATTTGAAACACAAAACAGCAACTAACTTGATCTGACTACAAACTACAAAGCACGAGAATGACAGACCACACGCGCGCGCATGTAACTGAGCTGACAATAACTTACTTGTTCCAGCCACATGAACCAGCCGCCTCAGCAGGTGAATGCAACCTTGACATCGATATCGATGCGTTGGTGAGCAGCCGACGAATTTACTTGACGAACTGAATGCGTTTGAGACGAAGTTGTGGAGCCCATCCCAGTTTCAGTTCCTGTTCCAGGACTTCCTACACTCAGTGCTCAATCACGAACAACAACACCATCGATATCGTAAAGAAATAGAGAATTTCAAAACCACAAACGACGTTTACCACTGAACAAGTGTGTCGGGAGACTGAGAAAGTCGGAAAGGTTTCTCTCCATTCTCTGGAATGTTTGGGTCAAGCATGCAATAAATGATTTACTGCGCCTCGTACGCACTCGTACACGGGCAATACCGGCTTGATACATGACCTCACGGCTGGCGCCGTTCGGTCATGTATCAGCCAGTATTGCCCTTGTACTCGTTTGTACTCGTGCAGTAAATCATACGTTGCACACTCTGGGAGTTATGTACTCTTGGTAAATTGATCTTCTGACTTCAGTTGTGCATCAGGAGACTCTTGTGTGCAACCATCAGGAAAAAGCGATAGTCTGCTATAACGAGGCTAAATATTAAAACCAGGCATATGCACACCTAAAGACTAAAGTCACAGAACGACGGTGTCGGTTTACGGCAGCCTTTGGGATACATCTGATCCAGCACGAATTGTTTCTAAGAATGTGCTATGAGAACGCAGCCAGATTATAGAAAACATAAGAACACCCCAGGCTAACTACTTGGAAACAACGTTCTTGGACGTGTGACTGTATACGGTTTAGGATTTCGTGCATCAGTACATTGCAAGGAGAAGTGCAATGCAGTATTGTACCCCTCCCTGGCGGCTTGCATGATTTGTAGGCTGGCTGTATCAATAATAGCAAGAGTACATGTACTCTTGATAATAGCAAGAGTGCATAAAACTGTTTATGGACTCTTGATAATAGTGTGTTCTGTGTTTTTTTGCAGGCATGCTTGGTAAAATAATATTTTTCATTGTTAATAATAACGACCTACTTCTTGCGTAGGGATGTCAATTATCCTATCCACGATGGGAATTAACCGTATTGCGTGACCGATCCTTTCAATGTTCTAATCTTTACTTTTCCACCTGGACTCCTCCTTGGTTTCCTTTTTTGTTGTCCGATCTGTCTCGTGTTGGAACTATTGCTGTAATGCGACAGTACTGCACGATTGACTGTGTGAGGATGCCACCTTTGAAGATACAGTCTGGTTGTACATATTGGCTGTGTAAATTTTACATTAGTTTATATTAATTTTATTGCATGCATATACCATAAAATCCACAAAACACAACCCAATTGTCACTGGGATTTTCTATTTTTCACTCCGTTATCACTGCGGTAAGTCCTATTGGACAATGAATCTCATTCTGTGATCTATGTGTTCCCAGACTTATTCACTGAATACATGTTCCATTCTTGAACCATGGTGCAGAATACATTCGTATTTGTATTATATTTTCTGCAATTGCGAAATGCACCAAATTGTTATAATATCCTAAGATAAGTAAGATAATACAATGGTGGGTATGTGTCATAGTTGTGGCCTGCATAGATTAGACTAAAAAATCTGAGGAAGATACACTTCAACAGGCCAGGACGCCTCTCCAAAAAAACAATTCATACGACGCCAAACATATCGGTGACCTCCCAATTTTTTTACACAGTCAACATAAGCACAACCCAAGGAACAAATTCACAAGTTTATCTAAACTTTCTATGTTTTAAATTTTTTTGGAGTTCGGTGGTCTGAGCCTCCTCAAAATGTGGGGCTTTGAATAAAACAATGTCAATACTCCTCCCTGGCATACTATATTGTAGTAATGTGCATAAGGACCTTACATCACAAGTCCCCAGAAAAAAAGAAGTTTCTTGTCCTTTTCTGCAGCACTCCACTGGATTTTCTGCATCCTGTGGACACTGCTGGGTTCCGCAGAAATTCTACAATCTCTGGCATCATGGAGTTCACGGGGAACAGAAGTGGAAACAACTGATGCCCCCCAAATTCCAAACCACTATCACAACTGGTTACCGAGGGTTTCAGATCTAGATCTGTTTGGTTTTGCTCAGTCTTGCATTGCCAATGTGGCTCAGAATGTATGTAGAATGTTAAGTCAAATCATGGCATATGCAGAGCGAGCAGATGGGAGTTGAGAATGAGACGTACGTATGAGAGACAACAGATCATGATAATAAAGTAGTATGAACGTGCAGCCGACAAAGGGCATAGTGTTTTTCATGGTTCTAGGCAAGCATGGCGGATCTACACAGGAAACCAAGGCTTGCTTTTGGAAATGTGTACATATAAGAAATGGTATGAAAAAAGCATGGGGTTGGCAATTTTAAACAGGTCAACATGTTGCAAACAGCAAAAGGAAAATTACAGCAATGTTCTAAAAGTCAGCTCACAAAGTATTTACAGACAACAGGTCTAAAAAGACGGCAGGCCACATGTTTGGAAAGAGAAGGAAGCGACAGTAAGCATTTTCGCCATTGTCTACTCAACTTCCATGTCTTCAGCACTGTCCTCGTCTTCTTCATCATCATCCTCATGGATCTTCAGGGAGAGCTCCTGCTCCTGATCACAGCCAAGATAGGCATCACACATGAAGAAGAGTGTGTACTTGTATGATCCAGCAGATGGAGCCACGAAATCGAGCTTCACCTTGGACTTGTGCTGGAGGGTAACACGCTTGATGGAAATCAAGCTACAGCAGGGAAAACAAAGACATACACAGGAATAGCACATTCAGGAAGTGCAGACAAAGAGTACACAATCACGCAAAACCCAACAGACTACACACAAAACAAACTGGAGAAGAGAAGAAGAAGAAACAATACAACAAGAATGCCATCATACGGATAGTCCAGACATAACAAGTGCATCATACTATCGACAGTCATGTGTCTTACCTGTTAGTCTTCTGGTCACCGATAACAAGCCACCAACCCTCGTCGCGTTTCTAAAAGCAGAAAGAATCACATTGCAGCTGTCAACATTGCTGCCACCATCAATAATTTGTAGCCCAAAAGCAAATGGTTCAAGCGAATTTATTCCATACTTAAAGTACAAGTTCAACTGAGAACAGCCAACAAAGGTACATTTCATTATTTCGACTGGCCTCAACTAGTCTGCTGTGTGTAAAGGCTAGTGCATTCGCTGTGTTCCTGCATAAAGAAGCTAGCAAATAGCAAGAATGAAACTTACCTGTGGGAAGTGAGGTGCAACAACGGGTCCCACAACCTCACCCTCACTTTCTACCTCACGCTCCAACTTGACGTTGATAACCACAGGTTGCCCACTGTGGAAAAGAACACAATAGCCCGATAAACGCATGGTTGACATCTTCACAGCACTTTTTCTTCATTTCATTTGACTGATGTTTTGAAGGCAAATGAATGAATGTTGAGGGAACCATCGCATAAACATACTTCTTTTTTCGAAGTAAAAGAGTCTGAGTGCGAGGGTGAGAAGAAGAGAATACGGTGAACGAATCTATCTAACACAATACAAATGAATGCATGTAAATTGTTGGTATGCGTGTTTCAACATGGGGAAGGCAGTATGGGGAAAGTGTGACTTGCACAGCAGATGTACAAAGCATTATTGGTTTCACAATTAGGTACAGTATTGGTTGATATGCGTGTGGGATGTCCAAATTACCATTTCCACTTTGGGAGAATTAAGACTCGCGATTTAAGAGATAAGGCAAATTGACGTGACACATTTCACCACACTTCGAAGTAATAACAACCTCCTTGAGCCCTGCATTGAACATATTTGGTACATACCTTGTGAGTTCCTCGGATTCAACGATGTCGTAAGACAATTCAATGTTCGGGTAGCGGTTGCAGAATACGGCAACATCCTGAACGAGAAGCATCACAGTGAAACATGGCAGTGAACATGTTTGTATGTGTGTGTCGGCATCAGCTCAGGCTCTATAGTGATCCTAGCAATGGGCACGATTCAAACAGTGTAAACTGACCATGGCAGTCTAGATTGCGGCCATACATTACGCCACATCCTAGTCCGGCAGTGCAGCCCTACTTGCGCCCTACCAGACTGTGATCGTTGGTATAGCAAACAGTGAATGCTGCAGCTTACCCTGAGTTGCCAGTCCTGCATCTTCAGCAGCTCCAGACGGTCAGCATCCTCCATCTCCATCAGATCAAACACATCGTCGATTTTCTGAAACACACACAGGCATTTAAAAAATGCGTTATAATAATTATATTGAACAAATTTACAACTGCAACACTTCTCCTTTGGTCCACGCAATACCCAATAAAGACTAGAGAGATCAAGAGTGCTACAAGCTTGCTGGTTTTATACAAGTAGGGGTTTCCCTAAACTTCCCAGTAATCCATGATAGTCTTATTGCTGGACATTTAGAAGCATTCTACAAAGTCAACACCAGCCATATACGTGCTACATGTAGAATGACAGAAGATTGCCCTCAGTCTTGCAATCATAATTATGAAAGTGAGAATGCATCCAGACTGCCAGCAGAAAAAAATGCAGAAGAGAGCACTAGTTACCTTAGTTGAGCATCGCTTCACAACTTCGCTGGAGAAGTGAGGAAGCTGCTTCAGATAGGAGTCGCGTCTCCACATGGCTTGCGTAGTCTGCAAGCAGAAAAGGGAGAAGCACAGGCACACAATGACAAGTTAGCCAACAACTTTCTTGTGACGTTTGCTCATGGCAGTGAGCATGTTTGCATTTCTACTGACTGCGCACCCTGCAGATGGCCTACTGAGAAGTGAGAACACACACATGGCTAAGTACGCAATTAGGAGGGTGCTTTGGCTAAACGGGGTATCATTGTATACACTGTACTTGCCAAACATTGGGAGAAGACAACACCAGATCGTGCAACACGCTACAAAACCACAGAATAACGCCGAAAAATGAGATCCTAAAAAACGACATGCAACAGCAAAGAAGGGTGCAGGGATTGAACTTACCATCTGCGCCAGCTCCATAGCAGCCAAGGCAGGCGACAGCCAACCATTGCTGCTGAGTACGTCTACGCAGGCCTGGATCAGGCGGATAGCCTAAAGATAAATCACAGAAAGTGCCACGTGTGAGTGATTTCATAGCAACAAATGGCAGAAATCTGCCAATGTGCATAATGACGACATCACACAATATACTAGGTAAAGCAAACAAGGCTCAGTGGACAGTCAAGCAGCTGCCATGGGTTAATAGTGAGGCAAGGTCTTCTTCACTTTACCTGCTTGAGGATCACCTCAGTGTCGGCCTGCATTTCAGCATGCAGCTGGATGCGAGACAGGTGAGCCTGCAGGAGTAGATAGGTCTTGACATGTGGATCGTTGAACTGATTGCTGCTAGGCTTGTGTGGCACCCGATGAGACAGCTGAGTAGCAACAACAAAAGCAGCAAAGGCGAGAAGAACACAGGGTACCACATTTACATGAGGCAGTCCGAAATACTACACGGTTTCCTAAAAACTACAAACGCACACAGGTGTACACACCGGTTCACAACTATTTTTCCGCAACATTTTAAATATGCGTTCAGTAGTTTGGAATCCACCGATTATGAAATATAATGAAACGAACATTCTTTACTGATGCAGGAATAGATGTTCAAACATTCCGTTAAGTGTTAACACCCCCTGCCCATCCCGGCCCTGGAAGTCCACACAGTACACACAGTCCACACTGAATACTGGTACAGACAGTACAGAGTAACAAACCTTCGCCAAGACAGAGTCTTCATGATGGCGCACGGGAATGTCCGAGTACTCTGCAGCGTTGGAGATAATCTCCAGCAGGCCACGAAGCTTCGTCTTGGCGTTGAGCGACATACTGAACAGTTCTGCAAAACAGAACACATCAACACATACAATCAGTCACATGTTGTTCAACATAGATTGCAACATTGCTAATAGCCCACTGCGCGGCACTGCACACTGGTACATATGCCTACAAGACAACGTTAGGCTGCTGATATTACAGATCCTGCACGGTACTGCGCCGAGCAGTACACACAATACATTCAGCTGTACCGGAAATTACACCATGTCTACAGTGAGTCACTGTGCAGTCCTATGCACTGATCATCAATCATGCAATGAGCGAGCTGGAGTAGCTATCTAGGAGTACCATGCAGGAATAGCAATTGCCAGGATTCGATGTCTGCTCTACAACACGCCGCACAGCACACATAACCACACACATAACCACACACATAACCACACACATAACCACACACCCACACGCACACACACACCCACACACATACAGCACTCACCGATCGTCGTGTAGTTGATGTAGTAGTATGCAGCAATCATGCCCAAGTTGAGAGGATTGACATCCATCTCATCCTCAATGGAGATACACTAGTGCACAAGCACAGCAGTGGGTAGTGGGGAAAGACGACAAGTGTTGGCACAAACCCAGTGCATCAGTAAAAGTACAATCGTACAGAGCACTGTAACAACGCAATCATGTTCCACGTCAACAAGGTTTCTCAAGTACAGACATGTGGTCAACATGCGGTCAACTTGCAGACAAGATAGCATCATGTGGATTTTCTGTACCTTGGACTGCTGTAGGTCACTGAGCGTGGTTTCCACGACCTCACTCAAGTGATCACTGAGATGACGATGTGTCATACCTACAATGTGGAGCAGTCCGAGAAACAAACACAACAGTCAACACCACACTATAATGATAACAACCATGTGAACGCTGGGTTCTGTGCAGTGTATAGTTGCTGTTACGGGTAACATGGATGCACCAAATGGGACTTTCGGTCTTTGACCACCCATCGCTTCAGGAGCTGTATCTGCGGAAAACTCTGTCCGACTAAGTCTCACACGAGCCGCACCATTTATTTTCTCTATGTTATTCATAGGTCGAGGGAATGGAAAAGAGAAAAGTCTGAAGAAGAGATTGACTGTCACCAACCAGGACTCAAACCAGGGAACTTCGCTTGAGGTCAGTGATGCTCTAACCACTGAGCTATGGTGTAGCTGTCATCCCAGCAGAGACCGTTCAACATTTTCTTCACACTTCCTGCTCGATGTTATAGTTGGTCTTCCAAGATGGATCATCCCAGCACAACGCTGCACCGTGTGCATGCTTCCGGATGCGTGAATATACCATGTTGGTCTTAATCAGGATTCGTCAGGTGTACCAAGGGAAAGACATCCCCAAAAAAATTCGTCAAGGGTGGATTAGCAAGTAACCGAACATACATCAGGCACAGGGCATAGGCCACAGGGCGTTACTATGAAATAGGGCCATGGGTGAAGATTAACATGTACAACACGATACATGTACATGGGTTTATTAGCGTCTAACCATCTACACAGTGAGTTGACAATTTCCAGTGCAACCACATACACAGACACACCACACAGACACACCACACACACACACACCATTGAGACCATTTGATGCCCATCGCCAGTGGCGATGATAGCGATGCTACAGCAGAAGCCATAGCAGCTTGTGCTGGGATTGCACCATTCAACAGTTTGCAAGGCTGAAGAATTGACCGCCACTATTCAGCCTGGTCTACACCACACAGCTATAAAGTGGCTTTTTCTGGCCAGTGAATCCCTACTTTTTGGTCTTTTCATATTTTCATTTTTTCATGCACACACATCACACCACATACTCCGGCATGCACTGGCTGTTGGTAACCACCCAGGAGAATGAAAGATAAGTCAGGAGGAGTCTGAGAAAGAGAAGAAAGACGTGTGTGACCATAATCGTCGGGAATCGAACCAGCAACCTATCAACTAGAAATCGCTGCACATACCACTGCACCATATGTCACACCCACCCACATCCACCCACACCATACACATACACCATACACATACACCATACACATACAGTGGCGGATCCAGGGGGGGGGGGGGGGGGTTCCGGGGGTTCCATGAAACCCCCTAAATTTTGCAAAGTGTGCAGCTGAGAAATATCGAAAAATATCATGTGTGCACAAAAGGACGTCCGTCCGATCACAGTCAGTGAAGCCACTGAGTCAAGGAGCACAGACTCAGTCAGTGCACTGCATGCGCGTGCGGTAGATCGATACTGTACGGATAGTAGTCTGTACTGGTGTTCACGTCCGTGATTTACAAACGGACACTGTAGACAACATTGGGTGGTTGTTTCCTTTTTGATCTTTCGAAACGATCCAAACTTACCTCCATTGGCGCTGTCATTCACTGCTGCTCAGGATGGGTGTGGTGTGGCCAGTATTCCTTGGACAAGTTTTTTGCAGAAGAGAAAGGATGTTCCGAGTACTGACACTCTTCAACGAACTTCGAACCGTACACGTAGAGTTCAAGCTCCTCAGAAGATGAGGGCTCCGACATCCAAGCAAAGTCAGTAATCTCTACCTGCTGCAGCATGCAGTAGTGACTAGTTGTTCCTCCGCAGGAACGGAGTGCTGCGCCAGCGATGTGTTTTAGATGACATTGGAAGGATTGTACAATTGTCGACACTGTTTCGCTGTTGTTGTTTCTGCCACTGAAGTGAAGACGATGCTCTTGTCCTGTGACTATAGAGCATTTCGCATCGTACAAACGCCAACAGTTTCCGAAAGTACAAATGGACAGGGAAAGTAACTTAGTTGTTGTCATTTCGGCATTCCTGGCTCTCAACGTACCCATGGCTTGCATATTCGATCTTTACAAGAAGTTGAAAGGGTCTTCAAGCCCTCACTGAACCTGTGTGCCAGTCGATTGCATACATGTATATGATTATGTGTCCGTACTAATAATGTAGGGTAAGCCGCAGCATTTGGCCCTGTACAGGTTTTTCACCGTCCACCACACCACAACTGCCCTCTCCAGCGATGGTGGTGTGCTGTGGCAACGTGTCGAGGCCGGCTGGAGAGCGCAGTTGTGGTGTGGTCGATGATGGAAAAATATATGTCCGTAGTGTGTTTTAAAAGCATGCGATTCCCACTAACACAATCGGATTGTCAACCGCACATCTGATTCCATAATATTTTGGCTGTTCAATTTTGGTTCAACCGGAACCCCCCTGTAGAGATCTCTGGATCCGCCCCTGACATACACACACCATACACACACCATACACATACACACCCACACGCACGCAAGCACGCACACACACACACATGCACGTAGACAGACACAAAAGAGGTAAGACTGTTAGCTACTGCAGTGGCTTTCCTACCCTGGAGGTTGTAGTAGTTGGGATTCTGCGTCATGCGACGGTAGAGGAACGTCCAGGTCAGGTAATCCACTGCATCTTGCTTGTTCTCTATTGTCTTCGTCACAATCTCAGCGTTGAAGTGGTCATGAAGGAAGTGATCCAAATGGGACTACACGCACATAAGCACACACACACAGATACTAACATTAGTTCAAATTACACTTCAGAGAAGGAAAGAAGCATGTCTGCACAATCATGTTATAACTAAAAGGCAGCCCGTGAAGCGGATTCACTGAAAAAGGAGGATAGGGGAGAAAGATTACCCTAATCAGACAAAGCGGAAGATCACCCTTGTGGACAAAGATCTACCATACTCTACTCACCTCCACTGGCAGAGGCTCGTAGAGGAACTTCTTGTAGAGTTCTTTCTTGGAGTTCTGGCACATGAGGATGCACACACCTGCACACCAGCAAAAGACAACACACAGACAGCAGCAGTAAGTACATGTAACCAATCGAAGTGTGCCACACAGTGCAGTGCACACAGCCTGTACACTACTACATTGCACTGCAATGCCTACATATAGTCGGTGGCGGGGGGTGGGGTGGTTGAGAATTCCGTTGTTTCTCTTGCCTCATTCCTCTGCTGTTGTGCGAGGGTGGCACAACACAATGCACCAGATCCATGCCTACCGTATTCACTTACATACAAGTGTGTGCCCTTATATGCGAAAAAGCGTTTTTTTCCCATTTCGCCAGGAAACACATGTTCCGGATACAAGGGCATGTCTTTCAATACGAGTATTCAAGTCTTCAAAATACACTCTCGGGTCTGGAGTTTTTATCCCATGCCTTTATATGTGGAGGTGCCCTTGTATTCGAATATAAGTACGTGCCCTTTTATACGCGCGAATACGGTCCATAGATCACTGTATTTTCCTGAGTATAAGCCGCACTGGAGTAGAAGCCACTACCAGATTTTTTTGGCACGAAATACAGACATCTTGCCTGTTTATCGCTGTTTATTTGACCATCATAGTATAAGCCACAGCGCCTTGTTATTTTTCGGAAAATACGGTACTACAACATATTGGCGGGGGAGTAGTGTAAAATTACAAGGGTATGATTGTGGACTAACCGACTTCATCTGCAACGTTCACTCGATTAGCAAGACCAACCATCTGCAGAATATTGGTGATGGGATAGTCTGCATATCTACGAAGGAAGAAAGCAGTAGACAGAGAGCACACTGCCGAGTCATATCACATGGCAACACACAGCTGCAGAATTCCCATGTACAGTTTACCAAAGGATGGTTTAGGAGTGGAGGTGCCAAGAACTGCCTTGCAAGTGCTGTACTGCAATATTCAAGAAGTAAGATGGGGTTGAACAGGCTACACACAGTCAGAGTTAGTAGCCATACAGCAAGGAGTGAGAAGAAGTCTGCCTGCAGCACAGCCGATGCACATACCTGTGATTACGTCCGTCAAAGTACTGAGTGTCCATAATGACCACCAGGTGTGCCTGCATGTCCAGATGCCAGGCCACATCACATGATGCTACCACCACCTATCACCAACAGGTAGCACAGACAACCATGAGAAACAGTTCAAAAGAAAGAAAATATAAACTGAGTGCCCACGCGCGCACACATGCCCGCAAACACGCGTGCACATGCCCGCAAACACGCGCACAAATGCGCATGGACACACACACACACACACACACACACACACCGGTACATGAATAAGCAGGAAAGTTTCCAGTGAGAATCAGAGCTATAAGTCATAGTGTTAGCCTCAGGCATTGCACGGCGGCCTAGCAACATCATTGCTGGAGCCCTGCATTATCATCATTGGCAACTTTCCCATGACTCTCTTAAAGACTCGACAGTAATTCTCCATGACAAATGCCAGCAACTACAGCCAACCAGAGGAAGGTTTCAGGAAACTGAAATAATAAAAACTTGAACAGGTGCTGCTCCAGTAGCGGGACCACTGAGCTGGCTGCTGATGATGATGATGACGATGATGATGACGGCGATGGTGCCGGTCACTACGGACATGATGATGACAGTGATGGGCGTGATTCTCACGACAATTCTTCCATTTGACTCTCACAAAAGCATTAATCACAGTCGTACATCAACAGTGTACACCACATGATCCGCATCACTCTCTCTCTACGTCTCTCTCTCTCGCGACCATTTTCTGTACCTTTCTCTTTTCTCTCTACTTAAACTACCTGGAACCTCAGTGAGCAGGAGTCACGTGATACCACAGACAGCTGCAATATCATCATTGGTTGCCAGGTACATGTTGCAATATGAGAGAAGGAGAGACTGGCAACCCTAAGAGAAAGCCAGGATCAAGATCACTACTTCTACTACTTCGAAGTAAATAAGCAAGAGTGATGAGGACAAGTTACCTGAATGGCGCCTGCATTGAACAATGCTTCGATTGCTTTGCGTTCAACTTCACTGAGACCTTCGTGTAGGTAGGCTACACCTTGTGGAATCATCTCATGCAAAGTCTAGTTTTAGCAAGCAACAGGAAACACACAAACAGGCGGACAGAGACATAGACAGACAGTTGGAAAGACAGACACACAGACACACACACACACCGGGTATGCACACAGACAGACACATAGACAGGCACATAGACGGACAGACAGACAAACAGACAGAGAGGTGCACACCTGGGGATGTCTTGTGTACAAAGACCATATCATCAGGAATATGCCTAAAAGGGACCAAAATCATCACTTTCTTCAGGAAGTTATAAATCAAAAATAGTCGCAGTTTCTAGCTGCATATATAATTATATTTCCTAATCGTTAGCAAGATAGCCTTCTATATACACATGTTTTGAATTTACAAGATTTGAACAAGTAAACTTGACACCACTGACTAACTGATGAAGTTATAAGCGATTAATCAACCGCTGACTAATCAGAGAGTAAAGAGTGTGTTCTTTTTTGTTTTGTTCACTAGTGTGAGAACTTATGTCTGGCCCAAACACCATAAAACATGCACAAGTGTTTGGCTGCAAAATGTTGCCCTATTCACTATCCCTGTGTGCTGGAAAGTTATCTATTCACCATAAGTCGCAGTTTATGTATACGGATTACATACCTTGTCCTTGATTTTGCTCAAGTATGGCTTCAAGTCAGAGGCTTCACAGTGTAAGAATCTGTGTGCACCAAACCAATGATACGTACACACGATGCATGGTTAGATTTCAGTAAAACGAGAGCACAGTCGGCAGACTTGCGTCCCATGCGGGCCAAGAAGTGCATTGCCACTACTGATATCATTGAATACAGCATGTAGCCTGTAAAGTGGGGAGGGGAGTACACTGAGTGACCATCCAACGAGTTATTTGTTCCACATGTCAGATGTAGAGAGGAGGTCAGCACTTTCACCCTCTCAATCCTGGAGTAGTTCGGAAATTGCTCGCATCATGTTGACAAAAGCTTTACATCTTCACAAAAGCATTGTACAACACTCGACAGCCTCACAGTACCATATCATTTTCGCAATTTGCCTCGAGTGCAGAGACCACAGCAGACCACTGACTCCAGGGCATGGAATGGTGGGGTGTCAGATTAGAGATAAATGAAGGACAGCAGTTCAGATGACAATATTGCAGATAGTTTAGGAAGGTCGACACACACCTGAGTGGCTTGTTGTCTGCGGCGACATATGCCATGATGTCCAGAGCTGTGAGACGGGCCTGCTTGCGACTCGGCACAAAGATTAGTGCAGGCTCGGCTGGAGCATGCTTCAAGATGGCGTTGTACGTTGGCTTGATCATGGCAAGAAGACGAGACATAGTGTGGCTGATGTTGTAACTCTATACATTGCACAAATGCAAAAATCAAACACATAGTAGTTGACAATTAAATACAAGGAAACAATAATAAATTAGAGCTATGAAAAGACTAAGTATGAAAGCCGCAGACATCACCACGCAAAACATCACAACTTGCTGGAGGTATAGGGTTTTTGTTTCCAGAATCGATTTTTCTAGCTCCCACCATCAGTGGAGATGTGGAACATATCAATGAGCTCATAAGGATCCACACAAGCTAAGGACTCATGTGCCCAGGAGCAATGACCAGCACCAGCACCACCACGCACAGGTCAAAGAATAGCATACTCAGTCGTACACACCTGAATGTGAAGTTCCAGTGGCACAGGCCGCACATTGGGATGGAAGTTGAACGTTGCGTTCTGCGGTGCACCAATCCACTGAGCCAGGTCCTGTCGCAGGAACACATGCGGATTAACAATATTACTGACCTTTAATAGGAACTAGGAAGCAGACACAACAAATACTGGAAAGTGAATTGCATCACAATCATGGGAACACCCGCAACGTGCCAAATGCCAGCATGAATATTGACGAAAAAAAGAAAAAAACTGAATGCCACAACTTGGATCTAGCCAATCGTTGGTTCACGTTCAACAACAAACCAATCACATGTGCAGTGGCACACTTGAAAGACAGATTTCAACTGCGTACCCGTGCGTTAGATACTGGCGCACTGAGTGCAATGATGCGAATTGAGCGCTCAATCTGGGAAGAGATGTAGCGCATCCGAGAGCAGATCACCTCCATCACCGGCTATAATAGGACGTACAGGCATGGATAGAGACAACAGTAAGTCAGTTGATTTCTGAAACAGGTGAACTCATCAAAAAGCACCAAGGTGGACAAGCAAACTGGGCACCACTTGATATCCACAACTAAAGTTCAGCACAAAGTACTTTCTAAAGTGGTATACATTGTAAAGAGGATAGAACATACCGCTTCACCGCTATACAATTTGCCATGTGCTGCTGGGTTCTGAAAAGCAACACGCTGATTACAGCGCAGGGTATTAAACGTTCCAATGCACAGCAAAAGCGAAGGAAGTACACTGGACTTACACCAAGTTCACCGCCGATCAGATGCGTCTCGTCTAGAATAAAGAGATGCACGTTCTGCACATTCTTCCTCTGCTTCCATCGCCTGGACAATGTATCCCACTTCTCTGGGGTGGAAATGATGATATTGCCCTGAGCAAGCAGTTCACAATACGTGGACAAATGGACAACCATCAATCAGTATAAACCTCTTTCTCAGCAATATGCATCAGTTGATCGCACTTTCTGTGATCTCGCCTCAAGACACTGCGAACAAAGCCCAGTATTCTTTGCAAAGGATAACACATATACTGTAATTTCACAAATTTTCGGTGTACTTTTATTTTCGGTACTTTCGGTGCGTCTGTTTCACACCTAAAATTTCAGTACACCGAACAAACACTAACACACATAATCCAATAGGGAACTGATTCTCTGTACCGAAAATTTCTGTTCACCTAACCTAGCCTGTTGCCCTCATACCGAAAATATTGAGCACCGAAAATTTCTGAAATTAGAGTATACAGTTTCCCATGAGAAGCACACAAAAGATAACATAAAGAAGCAATGGCATGTACGGAAAACAGATCGACAGCATGGGCAAGTTGCCAATCCAATAGGCACAATATCACAGTACATGCACACCGATGAACCACTAGACGGTACGATAGTCCATACCTTGGCCAAGAGTTTGAGATCATGGCTAGTCTCTCCAGTCAGCATGACAACACGACGTTCCAAATGGCTGCCAAAGCGAACCTTCCAGTCCTCATACACCTGTGTAACAATAATAGCAGCAGCACGAACCAAACACAAACTCCATCAGCCATGAAGGTGCATGATGGACACACATACGTACATGCAAGTACACACATGCCCCCCCCCCCCACACACAAACATACAACTACCACTAGCAGACACATGCACCAATCAAAAGGCAAACTCATGCATGTGTGCTGCTATATGACTCACAATCTCAGCCAGGCACTGCATGGGTGCAATGTAGACGCAGCGTGCGTCAGGCTGTGCCAGCGTACGCAGGATGGCAAACTCCGCACAGATGGTCTTGCCACTGCCCTTGGGCGCACCAAGGAAAACATTGTTGTCAGTGTTGTACAAAGTGTTGAAGACTGGAGAAAACAAAACACACAGGGAAAAGAAAGCATGATTTCCAAAAACCCCGACTGACTATGTACTGCAATGACCAAAACATTCTGAAAATGTTCAACCATTGATCCATTTATGGTCAAAGCAAGATTATCACCTTTTTTTCCTGAATGGACTGTATAAAAACACGCACTGTACCTTGTGTTTGAATTGCATTGAACTCCTGGAAACGTCGCTTATAGATGAACTCGTAAGCAACGTTGTGCAGAGCCGACACAGGCAATGCCTGCAGATCAAGCAACTCAGTAGGCGGTGGGTACTTCTCCGGCAGAATGAGATGACGGAAGGAGACAGCCTGCTGCGTTTCCGAGGCTGCAGTCAACAAAGAAACAAGCAGCATAGTTCACTTGCAAGAACCAACCACACAAGTTGCGGAGACTCTACCTTGGGGGGGGGGGGGGGGGGCAATGCCATTTTATTACACCTACACGTTGTATAGGTCTGTACATGACAAATCCATTGATCACCGAGCTGCAGAGAGTGCTCAATGTCATAGACAGAGCTTAGAGCATAGCAGACTCGGCGGAGGATATTCAGGTTGGTTGTAACTGTGAGTTTCATGACGTGAAGCAATCATCAGACAACTGATATTGGGGTTCTACATAGCAGCACGCTTATAAACACATAGGGCCACAGGCATAAGCAAATTTAGCGCTAGGTGCAGGTGGGTGCTAAGTCTGGAAGAAAGCTAGCACGGGCCGAGGTGCTAGGAGAGACAACAGGCGGGTGGAAGTGCCAGGAGGATGGCGAGCAACAGGCAGGTGTGAACGTTAGGAGGTCTACGCCTGGAAGCATCAGCTTGTGAAAAAGCGTGGACAGAGGCGCTGGGGAGGCAGTGTACAGCAGATGGGTGGAGGTGCTAGGGGAATGGCGGGCAACAGGTGAGTGAGATTGTTATGGTTTTTTTAGGTGACGGACGGGCGTGAGCAGAGTGGTATAGTGTAGTCAACAACAGGACGTGATATTGGCACCGTAATTCCGCGCATATGCCCACGGGCCTCTATCCGGCTATAAGCCCAAACGCAACTCGTGTGTCAAGTAGAATTTTTCACAATATGGACTCTTCCTACCATGGTACAGCAGGTCAGTGCAGTTTACCAGTAGAGTATGGTAGACCCACTACGAGCACGGACTTGAACTTTTTCGTGAACCTTCAAAATTCGAATATTGGCCCATGGGCTAAAACAAGAACATGTTTTACTGGATATTTTATCCGCAAACTGCATTATTTCACATATAAGCCCATGGGCTTATACGTGTCCGCGCATATAAGCCCATGGGCTTATATGCGCGGAATTACAGTATATAGGGATGCTGAATTTTGAGATAATCTCAATCGCTTTTTGAGCAGGAGCTTCTTCTGTTGTCTCTCCTAGCGCCTCGGCCCGCGCAATAAAAGAAAGTACATGTACACCAGCTTACCAAGCCATCTGTCGGACACCACACGGATGAAGTACTGCGGTGGCAGTGGTTCAAAGATAGGTACGTAGAAAGTCAGCAAGTGTTTCTCTGTCGCATACTTGGACTTCAGCAGGAAGAACTCGTTGTGGAGAATGGCTTCTCCATCCACATCTTCGACAAACACCCAGAAGCCCTGGGAAGAAAACAAAAGCAATGTATGCATGCACACATGTAAGCAATTACCAGGCAACTAAGAATAACACAACACAAGGATCAAAGCGAGATACTAGCAAGTACAATCACCAGGGTGGAATATTAGCCACAAGCATAATATGCTTGTGGCATATTACGACTGCTGGGCAATGGTTTTACATAGTGCTAGGCTTACATGCCAGCTTCCAGCGAGGACGCGTATAGTGTGTGCGTGCATGCGCGTAAGAGAGAGAGAGAGAGAGAGAGAGAGAGAGAGAGAGAGAGAGAGAGAGAGAGAGAGAGAGAGAGAGATGGAGATAAAGAGAGGCTCAGGTCAGTTGTAGTCACTAGTCATGTGGTAATTGCTTGAAACAGCAAGTATTACAAGAACATCACCTCTGTTGTACAGTAAGTCCACCGGTGGCCTCTTTTCATTTTTTTCCTGTTTCGTGATACTGTACAGATGCCCAGTTGAAATTTTGTCGATGGATCATGAAACACTAAAACACCGCTGAAGTGTCTGGAATTTAGTTTCGTCCGAATGTTAGGTACCTCCTCCCGTACAACCTCTCCCAAGCTGGCCTGCATGCACCCCATACTACGTCCTTTTTCGTACTCAACACGAAGATCTTTGGACGGAAGTGATGAAATAAATTAAAGAAGTTGGCTGCTCTCAATATGGAGCTCGCAGTGGAACTGGGGATGTTTTGGCTTATACACTAGTAGTGTGAGTTCTGCAAAACAACAACACGTTCTGCAGTTACAGAACAGGTCTCTCAACACCAGGGCATTTTATCTACATCACTCCTCACCTCAGACTGTCCATGAATTTTCTCGTCCCATTGGAAATCAGGAGTGATGGTGAGTTCAACTTTCAGAGTGGATCTACAGAAGAAAGGAGAAGGCAGGTGATAATGGTCGAGATCACACAGTCACCAATTGCAGACGAATACCAAAGTAACCACTACCAGTACCGAAGATCTCAAAGTACATGTACACTGACTATACTGAGACATACAGGGACTCCATGTGTTCATAGTCAGCAGAAACCAAGGATAGTCACTACACGACTCCGCGGCATCAGCATACCTTGTGATCGGTTGGATGTGAGTGGCCAGTTCCAGCTTGGGGAAGAGGTGTACAAAGCGGTGGACGATCTTGCCCATCTTCGGCATGCGGATCAGCTCACCAATTTCGTTGGCACTGAGATCATAGAGTCGCTCCCATGTGAAGGCTTCACGCTTCTCCACCTTTTTGGTGACTTCGTCTGGCAGCTTCTTAAACTGACGCAGCGGGGTCATAGATAGCCACCTGTTTTCGTTGCAATGAATATGCACAGACAGAGAAATAAACAACAGCTACTCGTCAGTCAAATAAAAAACTCCCGGAAAGAGCTACAACAACGGGCACTTCCATTAAAGAAGTTAGTACACTCCTCCAGGTTGTCAGGACAGAAGAGGGATTTAGGAAATGGAAGCTGCAAGATTAGCTTCCATGCTCAAAACACAAACTCAAAGTAAGCAACATACCAGTAGAGAGCAAAGAAACATGGAGGAGATGGTGTGTGTGTGTGTGCATTGGATTGGCTGCTCGTAGAACATGGATATTGATACATGTACAGGTAAACACAATACAGGAATAGAAGCAGCTGCTCACATTCGTTTGTCAATCATCTTGCACATGTTCAGACACCGATCAGCCAGTTGCGCCCAGCCACGATGAAGAACAATTTCAAAGACAGCGCGCATCAGACGACCCGCCGACTGTTAGCAACACAACAAGAAGAAAAAACATTGACATTTTGAGGTGGAACTAGCTGGAGTGCTTGCTATAGCAGAACCACATAATACAGGGTCTCAGGATTGCAAATACTTCTCAAACTGAGTGCAGAGCAACAACCATCACAATTCTAACAGTTAGGCCGAATAGTGCCCATAGCTCAAGCTGTTTGTCAAAGAATTCAGCAAACAACTGCATACACAAAGAGCAAAATGCCAATACCTGAGTGACATAGACCATATCTGCCATTAGCGCCAGGCCATCCAACTTCAGTTGGGAAATATACGCCTGCAGCAGCACATTGACCTGTAGCAACAGCAGAAAACGCATGATAAATGAAACAAATCAGCTAACCACAACCCAGTCCCTATCCACATACCAGGCAGCCATCCTAGAACTGCCCATCGAGAGTACAGCACAACAGAGGGAATGCCACTTGTCAGCGAACGCATACACCTTGCATATGATTGCATTATCGATTTATCGGCCAAACAGCTGAAAGAAAGAAAATTACAGCCGCCGCTAATCAATCACAGCATGCCAAAAACAACAAAAAAGAAGAAGACAACATACTCGACTTTGTTCATGTGGGCTGCTGCGGGCTCACAACTTGAGTGTGAAGTAGCATTGGTAAAGACCATTTCTTGGCATGTGAAATGTACACCTGAAGTGCCGGAAACAATGAGTTAGATCGATACGACATACCTTAGCACTCGGCTCATCAATAGTCTCCTTGATCGGAATGGGAACACGGTCCATCAGCTTGGCCAACTCCAGCTTTTCCTCCTGCATGCCGAGTTCGAAGGACAGAGATGGAGAACGTGAGTCAGTAAACACATCACAGACTATAGAAAACAGTGCCTACATACTGTCTGGAAAGTAAACACAATGTAGTACAAGCAACAAAGAGAATTCATGGAGCACGGGGGACAAGCCTTACCTCGCGCACATTCAGGTACTTGAACTCTGACGAGAGTGAGAAGACACGCACCAACTCAATCTGGCTCAGTGTCGGCTTCAGCAAACTGTTGTACGTCGACATTGTCTCCACGGTGCAGTAGAAGTGACTAGCGATTCGTCCAAGGTCTGTTGCCTGCCAGTGTACAAAAGAACAGAACCAATATGAAACAAAACTACACCGCGAGTACACAGGGGTCATCAATATTAGTGTACAGTTCATTTTTGAACAGGGCTGCATAAGCATGGATGGGCTGCAGCAAATGCCTAGCACACAGCACTTTCAACAGAGGATACTGAGTAAGATCCATACACACCGGACTATTCACCAAGTGAACACTATGTGCAACTGTCCCCAGATTGATATTCTACGCATACACACTCACACGCAGCGTAACTGCCTCTGTGATCATGTCGGCAATGTAAGAAAACAGAATGGCAGATCCTTACCTGCAACAGCCCTGTGCGCTTGTCATACTTGATCAGCTGTGCCTTGGCCAGCTGTACTGCAGCGGTGTGAATGACGTTCAAGCAGAACTAAATAACACGCAAGAGAAACAAATCAGACAATCAGCTGCACATTTAGTATAGAGACAGGCAGCCCAGGTCTAGAGGCATGGCTCAAGGTGCTACAGAACATAAAGGGACAAGAGGTTGCAAGCTGCTTGGTAGCACAAAGGCACAAACACGGTGCAGACAAATCCAGACACAGTCTTCTATTGCAACACCAATCATCGAAACAATACCAACAGGCAATGTGCTACATGTACATGGTCAATGCAACTCACAGCCTCCAGTGATGGGTCGGCCGTGTGTTCGTCGTGGGAGACACCATACAGTGTTGGGTTCTTCTGTACGCGAATGTTGTAGTACGAGTACCCTGCAAGGAATAAGACCAAGACGAGCCAGTTTTATGAGCAAAATGCCATGTTGAACGCATCATGGCATTCTAGAACACTTGATTGGTGATTGGCCTCACATGCATTCTAGAACACTTGATTGGTGATTGGCCTCACATACCGACATGTATACAAAGTATTCACTCTCTTGACACAGAAGACACATGTAGGGGAGAGCAAAGACGTACACTGATGATGCCGATATACTTACGGAGCCACGCCAGTGCGTCCTTGATGTTTTGTACACTGCCCAGGACAATCTCAGCATTGAGGTTCTCCGGCAAGCGCTTGACAAACTGACTCTCAACCGGCAGCTGTCCAAAAGCACACAGACATAATTATAGAAACATGAAAAAGTAAAAAAGACACAATGGGGTGGGGGCACAGACTTACTGACTTCTGCTCAAGTGGGCGTAAGTTATTCCTTACTGCCCGCCACTGTGGCCAGTGTCCACAGTACCTACAAATACACTACAGTGCAATGGTTTGAAGGCCCGGTGGATAAATTCTCAGAGAAGCAGAGGTTAACTCAAGTCTGCCTTAACCCATCCTAAAGCTACTACAATTTATTTCGGCATGCTTGACGACTGTAATCTCCCTGGCTTCAGTTCATTAACCCTTCCCCTTCTCTGTCCCCCAATCTCCCTCTCTTCCTCTTCCCGCATTGAAGCCCCTCCTCATCCACTTTTAAATTCAAGCCATGCTCGATGTTCCTTCTTTCACAGAGACTCCCATGACAGCCATTCGCTTGTCTTTGGAGAGTCAAAACTGAATTGAACATATACATACATAAGCATGCATACACAAAATGGCAACGACAAAGTAGCACTAACATATGCTACTACTAACCTGATGATTAAGCAAGGAGAGGTAGTATTGCAGTTCACTGTGGTTGGTGATCAGAATGCCTTTACCCTCGCGATCATACTGGGGACGACCAGCGCGACCAAACATCTGCATGAACAGCCAAACAATCCCCAGCCAAGAACACACAATAGACAAACAATCAAGTCAAGTCAGTACTGATATAGGCAAGCAACTATCACAACAACCCAGATATGTCACATAAGGTTCTGCACATACTCACATAAAGCACAGTCGGTTAGGCATCATGAATGAGAACCTACCTGCATGACATCTAGTGCACCCAGTTCCACCCATTGGCCCTTCTCAGGACTGTAGATCTGAGTACAGAGCAAAAAAAAGGAAATAGAAAATACACAGTTGTCAGACACGTGAGTAATAGCTGAAGTTCCAGTTCACAAATACATGGCACGTGACTGTGTACATCGCAGAAGAGTATCCAGGTGCATAGACAGAGCACAGTACACTGTACTAGCAAGACCAACACTCAGGACGTGTAGTATACACCGAGGAGTACGGGGGACACCACTGCTTACCTGAGTACCCTTGATAATCACGGTATGAGCTGGGAGATTGACACCCCACGCCAGTGTTGCTGTAGAGATCAGAACCTACACAAGGCAACCAGCAGCAGCGAGGTATTCCAACATCAAGGATAACAAATGGTAGTGCACAATACAGCGAAACCTTGGAATTCTGACCGCCTTCTGGACCGGGCAAAGTGGTCTGATTCGTGAAAATAACTATCCAGTATGCATGTTTGCGGAGAAAATTTCAGGAACAAGCAAATGTGGTTGGATCGGTGAGGTGGTTGGAAAGTGAGGTTCCACTGTGGACATCACTACACATGTTGCAGAATACAAAATAGGGGCCAGCCAATAGCTCCTGTGTCTGTGAAATACAGCACACTACAAAAATTCTCGCAAACACATACATTGCCTATGCTATAGTTAATTCCTGTCCATCATTGTTTTCAAACATCAACCTGAGATTGCGATACTCTTCACAAAGATGAAATATTCAGAAGCCAAAGAGGATACAACAAGAAGCCACAACAAGAAGCCTACCAACACCAGTGTAGGCACATAACAATGCGGGCAATTCAACAGATAATAAATTCCCCGTGCAGGCGTCCACAAAACAAGTAGAAGATACGGCAAGTCAAAACTAAACCCTACCTGAATATGCTGATCGCCAAACAGATCTTCAACTAGCGTACGATCAACTCTATATTATTGACATGGGTTCAGAAAAGAAACAGACACAACAATGCAGGCATACCAGTATGTAAGTGCACGGCCAAAAACCAACCGCCATGCAACATAAGGTGAGCACTGCAAACAAATAGTGGAGGCAACGGCAGCGGGAAGTACGCAAGGGGTGCAGCAAGGAAGTAATGTGACACATCAACTAACCTGGACATTCCAGCGTGATGGACAGCAAAGCCATACGGAAGCAAGTCCTTCAGGTCGGCATTCTATATAGCACACAAATCACGCGACAATTACCACAATAAGCGCCATCCTCCACTCCAAGAAAGAACACTTTAACATTGGACACT